TAACAACAGCAACGGAAGCAAAAAGTTGGCAGGTTCTCAAAATGGCGCTGGTAGTAACAGGGGCGGAGGTGGACAAAACGACTCGAGTGCACCAGCGTCCGGCATTGGCTCAGCCGCGCCCAGCAACTCAGGATCTGCGACAGAGCATATGGATGGCGAGCCTAGACATCAGAGCGCGGGCCAACAGCTACAAGGCAGTAACAAGACCTCCGCCGGAGCACCAGTTCGTGGAGCCAGCAATCCTAAAAATGTGGCTTCGTCCTCGAGTGCAAATGCTCCCACGACAGGTGCCCCGATCTCACGTACGGCGTCAGGAGGCTCTAAAAAGAGTAGAACAAGAACTGCTAGCAATGGAACTGGAGGACTCAACCTGTTGACCAACATCAGCAACAATGTTGGTGGCAACACGATCAAGATGGTTCCTGCCAGCACGATGGGGCTGGCCAACAGCCGTGCAGGCAGTGGAACTCACTCAGCACATGGCACGAACTCCTCCGCTTCCAGCTCCGTCGGAGGCTACAACGCATCTTCGAAAGAACATATCATCCAGAGAAGTGGAACGAATGGGTCGTCTCAGAATGGATCGCAGAGCCAGAGAAGTGGTGCTGATGCTCACCAAGAGGGATCCTCTATGGTGAGAGAATCCTCCAATGTAAATCAGAATATGCCTTCTGGCTCTGCTGGAGCAGGAGATCAACTACATCAAGCAAAATCTACAACAACAGTTATTTCTACATCATCTGCGACAACATCAAACTCGTCTGTAGCTGCGATTCTGGCGAAAAATGCTACGAGTGCTCACCTGCAGCAGCAACAGAACCAGCAACAGCAAGCGTGGGGCCCCCAGGTGCCTGGGTCTGGCTTGTACGCGGCGTTGTCAAAAACTACTCATGGTTAAGGCTACCGCTGGACCATCCTCAGCGCCATCCTTGGCCCTCTTTTAAAGGAGAAAAAGGGACCAGGGAGGTTCTCGGGGATGCGAGCGCGGTAGCTCTAACAGAGTGGTGCGAAGAACAGCAGCAGCTCTACTACGGGAGGCGGAACAGCCGGACCCGGAGGAGACGGATCGAGCTCGGCAGGAGATGGAGAAGCGCAAAGTACTGCTCAGCAAAAGATGCAGAAGACAACTTCCGCCGCTCTGTTCCAACCTCCTCGCGCAGTTGGAGTAGGTGCACCGGGACTGACGGCCCCAAATGGAATGCTGCAGCATCAACATGACACTAGTATGAAAGGAGGTAAGAACGGATTTCATGCGAAAGGAGGTAAAAACAGAGGTAAAGACAGAGCAGGTGGTACTGTAGCAGCTAGTGAGAAGGCAGAAGACGTTGAGTCGTGGTACAATGAGCAGCATTTCCTTCAGCAACAACACGAACAACACTATCTCCTCACTTCTACAGCTGGTGTTGCACCAACGTCTACGTCTTCTAAGGGGGCCAAGCAGGGCAAACACGGCGGGGCTCCGAGCAAAGGAGCATCTTCTTCTACTGGTGCCACCACTGCAGCAGCAGTGCTCAACAGTACAACTGCTGCTCCTGGGGCTTCGACTGACGACGCCATTTTGTGGGAATCTTGGATGCAACAGAGGCAACTGCATGAACATCACAACGCGTGGAACACTAAAGGTAACAGCAGCAGGCGAGGACATCAGCAGCAGGAGGTGCACCAGCGACACCAGCAGCAAGAGCTGCAGCAGCCAGCTTCTCCTATACCGTGGGCCACGTCTGCAGCCTGGGACCTGTACACGAACACTAGTCCGACTCCCGCAGTCAGAAGTGGAGGAACACAAGAGGAACTACTATCGCCTTGGACTCACCACGACACGCAACAGCATCACAGCACTGCTGCAGCTCTAGTATATGGTGAAGCAGGATTCCCGGGTGTCTCAGGAGCAGCCGCAGTGGTCTCAGCATTGGGAGACGCAGCGCTCTTAGGATTAGGAGAACTACAAGGTGCGAGCGAACAAGAGACTGTACTTGGTGACCTAGCTCCACCTGGGGAGACCGCGGCAGACTACTTCAACCAGTTGGCTCGTGGAGCGTGGGCACAACCACCGGCTTCTGCTCAGTATCTTGTTAAGGCTCAAGAACATCACAACTTTCATCTTGTACCACTTGTCGTGATTCATTATATATTTATAATTATAGCAGCATAATTGTACTTGTAGTAGAATCAGAATCACGACCATCAACTGACAAGTTCTTGCTCTAAGAATAAAGATCTCATGGAAGCAGGAGTAAGGGGCCACTTGCAAGGAGCAGCTCTCTCTCTCACCGAGGAACCCGAGACACAGCCTGCTCCCGAAGACATTGAGCCATTCGTGGCACGTACTCATTTAATTATACAGTTTATTTTTTGATAGTTGTACATGATTGATGGGTCGTGCTGCGGCCCCCGCAGGTATTTTACTGATGAGTAGATGTAGATTTCCTGCATGGGTATGGGTCCTCTACTATGCTGCACTTCTGTTGTTTCTGCTTTAAGTTTTTTTTTACACCCTGTGCCCTCAACGCCTTGCTCATCTACTTGGACAAACGATCAGGGACCACGACGGACAACTTATTCCCTTGTATTTACACCCTGTGAGCGTTAGAGTACTACGTACTAAGTAGCTGCTCGATCTTTTGCTCCTGTGCAATCTGCTTCATCAAAGCTTAATATTTAGTACTTCCTGTATATATAATTTTCATTTTGTGTTGACAAGAACTTGATGATGAAAATTTTCTCAGATCGCGTTGAGATGATGGGAGATTTTGATCCGAGCTCGATGCCACAGGGTGCTGGGGATTTCCTGGCGTGCAACAGCGGAGATATTCTACTCGTCGACCAGGAGGAAGCGGGTTGGTCCATGGCGCAGCACTTGCAGGGACCCCAAAAGAACGCTCGTGGATGGATTCCGACGAGCTTCTACAGAGTTCTTTAAGGAAAGAAAGTAGTAGTTAATCTTGTGTCCTCTGTGTGGGTACAAGGAAAGTAGAAGTAGAAGTTCTACTTGGTGTGTCTGTGTGGGTACTATGGAGGTAGAAAAAAATAGGTTGGACGGCATACTCGTAGAAGGGGTCGTCTCCACCTCGAAGACGAGGTATAATTGATTATATTTGCAATAATTGCATATTGATAAATATTAGATATAGATTTATTTTTATGTAGTCTAAATCCAATGAACACATCGATAGTAACATATAAAAAAATGCTGCTGGCTGCATGCTCGTGATTAAAACGAGAAGTACTTAGTTGTTCTTGAACAAAGGGATGATAAGTATGTCAGACAGTCACTGCAACTGAGTTGCAACAAGATGTTACTGTTAGCGTCGGAAGAAACAAACGCCGCGCATCAATTTCCGATGTTGAAGACCCAAACTTATATTTAAGAAAAATTTGGTCGATCTCGTTTAAGTTTCATCTCATTATGAATGTCATAATGAGATAATCTTCTCTTTAAAAATATTAAGAAGTTCACTCCTCGGAAGTCCACATTAGCAAAGCACGGCGCATGATACCTTACTAGCAAACAACTTTGGACGATGTTTCTTCCAAACTTAGATTTTTCTGCATGAGTAGACGTTGATGTATTTCTCTACAGCTCCATATTTTTTCATAAACATCTTATTACCTGAAATTATAATTAGAACTAAGTACGCATTAGTTCCAAGAATGATCTCCGTTAGAAGTTTCGTAGAAGTAGTCGTTGTACAAATGAGAAAGAACATCAACATGGAGGAGGTGTAGACGTACAACAGGTTGAAGGTCGTTTGTAATATCAACCACCTACGTCGTGACATTGCTACATATAAGTATGATAACTAATATATTGGACCATGACTCTTGTGCGGCTGCACCGGCAGGTGGACGGAAGCAGGTAGAATGGAACGGATGGATGGAATGAATGGGTGAGTGAATGATCTCAACAGCAATCCTGTCCTCGAGCATGTCTTAAACATTAATCTTGATTCTGATTTTTTTACATTGTATATGTGTGAGCAGGACTCACTGAAAGTGAAAATAAAAAAGTCTTCTGCAGCTTCTACTTAATATAATTACATATCGTTCTGAACCACGTCGATGATCATCAAATACAAAAACAAATTTGCTTTTAAGTACCAGAAAAATTCTTCATCTTCCACAGATGATCAATAACAATAAATAGCATTAAACATAATTAGTGATTGACGACGAGTGCACCTCGAAACTACGACTACTAGAAGCTATAAGTAGATGCTGGCAGTACTCGTCTAAGTGCACTCGTCTAAGTGTTGTTCTGATGAATGTACTTTTTACAAGTTCATCTACAATAGTACTCTTGTTCTTCTTCAGTAATTATTATGCGCTAATAAATTATGCAGCACGACAAATCAAAGCCGAGATCCATGGTACTAAATCGGGATACTCCTAGGGAAGATAGTAAGTATTAGAAATCACGAATCAATAAAGGGTTCGCTGTACGCATTATATCCATATGTTCTTGCATAAAGAATTTAGGGAAGCCTCGTAGTCAACTATTTTTGACGGAGGAAAGATTCTTATCTTTGTCTTTTGTGTTCGCCCGGGGCGCATGATGCATGTGTTGATCTTCGGTGAATCTGAAATTTGGATTTCGTTTAGATGCATCATAACAATTAAACTTACCTCTTGCCAGGCACATCAATCAACTGAATCAATCAACTGAATCAATCAAGAGAAGGTGAAGATTAGAGAGGGAGAGTGAGACGAGATGCGCTCGGTCGTGTAAGCACAAATTTGTTGAGAAACACCACTCTGCTTCTGCTCAAGATGAGAAAGAGAGAGAGAAAAGCACCACTCTGCCTCTGCTCAAGATGAGAAAGAGAGAGAGGGAAGAACAAAGGAAAATGTCCAATATATGATCCTGACTGACGAGAGCTGACTGACGAGAGCTGATTCTGTCTACTCAATCTGGTTCGACGAGTCTTTATGTAGCAAAGGTAGAGCTTTAGAGTTTATGTGTACGCGTCGTAGACGCGTAAGAGAGAACGCCGTGGCTACTACTTCTGTCGGACAAAGGTCTGTAGATGAGGGATTTTTACCATTTAAAATAAACGTAGAGTGACTCTCTGACGACGTAGCCCGCTGGACTCTGCTAGTTCTTCAAGTTCTTCATGACGTAACTCACTCTACTATCTCCTCCCCTATGTAATTATGCACCAGGTTCACATGCCTTGACAAGAAGTGGTGTAAACTGATAAGAACGCCTTTCCTTTTTTTGTCATCTTCCGCATATCAACTAACCAACATATTCGTTGTTAAAAGTCTCTTTTAATAGATCAATGTGAGTGGTGGACGCTAAAAGTGAGGTGATTTTGACTAACAAACGCGAACAATATAATCGTGATTGAGGACATAGACTTGGATGCATAGTCATGTGAATGTGTTGAATACTAGGAGGTTTTTTAGGTTGTTGTACTAACCAAGAAGCAGAAATTGAAATAGGATCATGATATTAACAGATTCGTCTTTCGTATTGTTCTCGTATATCTAAAAACTCAAAAAGATGGTGCTGGGCGAGGTCGTGTTGCTGAATCCGGCATGCCACAGGCTGGAACGACATTCCTTTGTCAACGGAAACAAAGCTAGGAAGACATCAACTACTCCTTCTGCTTCTGCTCATGATCTTGATCAACATGATCATGTTGGAGGAGCAGCTACAGTTTCAGTTACTAATTCCAAAGATGGTGCGAAGTCGTACATTGACCAAGTTCTAAGCGAAGAAGGTCGTCTTTTTTTCGAACGTCGACTGCCCGATGATGCTAGCGGAAGCTTTCGGCTGTTCTCGGCAGCCGACCATGGTTTCTTTTGGCTGCCGTCCACCTGGACTGCGGTTCGCGTCCGCTTCCAGAAACTAGGATGTCATTGTAGTCCTCCAGGACATGGACACCTTCCAGGACACCTTCAAGGACACCGTCAAGGTCTCCCAGAGAAACATCCGCAGCACTACGGCGACCACCACCGGACAGTGCACGTGAAAGATGCGTACGACATGCAGCTGCTGCAGGGTGAAATGAGTGCTCACCTAAGCGAAAGCTACCATTTAAGACGAACTGAGGTGCGCAAAATGAACCTAGCTGAAGGAACGATTGTACTACATGATAACTCCTCGTCGTCATCCAATGCAGGAGCACCGAATACGAATTCATCCAATGGTGCAGAACCGACGAACAATTGTTCGCCAACTACTCATAAAGTGGGTTCTCCTGTACTGGGAACTTCATCTCCGGTTGCAGCAGGAGACGAGGCGACTGGTGGGATGCTGCATGGACCGTCGCCGTCCCCCCCGTCCTCCTACTTCTCCAGTCGGATTCCACCAGGGCAGCTAGAGCTTCTGACCAATGTCGTTGCATTGTCACATCCACGCTGGAGAGAGTTTGGCTTCATAGAGGATCTCACGACCTCCGAAATGTTCGTCTACCACGTTGAGGATTACTCCTTTCTGCTCGCTGAGGTCCAGTCACTGCTAGATGTTGCCACGCAGGGCGTCAGGAAGGTTGAAGGGTTGAAGGTTGAAGGGTCGTCCTCTTTATCTGGAGGAACTTCTAGTAAAAGCAAGATGAGTATTGCTAGCCGTGACCGCTACAGTCACAATGACGGAGGTACTTCAAGCCTCCGATACAGAGCTGCAGCGGGGGCGCTCATGAAACGCGCAAAGAAAAAGAGTGTAGGTGGTGGAGCAGGAGGAGCTCCTAAGATGACGAAGAAAAACAAGAAAATGGTATCCGTATCTCAAAAATCTGTGTCTACGAAATCGAAATCAAAGCGGAGTACTACGACCACGAAAAAAGTTCAAAAGTCATCGAAAAAAACCTCCCGCATTGAAACGAAAGCGGAACGTCACGAACGCCTCGCATTGGCACGTGAGAAGGCGATCGCCACACATGCTATCATACAAAAGCGCAGAGGCGAACTGCAGCAGAGTTTCCTCTCACTAAACGCTATTCAAGATGCGAATCGGGCGACCGCGGCTTCTAATTCTAGTAAAGGTGGAAGTACATCAAGTAGTACCACGAAAGCGAAACAAGTGATGTTGAAAACTAATGGTCGTAATAAAGGAAGTGGTGCAACTACAGCTGCTGCTCATTCGTCCAATGGAGGTTTTGCTGGTGCTGGAAGAAACACTGCACAAGAACAACTTGATGACGAAGCAGCCTTGCGCGAAGAGGGTAGCGCTTTTTTATTGCATCACCAGCATTGGATGTCGGTTCTACGCGAGTCCGTTAACAGCCGAAAGCATGAGGACCTTTTTATCACACAATTGCTGATGAAGGACCGCGCCGCGGTGCGAAGTGAGGAACTATTGGAGACAAGCAGTACAACGAGCACACTACAGGAAAGAACTACCTCCGAAATACCAAACACAAATATTAAGGCTAGAAGAAATCCATCCTCACAGGCATCTTGGTCCCGTTTCTCAAGGGAAAAAAGACGGAAGATGCCGCTGAAGATGGATTTCTTCTAGCTCTAAAAATAATAATGACACGAAGAAGATGCTAATCCATCCGCATCTTGTGCACCCCAGCACTAGTACACAGTTGATCGATATGCTACTGACTCAGCTCGCACAGTGGAAAGCTCTGGCCTCGCATTACCAGAAGTTTCTGTTGCAAAGTTCGCGCCTAAACAAAGTGATCCTCGTCGATCTTCTCGTGAACTCAGAGGCCAATACGAATTCAACATCGAATGCTCGGATGTTGATCACAGAGGCAGCAGCGGAGCACGAGTTGGGCATCTTTCGCAATATCATCTTGTACGTGTTTCGAACGCTGTTGAATCTGAGCACGATCGAATTGCAGTGTGGCCTTTTCGTAGAAGCTGGGGAGCACGCTGCGGAGGCCAGTGTCCTCTGGTGCTCCATGCTCACGGACCACGTGGTCTCGATTCCCCAATCTTGCCTTGCCCGCGTCGATATGGCCCACTTTCTTGAGCGCGAACGACAAAATCGCCACCTCCGAACGAGATCATGTGCAAAGATAATCATCGAGACACAACATAACAACGACAACTACAACGACAGCATACATCAGCATAACTCTTCTCAATCTCATCTACTATCCAATGGCGCCTCACACCGGATCGAAGCGTTTGATCATAAGAAAAAACATGAGAATACGGTAGTAGCGTGTCAGGCTCGTATGGCGAGGGAATGCCGGAACTTCAAATTTTATTGGCAAACGACACTACTTTCACGCATCAATCCCCTATTGCCACACGGGCTTGCTGTTCCTTTTGACCTGCATGTGGCTCACCACGGTGAAACTGAAAACAACATTAAGGCTTGGGAGTTGACATCTCTATGCGCATCTCTATGGCTATCTCAAGTAGGAAAGCCATAGATGTGCGAGCTAGAGATGCCAACTTTCAGCCCCTAACAACAACAGCAACAGCTACACTTGTAAAAACAAGGATGTTGTAGAAGTTGATCTTGTTCCCGCTCACATGCCGCACCTATTGCATTGTTGCATGATCTGTGGCGTCCCGGGTCTTCGTTTTCGAGAGACGGAAACCGGCTATCGGGTTTGCGCCAACGACAGCTACTTTAAGGGTAGGTTAAAGGTGCTTTTCTTACCGCTTTTTATGCCTCTCCTAACCCTAGGGAGGATGTCTCTCCCTTAGGATGAGAAAGTAACCCTAAGGGAGAAAAGGGAGAAGAAAGGCATAACAATCTCCCTTAGGATGAGAAAGGCAAAAGATGAAGTGGGGTTCTCCCTTAGGATGAGAAAGCCTCTCTTAACCCTAAGGGAGAAAGGCATAACAAGTGGGGTAACGTAAGCGAGCACCAAGAAAATATAGCTACCTCTAACTACTGCCTCCTAACAGCGATGGAACGCAAAGCGACTCAGATCCGACGCGTGCGCTGGCGTAAGGAAGGCGCGACTAAACTCGAACCCAGTTGGCAGTGGTGCGGCGCACAAACCCGGCTACGCTTCGGGAAGCTGAGCAGCATCGCGGTAGGGGCTCCGAAAATTCTTCACCATCTTCATGTTGATGATCTTAAGGGTAGGTTAAAGGTGCTTTTGTTACCGTTTGTTATGGCTCTCCTAAGGGGGACAGCCATAACAAGCGGGATTGACGAACACCAAAAACCTACCTCTAATGATCATCTTCAACACAAGAAGAAGAAGAACCACAGTCAGCACTCATCTAGTGCCTTGGACGAGGTGAAAAAAACTGGTGGCAATGCGCAGACGCATCTTGTCGAAATACCACTCCAACTGTCTTCGACTGCACCAAGCCAGCAGGAGCATCAGAATGGCGATCTTGACAATGACGATCTTGACAATTTGAATGCCGCAAACCATCACTTTATGAGTATAGGAAATCCATCTCCAAAGTCTAAGTCATCTGGACTAAGAAAATAAGAAGGAAAAGGAACCCAGATGATTTGTGAGATGAATTCCCGATACCTCTAATCACTACAACAACGCGATGAATAAGTCTGAAGCAAATTATGGGAATGGGAACAATGGCCATCAATATCACCACGTTGATACGATGAAGGGAGGAAATGCTGTAGGAAAGAAACGATTGGGAGATCATCAAGACTACAACTTTTTGACTGCTTCAAAGATGCAGAAACTAGAAAACGGCCATTTTGTGAAGCACCAGCACGACGTCGCCCTCAAGAAGAATGTTCATGTTCTTGACAACAATCATAATGCATCAGGCCGCGGTGGAACGACAGTGTTCTTGCAGCGTCCAGTGTACATCTCTGTGCTAGCGTGCTTTCAGGAAAGTTCACAAGAATTAGACTGTGGGGACATTACGTCTACGGCAATAGTAGAAAAAGTTTTGGTGAAAATCAGCAGCGATCATGCAGAAGTTGTAGATACTTCTTCAGGTGGGGGCGTCAAAGGAAACGGAACTGTTAAAAATCGCTATACACATCAACATAACCTCCACGGCAGGCACGCTTTGAATAGGAAGGCCACCAAGCGCGGCGCAAACGCCCAGCACATGGTTAGAATGAGCTTACCGGACAAAGGTGGCAAGATGAAGAACAAGATGTCCACCTCATCAATGAAGGCAAGCCGCGTAGTGGAAGGAAAAAACGGCCAACAGCAACAGGAAAATTACCACACGAACGGCCAACAGCAACAGCATCAAGCAGAAGCACAAACGCGCAGAGATGATGAAGATCCCTTTGCCGCCCCGATTTTGGGCGTTCGCAAGACGCTTTGTTTTGACGGCGCGAAGCCTCGAACAAAAGCACAACAAAAGAGCGTTGCGGATGAGATCGCCGAGTACAATCGTGAGCTTTCGTTCTTGCGCACTGCCGCTGCCAAGAATTGCCGCTACATCATCGGTCTCGTCTGCAGCTATGGAGGGGGAGACCAAGGGTCCTCGAGCTACTTGAATCCGCGCGCTTTCGTGATGGAGGTTGGGACCTGTGATATGACAGCTTGGCTCCGCGAAAAGCAGGAAGGAAGAAGTTTTGACATTGGCAGATATTTCAAGATGATCTTACGCGGCACGATGGAGGTGCATCGCCGCATTGGGGTCCTCAACGGCGATGTCTCGATTGAAAATTTCGTCTACTGCCGTCGCAGCGACACGCTGAAGACGATTGACTTGGGCGCTTGCCGCGCACAAGGAAAGGACTGCTGCATGTACAAGATTCAGTGGGTAGAGCCAGAAAGAGTGAAATTTCCAGCCACAGCCGTGTTCACAACTACGAGTGCTCCTCCTGTTGCTACTACGACTACTTCTACGCACACTAAGACTTTCTCCAAGAGCAAGAACGTCGATGAGGAAGACGAGGAGCAAGAGGTAAGTCCCCTGTTTCTCGAGACGGATTCACTGTGCATAGCCGATGTTCCATTTCGCAACCTCCTCGGTAAAGAAGACGGCTTGGTCTTCTCATCTGACGGCTGCCTTCTTGGAACCGATGAAAAACTACAAGGAACTTGTTCGAGTGGAGACGAAGAAGAAGATGAACAAGCTGTTTCCGGTGCGACAAAAACGAAGGCTGGAAAAGCAAAAAAAGATCTTCTGGATGAAGAAGATGAAGACGATGAAGGTGAGGAAGAGGACGACGAAGGCGATGGAGGTTTGCTTACATTTGAGTTCAATCCGGTGACCGAAAAGAGTGATTATTGGGCATGCGGAATCATCCTGTACAAGATGGTTTTCGGCATTGACTCGAACCCCACAACCGACCTACTCCTGGAACGGCATCTGCGCGAAAAAATCTTCCACGAACAACACGATCTTCAAGGAAAAACAAGTACTGGTGAAGCGAGGGAAAATAGAGATCAACATAAAACCCTTCCCCACTGGCTCGAAACCTTGCCTTGGCTAGCTGATTTGTACCCCTTACAGCTCCAGAGGCAACTGTCAAGTAAAGAGCGATCCGACATGGCGAACCACCTGGTTGAGGACGAATATGGCGAGCTGCTTCTCCAGATGCGCTTATTCAGACGGCAAGCCGAAAGCATCGCGCTGTACTTTGGAAAACGCGAGGATCACGTCCTCCACGAAAGGTTCAGTTTCCAACTCCCGTCGCATGCAGCGTGGTCATCCTCAGTGAGGACCGAGGAATTTGAGCCTGCGCTAAAATGCATCCTCAATCTGGACGTTGCGTCTCGCGACGCGAGTGACTGTGAGCGACTGTTGCCTTCTGTGCTGCCTGGTGAGGAATACAGCGACGCGGACGATCTTGGATGCTAAGTAGTTAAACTCTCTCTCTCGTCTGACTCTCTTATGGCTTAAGTAGGCCTACTATAGAGAGTACGGCTGAGGCTTACTATATAGAGGATGGCTTAGGCTTACTATGGAGAGCATAAGCACTAGCACCTTGTTTACCCCTTTTATCATGGATTACCACCTCCTAGTAAGAAACTTGCTTAGTGGATGACACCACGCTGGTGGACGCGGAGAAATCGATTTTACTGAGAAGAATTTACTGAGAATACTCATGACCCTGTAGTTGGAAGATGATCTTGATCTTCGAACAGAAATATGTAGACCTGCTATTTAGATCCTACCTATTCAATCTAAAAACGCATGATGTAGTTGTGCCGCGAGCACTTAATTTTCAAAAACGTACGAGTATTTTCCTCGATTTTGAATTACACTTAGACATAGAAAAATAGAAATACTATACGCTTCACGATGAAAACAAAAAGTGCAGCATTAATTCCTTTCTTCGATAATTCGAAAGCAAAATGAAAGTGAAATTATAAATGTGAATCATTGTTTATTGACGATGGAAGCAAGTGATTTTTTCGTGTAGATAATTTTTGATATGATAGATGAACAAGGTCGTGTAATATGGTCAATAGACGACGTTGCAAGAAATATTTGAGAGAAGTCGGAGTGGGGTATTTATTAGTATGACGATCTTCAAAAATGTTGGAAGATCATGATGTTCCTATTCATCCGAAAGAAACATCAGAACGCATAGACTACATACCCACGGCAATATTTTCGATTTCGATCGAGTCTGAAGAATGAACAGGAATGAAACAACAACAGGATCATGGCCAGAAAGGCACTTGCTTTGATTCTGGAGGGGTGTCTGTGTTCTTCAATCATGCAGTTTGAAGGGTCTTGGTTCCTCGTGGAATCCGAATCCGACCACGAAGAGCAACTACTTACATCTTTGCTCCTCTCGGGCGCGCGTGCGAGCATCGACACTTGACGAAAAGATGAACGACCTAATAGATGATCATGCTCATAGATAACCCTGATTGATTGATTGATTGATTGATTGATTGATTGATTGATTGATTGATTGATTGATTGATTGATTGATTGATACTGATACACAGTAGTAGACTGACATCAGGAGTGGAAAGTAGAGTTTATTTAGGCAACATCAAGCACAGGAGAATGAGTGTGTGTGTGCGTAGAGGAGGTAGACGTGCATGATGAGCGTTGATATCCTACTCGATCTCTTCAGTATAAAAGGCGACGCAGTTTTCTTCAGTGTCTTTCTCTTTCTATCGGTCATATTCATCAGCATGCTGTAAAAAGCCCCAGAAGAAGACAAGAAACACTTTCATTCTACTTACTAAAGATAGTGACGAGCAGGAAAGAAGATAGTGACGAGGAGGTAGACTTCGCGACAAGTCAGCTAACGAAGACCGTCCTATTAAGTCCTTGATTTGTTGCTACCACCCTTTCTTTTTGAAGAAGCAACTCCTGTTTACTTATGTCGATGTGTTGAGAGTAAGACGCTACTTGACTCTTCGCAGGATGTAGTACTAGGGAGGCAGATAAGCGTACAGACCAGGGTGGAGGTAGCGGCCTCTAGTAGTATCGTCGTTTACTTGTTCGTCTAGGTCTGGCAACATCATCTTCTAGCAACAACATCATCTTCATCAGCACTGTACTCACCTTACAGTAACACCTCACTGACACCACATTGAGACGAAAAAGATGGGAAACTTAAGTTCACGTGTCCAAGGTCAGCATGCTGAGCAAGGCAAGTCGGGCCCGCCGCTCGTACCTGGTCTGGTTTACGAGCAAGTGTTGTCTTCGAACAAGCTTCTCCGCTCACTGAAGGCCTTACACCACAAACATAAGGTGGTAGTGTGCAAAATTTTCCAGCATCGCGAGTTGCTGGAACCACAAGTACTCAGCGAAATCGTCTACATCCTCAAAAAACTACGCAAGCTGTTCAAAGATTATGGAATCTTATCTCGGATGGTTCTTTTTCAGAACGAAGAAGTATTACTAGTAAGTATCTTTTTAATGTTGTAGTGCTAGTGAAGATACGCTATGAATGAGCTGTACACTGCAGCTGCACTAAATACGCTATAATGATGAATGAGTACTAGGTACACGACTGTGCTGCGACCGTAGCTAGCCCAAGATTGAATACATTTAGAACAATACATAGATCCACCACGTCCATCATCCTGCTCTAACGCTACCTGGGTCAGAACCCGAATGTGGTGAGCTATCAAGAGGTCGAATTTCACTCGGAGGATAACTACGTGGAGAGCGCAACTCCAAATGTGGTGGCTGGCGAGGTATTGCAGGATGCAAGGGCAGGCGGCACTTCTGCGGGCGTAGGTCAGTCTACGGGTGTACTAGGTGGTGCAGGACGAAGCACATCACTTGCAGTCGGGCCTGCTCAAACTCCCGGCGGAACGAACTACGGCCAAGGAGTGACCACAGTAAGTGGCCAAGCACGCAGTGACAATGTGGTGGAAGGAACTACTTTAGGTACAACTGGCGCGGCGCTTTCATCGGTAGCAGTGCCTTCTGGCGGTGCTGCGTCGATGTTACCCGCGGGAAGAACGCAGACCGGCAATCCCTTTCAAGAGACCCAGCTGAGTTCCACCGGAGATGTGGTGTTGCTGTTGCGACCCTACTGTTATGGTGCTGTTGAGGGTGATGAAGATTATAAGTACTGTCAACAGCTCTACTGCTGTTATGGTGCTGTTGAGCTTGAGGGTGATGAAGATTATATGCACTGTCGGTCTTGAAAGACGAACAAATATGGGGATTCCTCTTGATGCCTACAACCACCTGCTCACGCACATCACAAAAATATTGTTGTATAGTTGATAGTTCTACTCGAACCTACGTTGTCCCAGCAGGTGCGGCTTGGCCGCGAAGCGGTGGACCCTCAACCTTAACCTTAACCTTACCTCTATAGGCTTAGCCCTTCAAACAATGTATAATTGATTTCGATAGTTCATCTAACTCCAGAAGCGTTCTCTCTACGATCGCTTACACGCAAGACCTTTCCTTAGTTTGGCGGAGAAAAAGTGGCTCGCTTTCCAGCTGATTCATGGCCTGTGCCAGCTACATCGCAATCGCGTGCCTCACTTAGATTAAGGGTAGGTTAAAGGTGCTTTTGTTACCGTTTGTTATGGCTCTCTCCCTTAGGTGGGGACAGCCATAACAAGCGGGAGAACCCACGAACACCAAAAGCCTACCTCTAATTAGACCTGAAAACCGACAACGTCTTCATTCTTGGCTCACATTTAGTCCTTGCAGACTTGGGCTACCCGTTCAAGCCAGTGTACGTACGAGACAGCGATCCGGCTGAATTCTCCTTCTTTTTCACTAGTGCTTCCTACTACTACGAACGGCGCGTGTTCCTGGCGCCTGAACGCCTCGTCGCAGATAGTCCTACGGGGACCGCTGCCGTCACCGAATTTGCACTGCTGACGACGCTAGGGACAGCAGAGCAAAGAGGAGAATTTCAGGCTAGAAGCAAAGATACTAGTTTTTTTGACGCCGTCTGGGCGAAAATGGACGTCTTTTCGGCTGGCTGTGTCTTGGGAGATATTTTTCTGGACGGCCACGTACCTTTAATTTCGGATCTGCCTGAGTTACTGCGATACCGCAATGATCCTGAGGGGTTCCGTAGGGCCTGTTTAGACCCGCGACTGGGCAAGATTTCGGAAGAAGTCAGCGACATCCGCCAGTTAATTTCGGAGATGGTCGATGCGGATCCTGCGAAGCGACCATCAGCTTTTGAATGTTTCCAAAGACTGCTCATCACAGCGCCGTCAGGGTTTTCTTCAACCACCACGCATCCGGTTTCGGATGTCAACACGGATACAAGGGCTGCAAGGTCGCTTCCTAGATATGGCTAGAACCGTAAAAGAATAAGATCATGTAGAGATAAAGTAAGTCGGACGCAGGAGAATGTCAAAGTTGTAGTATTAGGAGGGATAAGCATAGGTCCACCTCTGGAAGTAGTCGGATGTGAAGATCTTCTAACATAGTTTCGGTTCGCTGTATGCACTGAGCACTCTATCTCTGCATCCGCTGCTGCAGCACGCTGATGTGTGGGTCCTTTTCTTACGTTCGAACCTGCCACACTTCCTTCGCACGAGCAAGAAGAGTGCACCATCATCTTCAACAGATCAGACGTCGAGTATGAGAAAAAATATACCCCAGGTGAGCGAGAGCGAGAGGAGGCTGGCGCTGGCTGAATTAGACCCTATCACATCGCAGCAAGCGGCCATGCTTGCCTTGCGCTCGCACAGTTACTTGCCGACTGCGCTGTGCAACCATCTACTACGACATAGCGAAGGGGCCCAACAATCCCGAACAGCATCTTCTTCTACAAACATGAACAATGGTCCTCACGGAAGATCGAACTCGTCGAACTCGTCGAATACAACCTTATCATGGAACTATGATTTCGGACCTGAAGTCGTGGACAATTCCTGTGCCTATCTCGAAGCACTCTCGGATCTGTATGGCAACCGAGCAAATAACTCTACCAAACTGCCAAGACTAGCGGAAGCTCTCGCTGCCCCAGCAAAGGATCATGGTGCGCAGGCAGCTAATGACAGTGTTGAAGGTACTGAATATTTAAGATGTAGATGATTTATTGGCTGTGGCCATGGGCGCGCGTGTGTCTGTGTAGTAGTGCCGCGGCAATTTTCTTCGCCTTTTCTTGTTTCTGGCGCGCGCTGTCTTCTGGTACTGCAAACCAGGAGCAGAGCGAGGCGCGCGCCCCGCTCGACTCGCGGCGATCTGATTTATTTTAATGTTGAGAGAGTGAGCAGCGCCACCTGATGAACGCAGTAGACTAAGCGCAAGAAATTTGGACCACGCTAAAAGATAATTTCCACGCCAACCATGGTTAGGAGTTTCGGTCCAAAATTTCATCCGTCAATCTACTATTAAGACTGACTCAGGTTACCTTGACGACGTTGCTCCAGTCTTAGTTTGCATGATCGAAGCGAAGCTGCCATGCGTCTCTTCGCCGCGACTCCGTATCTTGTGTCTCGACATGCTGCACAATATTGCGGCAATCTTGATGGCGCGTACGAACAAAATGGGACCATCACCATTTTCACCGGAAGAACGCACAACTACGTCGCTGAACTCAGCTCTTTTGCTGCTTGAGGAACACATTTTTCCGACGTTACACCACCTCCTGTTCGATTCCGCTTCTAGCGTAAGAGCTCGGACAGTGCATGTCCTGATGGATCTGCTATCGAAGTGTGTGGTCCATCATCTCCGAGAGGTCCTCGAGGGACCACAGGAGCCCTCTGGTGCAGCTTCAGGACGCGTTGAGAATTATGTAGAGACTTCTTTATCGTCCCCTATAAAGTCTTGTTCCCTAGAAGACGTGGCCACGACACCAACAAGCACGGCTACAACCTCTACATCAGGAGGACCGAGACCTAGTACTAGAACTCCAACTCTTGGAACTACTGCTTCCGCAGGTACTACTACAACTACAAGGACTACGAGTAGTACTCGAATAGCCGCGTTGACAACACTGTGGGGTGAGTATTTGTTTCCACAACTTCTTCGGGCAGCACAGCAGCCGAGTGAAGGAGGCATGGTCCAATTAGCGCACTCGCAAGTGCTGCCGCATATAGTTTAAGGCTTGCCGTAATTCATCTTAAGAGGCATCTTTGGGCACGATTCTAACTGTCTGTCTTTTGACCCCAAAGGGGAGCAAAGCTGCACCCCTTTGTGACCTCGGTTTCGTGCTTCAAAGATGCACTTTAAGATGAATATGGATAAGGTCTAAATAGTGCACGTCTGCGAGTTCTTTATTCAGAACGATACCTCGTCCGAGACTCTCGCGGCATCGCTCCGACCGCAAATGGAGGCCTTGATTCGGGCTTTGCTTAGTGGTGGCTCTAATGCTCCTATAATTATGGAGGTGACACGTAGACGTTCTTGTACACGAAGATAGTACGAATACTAATTCTTCTATAACAGTAACAGAAAGACAAAGATAAAGTAGATTTTTGCTAGGGATATTTTTGATATTTCAAAAGAGCCTACTGAGAGTGATAGAAGCGATAAAAGTAGATGAAGTGTCTAACATCATGCTCTTGTTCTTTTTCTCTGTACGTAGCAAGAACATTTGTCACGTCCTATGTCCTCGAAAATCAATAGATATAATTGTATTGTTCCCTCAGCAGCACGTCCATTCATCTTGCCTCATCTCCTCTTTGCATGTTGCACACTTGACACTTTCATACTCCTGCCAGCCGCTCACCAGACCTCTTCTGCGAGCAGTATGATCGGAGCTGATGTGTTGACCGGAACGATGAGCGGCGCTTCCTTGAGCTCGCAGCTGTCGCCATCCTCGTCTCATCAAGGACTACGGGAACTGCATGAGCAGCAGAGTGATCAGGCTAGTCGAGCTTTGAAAGTGAACCTGTTGCGTGCTCTGCCACAGCTAGCTCCCTTCTTTCGGAGACAGGGGATGCACGACTTTTTGTTTCCAAACTTCATCTCTCTGATGAACGAAAACGACTGGGAGATCAAGGCTGCCTTTTGCGTCGAGACTGCGCGACAGAGCGGCATCATTGGCCGAGTGAGTACAGAAGGGTTGTTGTGGCCTTGTCTAGACCAATGCCTCCGCGACTTGGCTGAAGAGAGGGTCCTGCTCGCCGCATTGCGAGCGTGTCTTTTGCTTCTGTCGAGAGATGGAGGAAATGCAGCTGTTACCGGTGGTGATAGTGGGGGCGAAGATGTTCTTGATGCTGTCGACCATGATATTGAGATGTCTACTCCAACTGGAACTACATCTACTCCTAAGAAAGGAAGTGCGGATCATGAGTCCACCACTAATGGAGCAAACACGACAACAAACAGCTCCTCTTCCTCGAGTATTAGTTCGCACTTCAAGCATACCGTGATGCAGCAAGCACTTCTTCCGCTCTTGATTCACCCGAGTCCGCGAGTGAGGACTGCGACCCAGGCGCTCGTCCAGCGCATTGTAGCAGAAGATATAGTCGCGTATCATGCCTATTGGCTGCCGCAGTTGCGACCATACATCCGCGAGGAAATTCAAATTACTGTAGAAGATGGTGGAGGTGGTGAGATGAATATGAATACGACCTCCAAAGAAATTGTACATGAGCATATGAAGAACAACGCTTCTTCTGGAGGATCGAAGACTACTTTTGATGTGGCACTATCGGCCATCGATCCTTCAGAATTGAGATGGCGACAGCCCGTGTCCCACGAGGGATTTTTAGTGCTACTAGATTGGCTACGAGAGGAAATGACCCAACAAGGAGGCGGCACTGGACAACAAGGTGCAACATCCGGCGCGATGAACAACTACATGCTACAGCACAGCGAAATCGCTTCTGCCTTGCCACCAGAGGATCGGCTACCGCCAGACGAGGATCGGATCTCCCTGCAACTCTTCAAGCCTTTGGTTTTGCAAGCGCTAAAAGCTTCTAGATTGCTTGGCTTCAGTGTCCCTTCGACCTCGGAATCGGGAGCTGCGTCTGAAACGGCCTTCGTCCTGGAAACCAGGAATGACCAGAGTGCGGAGGCAATCCACAACAGAAACCAGCACAATGGCGTGGGAATGGGAGGAGGTTTAAGATTAAGGGTTCTTGTTCCCACATGATTGCATTCTTCACTTGCGTCCTTGGCGTCGTTTTCTAAGACGAGAACACGTCCTCAAGGACATTCAGTTTCTGAAGGGTGCGCGTGCAATGTGGAAACCTGCTCTAATTGTAGGTGCGAGTCTACGGGTGAAACAAGGTCGAGGTGGACCAACAGCTGGCGGACTACTCGGAGGTAGTGCCTCTAGGGCAGGGTCTGCATACTTGCTGCAGATTCAGAAAGTGATGCCGCACGCGCTGCAGTACTTGCAGAGATATGGGGCACTGCCACCTGCGCGACCTCTGGAGGTTCGCCTAGAATGCAGTGAAATTCTTGCTGCAGCTAGAACACGTAATCATGTCATTCACGCACAAGAACAGCTCTCTATGAAGACGATAGAGGGACCACGACATGATAGAAACGGACATCTTCAGACGATGAGCTCCAGGAGGAGGAGGAGGACGAACATGAATTTGTTGCTTCACGACTCAGGTGGAGGAGGAGACTCAGGTGCTTCACGACTCCGAAGTTGTTGCATTCTCAAGAAAAACGTGGCTGCTGTTGGAGGTGGTGGCGCTGCTGGGAGTGGTAGTAACGGTGCATCCATTAAGGGTAGGTTAAAGGTGCTTTTCTTACCGCTTTTTATGGCTTCCTTAAGGGAGACAGGCATAAAAAGCGGGATAAACGAGCACCAAAAACCTACCGCTAAATCCACTGGAGGCGCAACATCGGGAAGAATACTAGTCCCAACAAGTAAGGATTCCCAGTCGATGACAACTAGCACACACACAGCTGGAGGACTATCATCTTCAGGTGGAGGAGCCGGTACAACAGGAGTATCATCCTCTAGTGCCAACAACGGAGCAGGAGCAATTGCAATCTCGAGATATTTGGTCTTTTCAGACTGGCGCACCAGTGCTTTCGCTTTGCAGCTTCCGCGTCCCTCTCTCCTCCATGCGGCCAGCTCAGGCGGCTCATCGAGTACCGTTTTTACTTCCGGAGGCTCGGCAGTTTGGGGTATGCGCGATGCGGCTCTTTTGACGTACAACAACTTCTATTCGTCCTACGCTTCTGCTGGTTCTGCCAGAGACTACAACAACGGTTTAGCCAGTGTAGTTGACCATGGAATACATCCTCAATCGGTGCTAGGAGGTGTAGTGGAAGAGATGACTGAAAACACTACTTTTTTGAGCAATGTAATGACAACAGGGGTTGCGAATGTGGCGAACCTTGCTGCGGGTATGACAAATCTGGCGGCTGGTGTTGTCGGAGGGGGTACAAGTACAGCTGCAGGAGTAGATCCCCGCAATCTTCCAGTCGGCAATGGAGGTGTTGAGGTGCAAGTCGCATCTTCAGATGACGTTCGAATACGATCAGCTGCCGACCAGCAGGATCTTCAGGCAACAGGGAGTAGCGCATCGAAGAATTCTTTATCATCTCCATCACCTGCACGCGGTAGAAGTGAAGCGAGTCCGTCTGATCGCAGCGACGACGCGGCCCAAGTAGATGCAGCAGGAGTCAAAGGGACACCAGCGAATAGAGGCCAAAGTGAAACTCCACCGACGGTTGGTGGGAAAACTATCGGAGGAGGTGGACCTGCAACAGCTGTCGACACTGCTTGTGGTTCTGCTTCTCGTGGCAAAGTAGCTTCTGGAGCAGGTATTGTTCGACGCCCTCTACCCGCTGGTGGAATAGTCGGTAGAGGCCCTGCGCCTGACGTGCCCGCGGACCGATTGCTATCGACACTGTACGACTTTGGTAGGAGTGATGTGCCCACTGCAGTGGTGAAAGTGGACTCTAGTGCCGATGGCCGTCTCCTTGCGGCAGCTGGCGCTGATGGTTGTCTCCGCGTGTGGAACACAGCGGCGCTAGAAAAGGATGTCAGTGTTCGCCCAGTTGCAGAAACCTTTTTCTATGGCCTATTTTTCGTGTTATAATAGATCTTGATCTTCTATGTATAATTACTTTATCTTGTTCCTGTTCTTGAAAGCATCTACTTGTTGTTACCTCTTCTAGCTCTACTACAACTACAACAACTAGGAAGGACTAGAAGCCATACCTTGCTACATTGTAGAAACACACCTTGACTAACTACAGAGGCACTGGTCCTCGTACTTCATAATTTCTCTTGATTTTGGACTCCGGCTCTAATCTCCGCCTTTTCGTCCGAGGTGTCTGAAGGTACTTGCTACCACTAGTACCAGCAAAGCGACTGCCGCGGTTGCCGGCCACGCGCCTATCGCAACTTTACACGCTCTCGAGCAAGATTGCCGCGTGGTATCTGCTGTCTCTCTATCTGGCAGTACTAATCATGTGGCCATGACTCCTGCTTCGACGTCTTCTTCTAGTGCGCAGATGAGGAATCAGAGTACTGCTACAACCACCACTCAGATGAACCAGGATGACGTGGTCACCACCGCGATGGACTTTCTTGAGTCAACACTAGACTCCACGCTTTTGCTAGCTACACAGCGAGGCGGTCTCCACTGCTGGGACATCAGGATGCGTGGCCTGGCTTGGTCCAGGCAGACCATACCCCCAAATCTTGGCGTCCCTTCTGCGATTTCTATTGGTGGACTTGGAAAGTACGTGGCTTTGGCGACTCTAGGAGGTGCGCTGCAATTGTTTGATTTGCGCTTTTTAGCGCCAGTCCGTACGTGGCAACTCATGTCGGGAGCGCCAGTACTGGATTGCAAGCTGCTAGAGCCAGCAAGAAATCTTTTCTTTGCGCAAGCGGAAAAAATGTTAGGAACCTGTATGTACTAGCATAATGTAGTTTCTATTTTATTTACAAGAACTCCATTTAATAATGTTTCTAGTTTTAAATTTACTCCTCAGACGAGATATGATTATGAAGTGCTCTAATCGTAGTGAGTCAGTTTTGGTGCAGACAACCCCAAATTAGAACTGTACTTCTGAGTCTGCTTCTGAGTTCTGATGTAGTTCGTGATCTTCACGGGCCACTCTAATTACCCCCGGACGAGCAGCGGGCTACGATCAGGCTTTCGACGGAGATGCAGGCGGTAGCTTCTTCAATCGAATAGATCCGTTTTCTCGGAGTGCGGAAGAAGAAACATCCGAAGCAGACGCTAACAGGAGGGCACGAAGAAGCACAAATTATCTCAATGGGGGTTCTCCTTCTAGTTGTATCCTCCAGTCTGGTTCATCAGGCTCGTCTTTGGAATGCGTTTGTTCGCTAGGGAACGAAGTCGTGGTTTTTGACCTGATTCGCGGGGATTGTACTCAGATGTTTGACACCCGAAGCAGCACTGGTAGTCCCGTTCAGCTCCCGACTCTTATTCCAGCTGACGATAGACTAGTACAGCTTCCTGGCGGAAGCGCAGCAACTAGAACTACTAGTGCAACTACCTCTTCCAGCAGCAGTACGACTGCGTTTCTCCGTAAACAGTGTCATGACGCCTGCGCCCGTTCCTTGCTAGTAACCGCTTGTCAATCGCAAGTCTTATTCGCAGGAACCGATCGAAAAGTTCGCTTGTGGAACCTGTGTCCCGATGATGAGCGTCTCTACGCATCAACTGGTACTGGAGATCAAGCCTTCGCGCCCAAGCCCCGAACATCTTCGGCTACAGCTGCAGGTGGTAGAGGAGGCACGACAGCTGGTGCGATGAGTAAGGACCCAAATATTGGAGGCGGAGCGTTCCTTGGCAAAATAGTGATAGGATCAACTCCAGTAAGTGGCGGCTCAGCAGCACCAGGTAGCGACGGAGGTAAAGGAACTACTCGACCAGCACAGGCGCACTACAGTAGCAATTTACTCGGAGGCACGGTCCGTGTCGTGCAAGAAGCTTGGTCGGGGGATGTGGAGGAGCCTCCCGACCCCAATGAAGAGATGGCAAGGCTTCTAGCGGGGGAAGAGGCGTATCTCGATCTAGATGACGAGGACGAAGAGAGTCAATCCGGAAGTGGAGTTAAGCCTTAAAGGATAAAAATGAAGAAGAACATTGATTGAAGATGTTGTTGAGCCATTGCGATTGCTATTTTTGTGTGTCCTTCAACCGTCTCTCCAAGAAGTGATATGTCCTCTCCAAGAAGTGATATGTCTGGTGGATTTGCTTCAGCCTACTTTTTACTGTGATGATCTACTTAAGTATGAGAACCTCTTCTAATCAACACCGAACTTCCTCTTCTCGTGCCCAAAAAAGCACGCGATCTTTGTATGCGGCAGGAAATATGCTACGACCTGGTCCGAGGGAAGCGCCTGGCTATCACCGTGACGCCATTCTGGACATGACGTTTATCCGACGTTGGCCACCTTTGCTTGCAACAGCTGGTCGTGACGGCCTCGTAAAACTTTGGGGATGAAGCGGGATTACTCGAGCTCGACGTAGTTCATCCCTAGGATGTTCCCCCCTACAATGTTTGTAGTTCTTCCCAGGGATCATTTAGACTCGTCCTCCTCCTCCAACATGCTGTACAACGTGTTCATATAGTTGTTCGCATAATATAAAATATGCGCCGATCTTTTATCTATTTATGATTCACACCAATCATCTCATCAAACTACTTGTAATCATGATTATCAATCTATCATATTCATACATCAGCACTTGGATTAAGCTCATATCAGAGGACCATTGTATTTTTACAGTAGGAAACTCAAACTGAACTTTTCAACCTGAATCAATAGAAGAACGAAAAAATGATCATGTTTGCCATACTCAGGACAGTGGATGATATTCACATCGTCGCAAGCTTGTCGTGTTCCTCCTGTGAAGATTATCACGTGTGACAAACAGAAACAGAAACCTCATCTAATGAAATTGTCGGTCGAAAATCGAGCAACATGAGTCGTGTACTTTTGCAGAAGAAATCGTCTTCCATCTTTTTCGTGTAGAGTTTGACCGTAGTCGTTTCGGTCTTGCTACTGGTGTACTAAGTAGTTCCTTCTGAGGAGAGGAAAGATCTGTATCAATCGGTATCTTCGGTGTTACTCTTGTGGTGTCGTTGCAGAGTACGTAGTAGCGATTGATGCAGCCTTTCGGTAGAAGATTCTTAAGAACTGGTTAACTCTTAGATGGGTGGAGACTTACCTCAGAGAACAGAGAGAGTCTTCACGCATCTAAGAGTTAAATGGAGTGTCAAAATTTTTCGAGAGGTAAGACGTTGACATCGACAACGACGTTGAATCAACAAGATGGCCCTTGTTGAAAAGGTATTGAAAAATAGCGAAAATATGAAACTGAGTTCACGACTTGGTAAACTGTAATTTCAACAACTTCGTCGAGTAGGTTTTACTGAGAAGTAATTTCAGGATCAGGTATCTATAACTGCAAGAAAAGTCCTGAAAGACTTTTACACCACATCCGGCGTCATCATTTTCAACCATGACTGTTCTTAGCAAGCCGGTGTCTCCGGTTGAGGCTGCAGCGTTTTTTCTTTTCGACGCGCGAGAAATTCCGCAGGTTCCGACTGGCGAGGATGCATCGAGTCCACTGTTGAATCTTCCGTCTATGACGGCTTCTTCATCTTCTTGCTCAACAAGTCGTCGTGTTCAGCTTCATGGGAAGGACACTCCTCGAATCTCGCTAAAAGTGGGGAACCAAACCGTTGTTCTTTCGCAGCTCGGATCCTACACTCAGGTTCTAGCACAGCAAATCGCGTGTTTCTTTGGAGACAGCACTTCATCTTCAGCAGCGCAACAGCAACAACAAAATGAAGCTGCATATTATGAAGCAAGGGACGGAGGAGTTGCAGAAGAAGAAAACGAAAGAACAAGATGTGAGGAAACAGGTGGATCGTCGTCTTCCTCATCTGCCAACAACACGGCGAACAACATGATGATTCCAGCTCCTTTTATAGCAGCGGCCGCTGCACTCTCCTGGCAGCAAATCATCGCGACCATTGGCTTGAATGCGGCCACCTTCTTGCACCAAGCTGCACAAGCCGCAGCAGGTGCCTCAGCAGCAGGCGCACTATCTTCTTCACTGTTATGGGGGTCAGCTTGTTTTATCCATCTGCTTCTGCTCTTGCTCTACTTTCTGCATGATCTCGTCTTCGGTAGTTTTATCCTTTTGTTCCCATAAAAGACGACAAGGGAAATCGCATTATACGGTATAATGCTCATATACATGATGCTTCAATTTACATGATGCAAAAAATGCGTCATATGCGATCTCTTCATTATATTACGCATATTTACCGAGATCATCGGAGTTGTAGCGAGATGGAAGATAATTTAAGCACCACAGGCTTCTAACATCAGGAGCCGCATCTTCTATAGCAGCATTAACAGGTGGATTGCCGATTTGCCACCTTACCTTGCGAAACGTGACAATGGCGTGTGTGCCATTAGTCGCGCCGTTCAATACTCCACCTGTGGCTTACAACAACTGGTGCCAAAACAAAAGGGCTGTCGCGTTTCAGCGCTCTTTGTTCTTCCTGTGTGCAGCGCAGGGAGGCCTGGCGATGGCCAAGTTTTTCGCAGGCAATTTGATCGGAGGCTTCTTCGATGCAATGATTGCTGGGGTATAGTTTTTTGGATGACGTAGCTAGGTGGATCATCTGATTTGAACAAGATCTTCATTTTGATATTCCTTTTAGAAGACTCAATGACCTCTTAACTACTTGACCATGTAGTACCTGAGGTGACATGACATGACAATTCTTATAAGTTGATAGATAAAAAACATAACAAAAAAAGAATCTATATTATTAATCTATATTATTAATCTATCTTATTAATCTATCTTATTAATCTATCTTATTAATCTATCTTATTAATTTATATTATTAATCTATATTATTAATCTATATTATTAATCTATATTATTAATCTACATTATTAATCTATATTATTAATCTATATTATTAATCTATATTATTAATCTATATTATTAATCTCCGCCGCCATAAAACTCCCCGCCTAACCCACCGGAGATTAGTCCCCTCCGGCCGCGAAGGTATTGCCCATAGCCTCCTGCCCTTTCCCCTCACTCCTAAGCCCGATAGCCTCCGGCCGTTTTCTTGTTGGAGTTCACCTTTCAGCCCCGTGGCAGACTACCAGAAAAGAAGCCAGAAAAATGCCCGACGGGGGTAGGGGCGCAGGCTGGCGAGAGAAGTCCAAAGAGAAACAGCCGAAGAAAGACCTTCGACCAAAGACACCTGGACCCCAGACCTATGGACCAGTGGCGATCTTTGGACCGAAGGCGACCTTCAGACTGAAGGCGATCCTTGGCCCGATCTTTGAACCAAAGGCGATCGCTGGACCTACCAGAGACGATCTTGGGACCAAAGACGATCGTTGGACCAGCGGCGATCTTTGGACCAAAGGCGACCTTTGGACCAGAGACGACCCCTGGACCCAAGACGACCCCTGGACCCAAGACGGCCTTTGCTATTGCTGGACCCATGGCGACCTTTGGACCAAAGGCAACCTTTGGACCACCGGCGACCTTTGGACCACAGGCGACCTTAACCTTTGGACCACATCCACCGGCGACCTTTGGACCACAGGCGACCTTTGGACCACACCAGACGACCGCTGGACCAGAGTAAGGCGACCTTTGGACCAAAGTACGACGACAAGTAGAGCGACCTCTGGACCAAAGTGAGGCGACCTCTGGACCAAAGTGAGGCGACCTTTGGACCAAAATAAGGCGACCTTTGGACCAAAGTAAGACGATCTTTGGACCGAAGGCGATCCTTGGACCAGAGACGACCTGTGGACCAAAGGCGACCTGTGGACCAAAGACGATCTTTGGACCAGAGGCGTTTTTTGGACCAGGCGCGACCTGTGGACCAAGGGCGACCTTTGGACCAAAGACGACCTTTGGACCACAGACGACCTTTGGACCACGGCAGACCTCTGGACCAAAGCCGACCTTTCTTTGGACCAAAGACGACCCTCAGACCAGAGGCAACCGCTGGACCACAGACGACCTGCAGACCACTCCACAGGCGACCTTTTAGGGCGACCTCTGGACCAAAGGAAGGCGACCTTTGGACCAAAGTAAGGCGACCGCACCGCTGGACCAAAGTAAGGCGACCTTTGGACCAAAGTAAGACGACACTTGGACCAAAGTGCGACGACCTTTGGACCAAAGGCGACCCTTGGACCAAAGGCGACCGTTGGACCAACGGCGACCTTTGGGCGACCGCTGGACCAAAGACCTCCGACAAGACCAGAGACCCGCGACGGCAGACATCTGGCGAACGACCTCTGCCAGAAAAACTGCTGCCCGACCTGTGGCGAGAAGCCCTACGTACCTCGACGAAGATAGCGAAGACCTTTGACGAAGGACGTCAGTCCGACGAACGCGGTCAGTCTGGCGAAAACAGTCAGTCCGACGAAGGGGCAGAATCAATCTCACGAAGGAAAGACATCCGCAGCCCGAAGAAAGGCCCCACGCAGCCTGTTCCGCTTCCGACGCAAGGCAGACGCCTGGCGAAGCAGTGCGCCGGTCTGGCGAGAGGCGTCACCTGGCTGGTCAGTGCATCAGCCTGACGAACCAGCGGCCCCATGCTGAAGCAAGCCATCAACCTGACCAAAGGCGTGAGTCTTGGCCCGGCGAGGAATGTCAGCAAAGCGAGGCGCTTCAGTCTGACGAAAGGCGTCAGCCTGACGAGAGACGTCGCCCGACCCTGACGAAGAGCCTCAGCCTGGCCCACGACGTCCGCCGAAGGGCGCCGGCCTGTCGTCCGACGAAGGCCGCCAGCCTGGCGCAGCGCGTTGGTCTGACGAACGGCATCAGTCTGATGGAAGGCCTCAGTCTCCATCCTGGCGAAAGACGTCAGCCAGTCAAGAGGCCTCAGCCACAACCCGAAGCGCGACGCCCCACGCCCCCGCGAAGTGCGCCCGTCTGTTTCTGACGAGAGACATCGGACGAAACAAAGAAGCCCCGCCAGGTGTAAGCGCGTAGAGAGACCCGAGCAGCGCGGCCCTGCGTTGCTTATGCTTTGTCTTGTTTGGCCCGCTAAAGCCGCCGCCCGTTCTTGCCTGGCGCCACCGCGAGGCGTTTGCGTGCGTTGGGGCTTGCGGATTCTTGTGCGTGTCTGGTGGCCCTCTTCTGGTTTTTTCGTTGGACTGCCGTGCGGGTCTTGCAAATTCTTAAGAATTTGCATGACCCCCCCGGCAATCTCATAAAAAAACCGAAGGCAGCGCAATGCCCTGCACATGAGTCGACGCATCGACTTGAGTCGGCCACCGTCGGCGCTCGGCTCTTGTCGTAGTTAATTCGTAGGGTGCAACAGCTCACCCGCGGGCTGTCTCTACTCTAGCGGCTGTAGCCCGTGGGAGGCTGCAGAAAAGTGCTTAACTAACTTGAAGCCGGGCGAAGCTTGTGGAGGCTAGTCAATGAGAATGAATAACTCCCACAACTTCTTCATTCGGAAAGGTAGTTCTATGTATACCTTCTTACACAACAACGGTCTTCTCTATGCAAGAAAGTAGTCAGATGCTGGAAAGTAGTCAGATGATGCTTAAGAAACACTTCTACTTGTCTCATTTACTGCACCACATCAACATCTGGATCACCAGACCGGTCTCTATGCCGCGACACCTGAGGGAGTCACTATGCTACCGACTTATCTGTGCTTTGCGGGTTTCAACGGCGTCATGGATCTGTTGCAGCTACTCCAGAGTTTTCACGGTGTCATGCCTCTGTACCTTCTGCCGTTTCAGTACGCTGCCTTTCGTCCGGAACTGTTGCTTCTTGGCTGTTACTTCACCTACGAACTCCACAAAGAACTTCAGGCCATCTTCTGCGGTTATCAGTGCGCGGGACCACAGGACACGCTTTTCGTACTTAATACCAATCACTAAGAAGTGATGAACTATTACTATTGGTCGTCGTGGATCGTATTCTTTCTTAATAGATGAACTACACATGGTTGTGGATGTAGTCTCCTAAAAACAAAAACAACTTGATGTTGTAGCTGCGATCTCCCGATCGAAGATTTTAATTTTATTGATTTTTATTGCTCTCCCATCCTCATCATTTACTTAGGTAAAAGCGATGAGCCACGACATCTGGGGATCGCCTCCTGGATGCAGCGAGCATGAGGCGCGCCGTGTGGAGCAAGGGAATGGGCCAAGTACATTAGGTTCAAATACGAACACGAACTGGGGTATAATTTTTATATATACTACAACTAGAATTTTTTTAGATGAACGACAATCTACTAAACTAGATGATCACGTCAACATCATGATCTACTTCTACCATTTCCACCACTCCTCCGATCTATCCATCATCTCAACCAGGTAGCGGAACCCTTGGTAGCGCGCTCGCTGGCGGGCAGGGAGCCGGTGCCGCTGGCGCCTCAGGTTTTTCAGCGGAGCCGCAAGCTCCACAACCAGCCAGACGGTTCAGCCCATTCGGCGGAGAGGGAAGACGCCTGGGTCACGAACAAGAGCAATAATTATAATCGTCAATGCGAGGAGGTGCCAGCACGGTACTGAGAGACTTGTTGTATGGGTACACCTAGGAGAAAGAAACTATTGTAGTTCGAGTGTATTTGACTAGTGGTGTTAAGTTAGGGATCTAATAGAGATTGATTAATCCACTATCGTCTAGGAGGTGCAAGAACGGTACTGAGATTGGTGGATGGGTAGGTTCACCTAGGATCAGGTTTCCAAAGATGAAGATTTCATTTAAATTCTTGACTGAGCTTTTCTTTTTCATCAAATAGTTCTTTGCTCGTAGAAGTAAAAGCAGGAAATAAGAAGATTATAATCAACGCTGAGCTTGAGGACTCCTAGATTATAGTGAAGAAATGTTTAGATAAACAGATCACGAATCTTCAATGAACTTGACCAATAGTAGAGATCAATCGACGCGCAGTAGCATGATTACAGGATTTTTCATTCGACTCACTTTATCAGGTAGAACTACAATACATACCTCGTGAAGAGAATCTAAGTCGTTGATCATGAGAGGTCCGCCACCAATTGTTGCGCAATCTGAACTTTACGCAGGAGTTGATGCTGATTCTTCTTCTTGAATCAAATACGCTAAGTTGTACTTCGAAGAAAAACAAATTAGAATTACAAAATAAACAAATAATTATCTATCAATGCTAGAAAATTCTGAAAATGAGAATCAAGTACTAGAATGAAAATCATCGCGGGGGATGCAAAAGCAAATGGATAGAATTTTTAGAAATCAAAATATTCGTCTAAGATGAATACAAAAAGGAAGAAAGTCAGGAGAAAAAATTGAAATCTCGCACTCGAAAAAGAGCTGTAGAATAAGAGATTCACAGGTTGTCACCCGGATATCTTCAACGTGTTCCTTTCTGTTCAGATGCAGGCATCTCTTGTGAAGACGATCTGTGGCTTTCGAACTCAAACGCTCACTGGAGGCTTCATGATCAAATCCGGGAAGAAACAAAAAGCATCAAAATATGAATATCAGTATCAACATTCGGACTAGACTATAACTTCCTCTTTCACCTTCGCTTTTCAGGCAAAAGAGAAGATGGTGGACTCGGCTTTTGGGGTGGCTCTAGTTGTTGTGGATAGTCGTTTTATACTACAACTGCTTTCTACTTGTACTTACACGAGCGACTTAGTGGTACCCCCTAGTAGATCGATAGAAAATGGTAGTTGAAAGATAAATAAAAGTCGGTAGTCCTTCTGTGGCTGCACAAGGTCACACTGTGGTGGACGGCGAATCACCTCCTATCCTATCCTCTACACCGCTATTTTTGACGTGAGTGAGTAGGTAGAAGTACCCTGATTGGCTTCTTCCTCGCCTACTCCCATGTCCACTTGATTGACTTTTTATTTATTACACAACAAGATGAACCAATAGGTACTACTAGAGGTACATTAGGATTAGGAGTCCTAGACGTACATACTAGACCTGCTGCTTCATCAACCAGCTTGTCCAGCACACAGGAGCACATCAAAAATATGGAGGCTGTTCTCGGTCGGTTCACCGACCGATTCCAGCGCGTGCTGGATCGATTTCTGAAGGAAAAGGGAACCGATCCCGACGTGAAGTCTAGTTTGCAGAGAGTGCTGAAGGATGTGCTCTCCAAGCACGAAAGATACGAGACAGCAGCTCATTTCTGGGAGGATCTTCAGCTGGTTTTGGAGGATGCTATCCCGACTCGCGAATCACCGGCTTCGAAGCAAAAACTCCACAACATGCGCTACATTAACCTGGAAGCTGCCAAGGTTCTATTTGATGACTATTCTTTTCAAGTTCTATTTGATGACTATTGTTTTCAAGTCCGAACCGACTAACATCATCATTGTTTTCAAGTCAAAGTGGTCACTCAGTGCTGACTCCATCACCGATTGGAGATACATGACATGACTCCATCAGAGAAGGTCGTTATGAAGATGTTCTCGTTGTGCTTGTGCTTTGATATAATTTGCTTGATGATGTGGTGGTCACCGGCGTCATCTTGATGTTGAGATCGTTAGCTCAAACTGAAACTATATAAGAGCTCTGATGTTTGTTGGAGATAAGAGGTGTAAAATATTAAATTACCTTATTCATTGTTCACCAATCAGTAGATTGTATTTGTAAGTTTACTCGACGAGGAGCATTATTGTATGTTGTTCAGGTCCGTTTCTACACAGCCGAAACGGTTTCGACCTTGATGGAGCAGGATGGAGAGATCAGAGCTGAGATCTTGGAGTCTTGGATTGAGACTCTCGATGTGACGGAGGAAGAGGAAAGGAGCAATAGTGAAAATGGCATCAAGGTTCTAGAGGCGGTGCTGAGTTCCTCCATGATCCGAGAAGGCATGACAGGCGAACACCTAAAGCAAGTAACGGACTGTCTGCAAGAGAACGCGGACAAATTCCAAGGAACGCAAGTGCTGCAAGCTTGGCTAGGAACGGCGTCGGCGTCAGCAGTGCCTGTTCCTACTGTAGGTGTAGTAGGAGGTTCACATGGAGTTGGAGACTCCTTAGCGACAAGAAATTCTAGTGGTGGTGCTGCTGCAGGAACAATAAATGTTTCTTCTCATAGTAGTGGAGGAATAAATGTTTCTTCTCATAGTATATTAGGACCAGGTGGTCTTGGAGGTGGACCTTCCTCATCCAATTCGTCGCTCAACGTTGGCAGTTCGGTTCTAGCGCATATCGAAACCGACACGAACTTGAAACAGTTAGAGCAAGCTTTACTAGGTGGAGGAGCGATGCCGCCTAATAGCAATAGCATAGCAGGAGGAGGAGGACCTGGCGGAGGAGCTTCGAGCTTGTTTGGGAGCGGTATTGCGTCCGGGGTAGCCGTTGGCGCGCCACAGTGGACCCGCTTAGGCCAGGATGGCAGTCAGGTGGTTCGCACCGGGAAAATGGAAAAACGAGTCGTGGAAAGAGTGGAGAAACAGAGAAAGCTCCAAAGTGGACTCGGCAGCGTGTTTGCGGCACAAGTGTTTGCGGCACAACAAGCTGGATCAAGCGGGGATGCGCATGCTGAAGCTACACTTGACAGTTTTTTGAATCCACCGCCAGCTGCACCTCTAGATTCAGTTATCGGGGGACCAAAAGGAAAAGGTGCTAAAGGTAAAGGCAAAAAAGGCGCAGCTGCGTCTTCATCCACCTCACCGGAAAGGAGAAAAGCATCTGCAGCAGTGGAAAACCTAGTTGGCATCTTGAAGAAGCCAGGAGATCATGCGATAACGCCAAGAGGCCGTCGCGAACCTCTAGCAGGAGATGAAGGCACTTCTAGTTCCAGAGGGCCGCGGAGAGGAGGACGGGAGCGGGGGATAATGGAAACGCAATCGCCGTTGACCGTGGCTGACATGACCGCGACGGAGATGGATCAGTGTCGGAGTGCAGTAGGAAGACAACTAGAATCCGGTATGGGCATGCAAAGGTCAACCGACGTCGACAAAAAACTGCGCATCACGTTGGATCAAAATCGAGACTGCTTTGGGCTCATCGCTAGACTAGATCCGACAAGCATCCTCTACTTTCCGGATAGGGTCTTCCTCTCGGCGCCGGATTATCTTCCGTACTAATAATTGATATCTAGTGATCATGTCCTTGTACTACTTACAACGTAGTACTAGAACAACATCAAGAACAAGTTATTTTACCAACTCCATCGATCATGATTTATTATAATCTAGTGCAAGATATTAAGACTTTTGACTATCTAAGGACCATAAGCTTATTATAATCTACATCTTCTACTCATTCTCATCTCCCCCACTACATCTTCAGGCACCTGCGCGCATCCGCAACGCAAGTTGTTCGGAAGCTGCCAGCGGATGTGGTGGAGGAAATTGTTGCGGTTCTCAAGCTCCATCTACGGGACCTTCAGGGGAAGGTCATAGAACTAAAGAAAGCACAAAACATGCGACCCGAAGATGTCCTGGAATTGCCACTACACAACAGCGGCATGGAGTTAAGATTGGAATATCAGTCCTCATCGTTATTTGTTGTTCAGTAGAGTCTTCAGCATTCTTCTTGAATATTTTTACCCGCGTACTACTACTATGCAAATACACCTGATACAACTAGACATTACTTGCGATTCATTCAATTTTTTCGTTGCGGGTATTTTTAACTCAAACTCAATGAATAGCACATCCACATGATACAAACGTCGGAGATCCACATGATACAAATCGGCTACAACAATTTACTTTCAATAGATCAAGCTCTAAAATAGGTCCACGCCTTGAAGAATGCGCTGGATTGGAGGGACAATAGCAGTATGCGATGGCGCATGTTTGGGCCGCTTGAGGAGTGTTTGCAGGGCAACAGAGTCCCTGAAGTATTTTTTCATCCTGAGACCGTTTTTCTTGTCGATACGGTGAAACCGATGGTCTGCGTCGATTACGACGACGTGGAACGAGGCAACCTTCTTCTTCTTCAGGCAGGAGCTTCAAGAAATGGAGATATCAATAGTAGTTCTTTTGACCAAGCAGATAGACAAGCTGCAACTGGAGGCATGCTGGATCCTGGTGCAACGGGTAATCCTGTGGTCGCAGGAAACGCAGTAGATAACACAACTGGTGGAGCAGCTCCAGCAGTAGTGGTAGAGCAGGACAACTCGGCGTTTGCGGCTCACTTGCGAGACGCCATGACTACGATGCAGGAAGCCCAAAATTATAGCCACGTGAACACCGGTGGCAGGATAGAAGCGGCGCCGGAGTTACTCGAACGCGACGCAGCGGGAAATCTGGTCAAACCGGTGGCTGATAGTAAAACTGGAGGTGGCGCTAAAAACGCACGAAACTCTGGCGGAAACAAGATGAATGCTAATCCTAATGTGGATCATGGCACCACTGCTGGTGAGCATTTGCTAGACAACAGCGGCGCTGGTGTAGGGCCAGGAGGTCTGCAACAAGGAGGAGCTACAGGAAGCACAAATTCTGGAGGTGCAGCTGCTATGGTAGCAGCTGTGGATCCGTACGCAAACCTCTATTCGGACGCAGCGCGGAACTACTACAACATGCAGCTGCTTGCGGCACAACAGCAGATGCAGCTGCCACAAGGAAGCGGGATCTTTTTCGTGAACGCGTTCCAAGAACTCTGTCTGTTGATTTTGCGCCGCTTAAAGCAACCCCATCGGAAGGGGAAGCTTGCGGATCGGGCAATCTTACCTCTGATCCTGCAATCGAAATATCGAGTCAGCGACGTGAATTACGCAATAGCGGCAGAGACGTTCTGGAGCTATGATGCACCTTGTGAGGTAAAAATGACTCTTCTATCTAAAAACATGTAAGTAGGAGATTATGATTAAATAATTGAAAATTGATATAATTCAATCCATTTAGGCATATTAAGCATCTCCTATCCAATCCATAATATAAATGACAACATCACGTACAGATCTTGTTTCGCACGACTGAGGGTGAGAAGGCACATCCCGATCCTTTGCCGGAAACGGCTTTGCCAGGATACTTGTCGCAGCAGATCGTGCGAGAAGTGAAAAAACAGGGTTGTAGTTGTAAGGTGACGATTTTGACTCAACGGCTCAATTGGAACCGTAAGAGCGATCTCTCGAGGACGCACGGCATGTTCAAGGCTGTTCTAGGCAAACTTGGCGGCCTTTTCTACGATCCGTATTTTCTCTACTTAAAACAAACCATAGACCCGTGGGTGGAGTGGCCTTCTAGTCGCGCTGGGAGACTCTTCAACGCGTCACAAACTGTGGCGCAAAGGGAAGAAGCTTGTCAAGCAGAAATACTGTGCCGTTCCAAGACGATTGACCTTCAGCCGGAAGCTGCCGAAGTGAATCTCAAACGGCAAATTCTAGGTTGGATCATAGCAAGAGGCGGGTCGGTTCCGACTGCAGAATTACTCGAGTTTTTACCGCGCGTCAACATCTACAGCTTGGAGGTTGCATGGCAAGACCCCTACGGGCTTGGGAAGTTGCTCATCCTGCCGCAGAATAGAGTGTTTCTTCGAAGGAGAGAACATCTTCAAGGTGATCATGACAGTCACAGTAGTAGTTCGACGGCAGCGGGAACTAATGACAGCAGCGACAACATTTTGGGTGAAGATGATGGCGACTTGTTGAAGAAGATAGAGCGAGAGATGGCTCAAGACGCCGAAGATCGGAGAATAGCGGAAAGCATCCTCGCGACAGTTGTTTCGGGACATGGTTATGGAGCACAAGGAACGTCTGCGTCTGCTCCTAGCACATCAATAAATACTGCAGCAAGTTGTACTAGTACGATAATACCTTGTGAACTGGTGCAAGCGTTTCGACGGATTCTACGTGATGCGGGTGGGACGCTTACAGTGGAAGAATTGTGCGTTGAATGTGTGAAAACACACGAAAAATTCTTGTCGAGTCTCGTTGTGGCGAAAAGAAGAATCACTAAAGCACATCAAGAACAGATGAAAGCTTTTCAACAACAACAACAACAACAGAGTGGAGCAGGAGTTAACCTTAACGCCGATATTAAAGACAAACCAGAACAAGCAGCAGAAAGTCCAGTCGAGAGTAGTGCTGATGAGTCACAACATGATGTTGAAGACCTTCCACGTCTGTTGGCCGATGAAGCGGACGAAACTGAAAGACAGAAGACTCTGGTAGCCTACACCGAAGTCGTGCAGTATTGCTGCGAGCAACTATCGGCGTCCCTGCTCTTCTACTCACCAGACCGTGTATGGCTGCAGGCAGTCCTGGACGATGTGATTGAGGAGCTGCCTGGCAGTTCTTTGATCGACTATTTTCATTGGGCCACGCCTAAGGCTCCTGCAGCTGCATCAAGCACCAAAGCCGGAGGAAAAGAGCAAAGTGGAGGCGCAACTCTCTCCACTTCCAACGCTGGTGCCGGAAACAAGCGAACAGATGCAAATCGAACGGCGTCTACACAGGATGCAAAACGAAGAAAACAAGGCCCAGCAGGTGACAACAACGATGCTTGTTCTCTTGAAGGCGAGGGTGCCGGAGACGATGAGATAGAAATCCGGATCTTACCACCTGGAGGTGGAGGTATTAAGCAGGCCAGTGCTCAAAACAGAAGTAGTCACAACAAGCCTCATCTCAGTTCCTCTTCCGCCTCCGCGACTAGTACACCGGGACAGCTGCCCCTCTGGTTGTGTCCCGGAGCGCTCGTTTCCTACAAAAAAGCTGCTGTCGGTGAAGACGGTCTCCCTATAGACCACGTGAATGAGGACGACAAAAGTGCGCCGAGACAACATGCTGTCGTTCTAGACACCACAACCTTTAGTGCTGCTAGTGGTACAGCACCACCAGCTTCCTCCACCGTGGCCGGGAGAGTCAAAGTAAGACTTCTTTCCTCGCAGGAGGACGACCAACTAGGAGGTCAAGTAGATCATCGTGAGGAGATGATTTTCGCTTTCCCTGTTGAGCTGCTGCCCAAAGTAGCAGAGGTGAACAGCACAGTTCGCGTCGTCGGCACAGCTAAAGAAAGAGGACAGTCTGGCTTGCTCATAGGACTGAATCGGGGAACCGCGATGAATGCTGGCACGACTGGTGTGGTTCAACTCATCGGCAACAGGTACATCACCCTCCCCCTTGAGAATCTAGTGCCCATAGCTAGCGGTGGAGGTGGTCACGGGACGGGCTACCACTGAACACGCTCACGCATCTTATTCTTCTTATGCCTGCCGTCGTTCATGGAGGATGTTCTCACAACTAATTGCAAAAACAAGTCAACGCATGATCATAATGACAACACAGTCATCGCATACACCAGAACAACTTCTACACCGCGCATTATGGATGTTCATGCTCATGTTGCTTGAATACGATTCATCTTCTGTCATACGAATACGATGTAAGTACCCTTCTGCTTCCCACATGATGCTCGGTCATACACATATCGCGCTTGTTTTAGAGTCCTCGATTTCCAGGTTACTTTGTAGTGATCTAAGCAAAATAGAAAGAAAAAGAAAGAAGATACCGATCGATACGCATCTTCAAACTATCTCGTCGGACGTCCGACGCGCCTCGTTCGACACCGCCTTCCCGACGTTATTCACAGAGTGTTCTGCAATAAAATCTTTTCGTTGAATCTAAAAATTGACTGCTCTACGCTGAATCTAAAAAATGATAACCGCCCGTCCAGCAAAGGAGACAATTGCCCTTTCTTGCAGGAGAAAAGCGACAATTCCAGATGAATAGCAATTTCTCATGATGGTGCGATGAACAAGATAAAGAATTCACAATCTACCACTAGTTCTAGTGCATATCGGTAGTTGTACGTGTCAAGTCTTGATAAAGTAGTTTCCGATTATTCATACTTTCTTGCGTTCCTTGTCGTAGTACTGATTCATGCGATGCTAGTGCTGGAATTGAAATTATCCGATGGTGATGTTCGTATTCAAATATTGGTATTGATGTCGCGGCTCACAACTTCTTCTCAAATCTTCACAGGTCTTTTTGGAGTTCTAGACTGTAATATCTCATAATTTGATGGAGCTGTGTTGCGAAGACAGCTGTCGTTGATTTTTACTCAGCTCAGATATATATGACAGGTCCTCAAGCCAATCCCCTCGTCCCATGATGAATTAAGTACCAACAACTTCACCTCGTTTTATTCAATTCTAAGTTCTAGTGCAGGGGTGAGTACTCTAAAGCTAAACGACCTACAATCTAATCAAATCTATCATCATCAATATTGATTTGATGTTCCCTTGATATATCCGTCCTCCAATGAGTATTTTCTCCACACCATTCTCTTCCAACGATTGATGATCTCCTCTATGTGTTGGACGACTAAATGTACAAACAAGACGGATTGGCGACGGAGAATTCCTCTATTCTTCTTGACCTTGTACAACTAGTAGTTGTACAACTAGTCAAGTAGAGTAGCAGGGCGAGACGAACGAGAGCAGGCAGCACTTGGTCCGGTGCAGAAGCAACTACATTTTGATATCGATGAAGATCGGATCCTGTGACCGGACTGCGTGTGGTCGCAGCTCGGAACGAGGAAAAATATAAGCTCCTCATCTTACATCATAGGGAGGATCAGTCTTGGGCAGGAGCAAGGTTTCCATAAGTGCTAGTCCTGCACTCACCACGAATTTCGAAAAACCAATTTGAATTATTTTTATACATCAAAAAGCAGAAGAACATCAGCATCTTGATTTCGGCGTCCAACTTGGAGTACAAAATGGAGCATCAGGAGTGGGACCAGTGGGGTTGGCCTCAAAATGCTGGATCTTGGGGAGCAGGTGCTGGTAGGAAAGGAGCTGCATGGCAGACTGCAATGCCTGCGGCAGGAATTCCACCTGTACATACAGGATATCATGTTTTATGGCCGCTATTAAGATGACGTATAACTATAATATAATTACCTACGTAGTACTTCTTTATCTAGTAGTAGTAAAAATACTGTCGTGCTTTTAGGTTGGATATATCAAATCATCATGATTCGACGAGAGCAGTAAACAGTCAACAACCACATGAAGATTTTTAATTTTTCCATCGGTAGTTAGACTTTGACGACTTCTTCGTCGTCAATGTCGATGTAATTATCCTTGATTTTTATGCCACCTGCTGCTCATCTTCTTTCATTCTTTGCGTATGCACCGGCTGCGACAGCGGGGACCGTGCAAATCCCACTTGCCCGAGGAGCAGCCGGCTTCGGCGCCAGTGGAGGCTTCGGACAGACTGGTGCTACTTCTTCCTGGGGTGGAGGAAAGAAGGGACACGGTCGCTACGCTGGGTTGCAACCAAGCGGTGCGCCGATCAATTTTGACATTCCAGAAGCTGAGGCTTTGCCGATTGACGCGTTCAAGCGACGGATCGTGCGCCACTTTTTGTTAAGGCTTCCCCTAATCCATCCCTGTAAACATCCCTCAAACATTTGCTTTTTTCATTTCCGGAGGTTAGATAGGATACACTGATGCATGGATGATCACGGCAAATATGTGCCCCAATACAAGGGAGACACTGACGCATGATATGCTTGAGGGATTTCCACAGGGATGAACAATAGGGAAGAGCTCTAATTTTGAGGCATCGCATCACGTGCATTCAAGGTGATACGGGTTGCGGGAAATCGACCAGAGTACCCGTCTACTTGAAAGAGATGTGGGATTCTGGCGTCATGCACAACCCAAGGCAAATCTTCGATGACGCTGAGCTGCAAGACATGCAACAGCTTATGAAGAAGAGCTTCTAGTTCAAGTTCTAGAAATACTTGTTAATCTCGTGAGGAATATCTCCTGTTCTTGAACCTAAAGCTATATAAGCCTAAGAATTGGAAGGGGTCGATGAACAGGATCCCACACGGAACCTAAAAAGAATACGAAGCTGTAGCACGCACGCAAGAATAATGTTTACTCGTGGTACCTTGATCTTTCTTCAGAAGTATCAACGATAGATAATCCACGTACCTTGTTGATCTTTCTTCAGAAGTATCAACGTTACTAGATAATCATCCAAGTACTAAAAATGCAGCACGATCCTAATATCCCACGACATCTTCAACTTCCCACTTTCATATTGCTACAAGCGGATGATTTCTACTGTGATATGCCTCGACTGAAGGTCTTGGTGACACAGCCGCGTCGTATCGCTTGTATTTCCTTGGCCAAACGCGTCGCCAGTGTGCTTGGAGAAGAGCTCGGAAATTCCGTAGGGTACCAGATTTCTGGTGACACTGCCGTGAAAAAATCTACCCAGATCGTCTTTGTCACTACGGGTTACTTGCTACAAGTCGTGGTGAACAACCCAGAAAGGCTGAACGAATACTCGCACATCGTTCTGGATGAGGTACTACAAAGAAGAATTATTTTTCACGGCTTAAATTTTTTGATTTTTTTATGTAACTACTAAGTAGATGATGTCCATGTTGTACTTCTTCAAGTTGACAATTAGAAACGTCTACTATCTTCTACAGCTTCACGTTCTTGACGTGGTGGTCTTCATCTAAAAAGCCCTAGTAGGTCCACGAACGCGACATCGATGCCGATTTGGTGAACTTGGTCGTCAAGCTTCAAATGCAGAGCTCACATTTCCGCTTGGTGATCATGAGTGCGACGCTCCAGGGTGACTTGTTTGGAAAGTACTTTTGCGAAGGGCGCAAACGCGTGAACCCGATTCAAGTGGGTGCGAAGCGTTTCGACGTTGATGAGATCCATCTAGATTTAGGAGTAGGTTAAAGGTGCTTTTGATGTTACCGTTTGTTATGCCTCTCCTATTAAGGGAGAAAGGCATAACAAGCGGGGTAAGCGAGCACTAATAGATGAACTACCTCTAATAGATGAACTACCGGACTGCGACGCTTACAGCTTTAGTCCGGAATCTGCAGACGCGATTCGCAACGGGATGTATCAATTCAGGGAATTCCGAAGATTTCAGAAACCACCGAAACCAACTGGGACATCTAAGGAGGATCAAGGAAGTGACACAGAGGAGGAGCATGAAACGCCGGCGCCGGGGCAGGTAGTCAACGATGAACCAGATGATTAAATACACAATCTTCACGACTACGGAACCCCGATACTGAATGATCAACAACGGCTCCAGCATCTACTTCTCATTCACTCATTACATGCATTCGTCAGAGAAGAAAACATGGCAATTTTAATTTACAATTTAGTACTTTCTTCTATTCTCTCCAAAATCTACCTCTTGTCTCTCCAGCATCTACTTTCTTCTATTATCTCGAAAATGATCAATCAATGAATCAATCAATCAATCAATCAATCAATCAATCAATGAAACAAATGCACGCCAGGCAACAGGAGGCGCCGCTTTAGCCGCTTTGCAGCAGAAATCACGTGGGCGACCGCGCGGGCGCATGCCGCATGCGACCATCACAAAGGATTTCGAACTTGTAGTCAAGGAGATTATTATGCAGAGCGCGCGCGGTGGTGAGGGCATTTTGGTTTTCTTGCCCGGTATTGGCGAGATCACAGAGTTGCATGATCAACTCTTGCCTCTAGAGCAGATCGGAACCAACGCCAAAGGCAGTGGAATCGAGTACCGGATCTTTGTGCTGCACTCTTTGATCCCGAAGGACGAGCAGGAGAGTGCGGTGTTCAAGGCGCCGAGCGAAAAAATTTGCCACGTCATTTTGGCGAGTAACATCGCAGAATCATCGCTGACCATTCCGAATATCAGGTATTTATTTTCGATATCAACGACCTTTAACAACTTCTGGCTCATTTGGATGTGGAGGATGTCCTGGCTACAACAAGAACAACAAAGGTCTACTAGATTGTAGTTTTCCTCGTTCACAAATAACTACCTGCTAGTATTTATTCTTATAAATATATCATTTGCATTTAATTGCGTTGCTTTTATTCAACATCCTAGGATAATTCTTGTATCTTTATCAGTTATCTTCATGTTTCCACACCATAAAAAACACAGATACGTGATCGACTTCGGTCTGCGTCGTCAGTTGGTCTACGATTCCCGTCGCCACATGTCCTGCCTTTCCACCACGTGGGTGTCGCAGGCCAGCGTGAAGCAGCGCATGGGCCGTACGGGTCGCGTTTTCGCCGGAACCAACATTCGACTGTATACTCGCGGGTTCTATGAGTCGCTTCCGGAATTCGATGCGCCAGAAATGGAAACCGCGCCTCTCGAGAAGCTCTACGTCAACGTCAAATTCTTATTAAGGCTCAACATTATTATTTATTATTAGGTTCAACGTCAAATCATTATTATTAGGTTATTGGGTTAACGTCACACTCTTGGTCATTGACCAATTCCTTCCGCTGAAGATGCATCCTCAACGCCATCCTTGGCTTCTTTTTCAAGGGGAAACGGACTCAAGGAGGGGCTCAAGGATGCGACGTGGTAGCTCTAACCTTAGCAGCGAAGTTACCGCCATTTCCGATTGACCCTGGTGGCGTGCCTCGAAAGTTGAAACCACGAGAGCTCTTGCGGCTGACGGCGCAGCCACCTGATACGACCGCCTTGGAAAGGTCAGTGGCGACACTGGTTGAGATGGGCGCACTCACTAGCAATAGCGAAGAAGCGCAACTCTCTTTGCTGGGGCACTTGATGCTCACTTTGCCACTTGACATTTACCTCTGCAGATTGGTGGTCTATTTATGGAAGGACTACTTTTGAAACTACTATCTTCACGACGGTCCTCTTCGTCTTACAAAGCAAGTCGTCTAGTAACTACTAGTACAACGGCAACATAATTTCCCTCATCATCTAATCCTTGGCGCTCTTTTCGGTTGTGTCGCTGATGCTATCGTCATTGCCAGCGGCCTGTCGACGCAAGACCCGTTTACGCTTCCTACCCACCTGGTAATCAAGGACCAGACGGAGTATGCGCAAGCTGTGAAACGGAGTTTCCTTTCCAGAAAGCATTTTGACGCTGGTCAATACAGTGAACCTCTGATGCTCCGCAACATGTTCGTGCAGTGGATGGTCGATTTCTACGATTTCAAGGAAAAGCAGGTTGCGCATCGTCGTGGTTACGTGCAGGAGAACCATCGTGCCAGCTTCACCAAGTTCTCCCAGAATTTCGCCAGAAGCTATGCGGTCGCACCGAAGCGTTGTGTGCACTTGTGCATGAACGTGCTGGATACCGCGACTCGCTTCAAAAAGTTCATCCACAAGGACTCGCAATTGTACGACGACATCTCTCGCTTGATCTACATCTTGTCTCCCTACTACTACGAGGAAGCGAAGCCGAGCGACCTGTTCAACACCTCGGGACCAATCTTGAAGAGTCTCCTGCTTGCGAGCTTTTCTCCGAATCTGCTGATCGGAAACACGAAGCTTCGCGATGGAGAAAATCCCAAGCGGAAGAAGGCAGGGTACTTATACTAACTGTAGATGAGGATGTAACGATACACGAGGACTACTAGGAAGATTCATGTGTTAGTACGTACTTATATTTAACAGAAAGGCAACATGCACTAGGACGAATCTTCCCAGCGTCAACAAAGTGAAAGTTAATCCTTCATAATCCAAGAAACGACCACTCTTGTATGAATTATGAACACTAGGGCTGACAACCTGAACGCGAAGGAAAGTTTAATGCAAGATATGCTAATGAAGGGTATTGATCCGCGGCGAGCAGTTCAAATTGTATTAGAGATTCCGAAGGACATCGAGAGCCGAGAAACGATGAAGGAAGATTTGCAAGAAACGTTTTCGCAAATTATGGCGTGTGATCCGCGGGACATCATTATCAACCTGGAACCGGATTGGAAGAAACTCTATATCGAATTCCGAACCGAGTCGCAGATTGGTACACCAGAGGAAACCGGGAACGCATCCACACTGCAAGACCATCAAGGCGACTATTACAACTAGTAATTATTAAAGCTATCCTTGCAGCTGCACTTCTATTCATTTTTACACCCACCAACAACAGCGCCACGGATTGTCTCTGAAGGTCAAGCTATTTCCCCGAGCAGGCGCAGCCCAACGCTTCAGGCAGGCGAGGACGATGCGGGGCCCCGCGCTTTGCAGTGGGGTACCATTGCCACGCCAGTGCTAAACGCTGCCGCGCCCCTCAGCTCGTGGGCCCTGCTGTCGCTCTCGCGTGCCATTCAGATGAGTGAAGGCGCGCAAAGCGTAAAGCGGCAGACAGCGGCTCACCCGTGGCCTGCCAAGCCCGCCGCCGCGTCAGCGCGGAGGCTGCCTGACGGTTTGCCAAGACATTCGCTCCGGGCCGTTCGCAGAGGCTTCAGTGAATCAGCGAAGCTGCCCGAGCAGGCGCGCAGCCAAGCAGAAGACTAGACCACTAGCGGACCGGACAAGTTGCGCGGCTGAATGTTCAGGAATCCACTGGGGCCCTTGTTGTCGCTTCGCCTCTACCTCTGGCCGCGCAAAGCGCTGCGCCGCACCACGACGGAGAGACATGCAAGGCGGACAGCTGTCGCGGCTGAGTATGTCGCTGAAGGGTGGAGCGCTCGCGGATTAAGATTGTCCCCGCGTCGCTGCAGGATTGCGCTGACGAATTAGACGGCGCGAATTGCGTAGTCAGTGAACCGAGCGCCCAAGCGCGGAGAAGCGTTTGCAAGCAGTGAAAAGCGTCACAGCCGGCGCTTTCTTCTGCGGGGCGCGAGCTTGTCCAAATGGCCCGCGTGTTGCCTAGCTTAGTGAGGACCTCGAACATGATAAGGCTGAGGGATGGCCATGGCTTTGGTTGACTCTTTTGAAGGACGAAGCTGGCGACGCTTCCGGTGCGAGTGGTCTCGGTTTTCGTTGCGGCGAGCTCTCTTGTTGCGAGCTCTCCCCTAGAGCTAGAGGCCGCGCGCCAAGCAGAGACGCTGTTGGGGCGAAGTGGCTAGCGGTTTTGGCGTTGTGCTTGCTCGGGCTCTTGCCTGGACTGGTTGGTGGTTCTTGTTTGGGGGCGGTCTCAGTAGTCTTCACACCCTCAGGCGCTTGGGCTAAATCTTCAGCCATCGCGCCGCTGGCCTTTTGTTATTTGAAAGGGGTCCATCGGGGCCCTCTGGCGAAAGGGGGGAAGTTAGCGCGGCGCGCCACTCTTGGCAAGTGCGGCCAGTTTGGGTGTTGTGCTCTTCCATGTTTGGAATGCACTGGAGAAGGTTAGTAAGGATTTGAGGACGCAGCGCGAGACCTGTTCTTGACCTTGAGAAGCGTAAAGTCTCTCGGGAGAGTTGGGCTCTACGGCGTGGGGACATTCTGAAACGGAAGGGCGTGGCGTGGCTTATGCAAAAAGCTCCACAGTTGGCGGAACTTTTTCCCCCGACCGCCCAACCCCGGGAGAGGTCGGGCTTAGACTGTCTGACCGGAGGGAGCTCTATCTTTGCTTCTGCAGCCCGTTCTCTGATTTCCTTGGCTGCGTCGTTGTTTCTCTTTGGGTCACTAAGTGGAGAGCCGTCGAAATTAAGGGGGACGGGTTAGCGATGCCAGAGGGCTGCCTGATGTCTGGGGGTTAATTTATTAGGGCGCGCTTGCGTCTTCATTTTAGCTTGCTAGTAGCTAGCTCTCGCGAGTTCTTCAGATGGCCAAATTGTGCGCGCTCATTGTTCTTGGAATGCTATGTATAAATACCTTCATCTTCATGCCGATATTGCTTCTGTCTTCGTGGATAGTAACTTAGAGCGAGAGTCGAAATCTATCCACCACAGCTCCTCCACTCGCGATCGCGGAATTTTTCCCGAGTTGTCCGCACTGTGTCGACAAGAAAACGAGGATATCCAGACACTGCCGCTGGGAGCCACGTTAATCGATATGTTTGGTGCTGGGCGTTTCCGCTTTCACGCTCGTTTGGTTGAAGCGACCTTTCATCATCAAGATCGCTACAATGAGAACAAGCAAAACAACGTGATTCCACTCGCTAACACCGACTTAGATGGAACACCGCAAGCTGGGAGGTACTTCCTCATCGACTAGTGATCTCTATCTCATCTAAATACAACTTAACACTCTAAATAATAGAGGATGCTGAAGACGAGTAGTATTTGAAAAGTTTCTTTCCAGGAGGAGAATTTTTTTACTGACGTAAAGTCTAATTGATGACGAGTTGTAGCATTTGAAAAGTTTCTTGCCAGGAGCTGCAGGAGGACCAGGAAGATGAAGAATACTTACACTCGTTTGACTAAGTTATTATAGTACAACTTAGTACTTCCTTTCACCTTCGCCATACTCAAAGAATAAATACATCAAACCTTCACGACTTTCACATCAGCACCTCTGCTCCGGAGGACCAGCACGATTGGGTTCAGGATTTCTACAATGAAACGCCTGACTTGCAAAACTATTGGGGTGGAGGTGGTGAGGATGAGATCTACCTCAATTTCTACAAGCCTATTTCGCCTTTCGAGATCGTGTGGGACGTCTACTCAAACGAAAACATGCTCACAACTCGCAGTGTCGAGGAGCTCCGTTCTGAGGAATACGAGAAGGCCGTAGCACTGCAGGAAGGTGGCAAGAAAGCAAAGAAAAATTATGGTCTGCACTGAACTTTGTGCGAGATCAATTGCATTGTACTAGCAGTTGGTTTACTGAATTTTTCATCTTCACTATTATATATAGAAGGTGGAAGCCCGCCCCGTTTTTTCTACTTAGCAGATCTGTTCCGCCACAAAGAACAACTATTGAGACCTCCTCTAATTCCCGGACGTCATCCGCCTAATGGAGCAGATGCAGCGGAAGAAGATTAAGCCCATCAAGGGAAATTGTACCTGGCGAAACGTCCTAGGCGCGTTGACGAGTTGCAACTTAAGCAAGATGGAACCTGAATTGAGCCAATACTTAGACGAATCTTCGAATGCCGCAGCACGACGACCGAGGTGGCAACTGCCGCAAATCCAACCGCCGATTCCGAATGAGATTGTCGCCTGTTACACGTCTCAACAAGGAGCTAGCGACGTGCAGTACACGGCGCAACAGGGAGGCGCGCAGGTACTACATACTTACTTACTTGGATTTCATGACAGAGTCGACGAGGAGGCCACTTCCACAACAATCTTTTCAGATTGTAAAACTGGAACTGGAAGGCAGAAAACAACCATGCATGACTCTTACTCTTTCTGCGTCACAACTTCTAAAAAAGTAGAAACAACCTGATAATGTTCGAAAATTCATCTCAGGCAGTGCAAACGGTTTGGCTTGACGGTGTGACGATTCTGAGTTGCAACTTTTACGAAAAACCAGTTTCCGAATCCGTCTCCAATAGTGAGCCCAACGAGTCCTGCGTCGACGCAGATCCTAAGGCCCAGCTTCCGAGTCTTTACGCGACTGTCCTCATGCTGGCGTTCTGCCCGAGCAATTATGCGGTACTCGTCGATGCACTCATGGACATTTTTGTCGCTTAGATGATCATGATCGTTCGTTTTGATTTTGTTGATGTTCTGTAATGATGATCTTGATGATGTAGATCTAGTTCTAGTATATAATTTGGTTGTGAGTACTACCTACCCTGTATCATCAAACGCTCTTGTTCCAATTATACAAAACCACAGTCATTCCCTCAACAACAACAACAACAACATCCAATTTATAGGTGAATGTGAGCGGCAACTTCGACAGTGGCCGCGTTTCGAAAATCGAGATCGGATCCCATGCTCCTCTACGCTGCTGTACGCCGGATAAGTCTGTCCACCTGCATATTCGTGACATCGAACGCGTCAATCGTCTGAGGAAGATCATCAGCGACGCTTTCCTGGGTCGGGACACGAGCATGTACGAGCAGTGTCTGGATGCGGCTAAGAGACAGCAAGCAGGCATAGGCTCAAAGCCTGATTTGTATCCGCCAGGGTCCACTCCCTCTGAGTCCAAGGTACGCGACGCCTTCGACCTGCCAGCTACTACCGCTGGAGCCGATGGTGGATTGGCTGCGCACATGCGTGCTGCGACGAAGTCTTCGTCCTACGAGCGCCCTACTGAGACCAACGACTCCGAAGTAGGGGGACTTGAAGTGCCGATGCTCGTGGACTCGCCGTGCGTGCGGAAAGCACTGGAAGAACTGCTTCACAACATCGGGGAAGGGCCGAATGTGTGCAGGGACATGCCAGAAGACATCGAATTCACATTCAAGAACCTGGACATCCACAACTTCAAACACTATTACGATCCAAGTCTTTACTGTGCAGACGCTAATCCGAGCATGGTCACGGGCATCACACACACATTCGACGTGCCTACGAGGGTATTTACTTCAATAAATTCTTTGCTTTTTCAAATTTGGAATTCGATTAGAAGCAGTTAATAATGTGGGAACCTCAGGAATTGATTTCAATTTAAAGTCGATAAAATCAAAATTTTTGAATTCAACTTGAAATAATCATCTTGGAAAACCAAAAATTTTGATTTTATTTTGTTTTAATCAAGTTCAATTTCTGATCAAGCATTTGCTGCAGTGATTCATGAAATTCGATAGATTGCAGATACGTTGTATCAGCTGCATTATTTCTTCGAGATTTTTAGTCAATTTTCAGATGCACCGCAAATTCACACATGAGATCTCTAATATGATTCATTTTGGAATAAAATCAAGAACATTTGAGATACACATTTACAATGTTGGAATCAACAACAATTTCATAAAAACTTTGATTTGTCCTCCAGGTGAAACGAGCAAGTGCATCTGGTCGCGCTAACAAAGACGGTGTCAAGGCCACCACGCCTGGATCTTCCTCAACCTCTGCACTGGTAGAAAGCGACTACTTCCAACAATTCTTCGTCAAAACCTACTACAAGAATCCCTTCTTCAACTGCCCGCACTTGCAGCCGAAGACGCACACCATCAACAACCCGGATTACCATCCGAGTTGGGAGGGCTACGGACCGCAGTATGGGCCCACGCTGCAGTACACCACCGACCCGATGAACAATCTGGACAATTTTCGACTCCTAAAGCCCGCAGTGAGTCTGGAGGCGCTGCGCGACATCCGTATCCGTGTCCTGAAGGAGCAACGAGGCTCGCTCCCGCTGCCGACGGGCGCCGGGCCAACTCCGGTGCTTGGCAAGGGTGGAAAGAACGACAAGGTGAAAATGCCGCAGAAGCAGGCACAGGCGGAGCAGTTGATGCGCCCACAAGAGAAGAAATACCTAGAAACGCTGTATAAGCAGATCGCCGGTTTTGACGAGCCGCCAAAATCAGCCTTGCCGCAGAAAGCAGCGAAGGCGGGTCCAGCTGTGAACAAGCTGAAACCACTTCCAGGCAACATCCAGGGGTTGGCCACGCATGTCCTGTCGGGAGCAGCACACGGCGCTCATCATCCAGCTGGCGGACCGCCCGGGCACGGCGCGAACGCGCCCAACGCACTAGCACTCCAGGTCCAGAGCACGATCAAGCCGTTCCAGCAGGTGAAGAAGAAGAAATCGACCAAGAATAAGGAGAAGCCGTACGTCAAGGGCGAGCTAACCGCGGCGATTGACATCGACAACTGGTTGGCTTCCACCCCTGACGATGACGAGGTCGGAGGCGACGGAGCCGCCGCCGAGCGCGCAGGTGATGGACAGGAAGACGACGATGACGACGATGAAGACGAGAGCAGCAGCTCCGATGAGGACGCTGAGGGAGGGGACGAAACGACACCCATGAGTGTAAATTCAGGTCCTCCCGCAGGAGGAGTAAACAACTCCTCGTCTCCGCATAATGCAGCCGGGGGAAGCCGCGCGGCCGCGTTCACGTACAACCACTGGGGTTCCTCTGCGGCAGCTGAATTGTCGGATACCACTTCTGCCACGCAAGCATCAAGCAAGATCAATCTCGGAGCGTGGGGAGCACCGTCAGGAGCGGCCTCTACCTTAACAGCCTCTACAGGAGGCTGGGGCGCAGCTGCGACCGGAGGAGGTCGACATGACAAGATGAACAACAAAGCCTCGTATCCGTATAATGCCACAGGAGCAGGAGCTTCTACAGGAAAGGGAGGCACTAATGCGGCACCCGGGTTCGGCACTAGTGGCTACGGAGCGGCTGGAGGTGCTTCTGCTGGTGCCGGATACCATGTTCAACATGGTGCTTCTAGTAAAGGAGCAACTTCTACTGGTGCAGGTGGATCATCATGGGCAACTACAACAGCTCCAGGCTTAGCTGCAGGTGGAACGTCAGGAGGACAAGGAGGTGGAGCTCCAGGCTTAGCTGCACCTTCTGGAGGAGGGGCTCCAGCATCATCTCAACATCAGCAGTTTAGTACCACGGCCGCGAACGCTGTCGGGGGCTTTTTCGGTGCCGCGGACGACTCAGATGATGAGGACGAGGAAGAGGACGCCGACACCTCTCCACCCAATACAGGCACACACGCGGAGGCACAACTAAAGGGTGGAGGCACGACTTCTTCTAAAGGTGGAAATAAAGGCGTTGGACAAGCCACCAGTGCGCAATACTATGCTACTCGGAATAAGCAAGGTGCTGGGGGAAAGTACGGCGCACATCTTGCTGCGAGCGGAGCAGGGAAAAATGGCGCAGGAACAAGTGGAGCTGCAGGAGCTGGCGCGGGTTCCTTCGGAGCCGCTGCTGCCAAAGGAGGAGGTCCAGTAGCCGGAGCAGGGGCAGTGAGTTCAGGAGGAACCTACGGAGCAACGAACGCTTCTGGCAATAGTACTAAGGGAGGAGGTGCCCCCGCAGGAGCAACGTCTGGAAAGAAAGGCTCACCAACGGAGCCTTCTTCTAGCGCATCTTCGGCCGCTGAGGCATGGGGAGGCTCTACAGGTGGAGCTGCCTCAGGCTGGTATCCTTCCGCATCAGCGACATCAAAAGGCACGTCTTCAGCAGCTTCAAAAGGTGGCACAACAGCTCAACAAAGTGCTTCTGCAGGAGGTTGGGGACACACTCACTGGGGAAGTAGTGGCTACGGAGGTGGCTACACCGATGGCACTACTTCTGGTGGTGCGACAGGAGCAGGAACAGACTGGTGGTCCACAGGAGCTGCGTCTTCGACGGCGCATGGGTCCAAAGGAGCATTGAGCGGTAAAAAGGGCGTCTCGGCAGCCGCGTGGGGCTCAGCAGGAGGAGGAGGAAAGCAGTTACATAACGCTCCTTGGGCAGCGTCTCCTGTGGAAGGAGGAAAGAACGGCCTCTGGGACAGCACAGCGAAGGGTGCGAAGGCCGGCATGAAAGGAGGCAAGAACGCTGCAGCAGGAGCTTTGGGTGCAGTAGGTGGCACAGCACCACAGCACTACGTTGTTGCGGACAACTACACGAACAGTGCGTTGTATCACACAGGCGCGGTTCACCACCACCCGACCAGCGGCGCGTCCTCGGCTTCTGCAGAGGGAGAAGCAACGTGGCCGCCGGACGGCTCTAACACGACGATCGATCATCATCAGTACGCGGCCGCAGCGGCCGCTCATGTGGCCCACGGAGTAGATCACGGAGGCGCCGTTTTAGGTGCGGACCAGGACTACTACGGAGGCGCAGGGTACACAGCGAGAGCTGCTGCCGCGGCAGCAGCAGCACAGAAACCCGCAGCGAAAAACCCGGGGCTTCCAGCCAACCCTCCGCCGCATGCGCCAGGCTACCTCACGAAGACACCGGGCGGAGGAAACATCAGTGCAGCCGCTGTTGCACGTGCGTGGGACGCCGCACAGACTGCAGTTTCCTGGGGACAGGAAGTCGGTCTCGGCTACGCGCAAACAGCCGCCGCCGCCTCCGCTGTACCAGAGCACCATGATTACACGAGCAGTGCTGCCGTCACTGCAGGAGCTGTACCAGGAGTAGATCATTACTATGCGACGCAAGCGGCAGTCGCAGCCGGAGCCGCTGCAGCAGCCGCAACATCGACGCAACCCGTAGTAGTGCAACGTCTAGCCGAACAGCATATCGATCCGACCACTGGCGTCCCCTACCAGACGCGAAAGAAAGCGGGATCTGTACTTTTTTTATTGTCGATTCCTCCATCAAACTCCTGTTTAGGTCGTTCTTCTACTTAACAGCATTGTAATTCATTGTATTTTATTTGTTGTCACATTGTTCTACTTATTTTTCGGGCGGCATGAATTAGAATTTGAATATGACGAACTACTACAAATCTCTGTAGCCGACGGTCACATCCTACTCAAAAATCTTAAACAAATAACGGAACGACCTTCCCCACTCTTCCACGACCGACGAACCTCAGACGCAAAGCGCCACCGGTGTCGATCATGGAACGAAGAAGAAGTCTCCGTCGTCGCCAGAGCAGGGGCCTTCCGGTGACATTCCTAATGGCTGGAAGGAAGCGCAGGATCCTAAGACTGGTCGCAAGTATTACTGGAACGTGGCCACAAAGCAGACTCAGTGGAAGAAACCCACCGCAGCTGCCACGGCAACTGCAGGAGCTGGTGGAGGTGGTGCTACTAGTGGAGCTAGTACAACTGGAACTACAGGAGCAGGCGCAGCGGGAACTAGTGCAACGGGAGCTGCAGCTGCAACCGGTGTGACAGCTGGTGGTGTGACAGCTGAGCAAGCCTCTGCAACAGTAGCTGGACATGAGACCGCAGGAACGGGATCAAATGTCGCTGAAGCAGCTGTTTCAGGAGCAAGCAAAGTAATACTTGTTACACATTATATTCATTTTTTGTCCTAAGCTGCTAATATCATCTAAGAATTTTCTTGGTTTTTGTTCTTCATCACCTTCTTGAACTCGAAGTATGTTTATCCTTGACTCTTGTAATTGCTTACTCACAAAAACTTGCCTCAGTTATCAGCATCGGCGCAAGAGTTCAGACCTGGCGCGGAAACGGAGAATCGAAATTTTGAGCATTACGCAGCTACGGCCCATAGTGCTGCTGCGGCGGCGCACCCAGCGGCCGCGTACCAGTTGATTCACCCGGCGGCCGCGCTTCACCACCGAGCAGCCGCCGATCACGCCGCGTACTACTACGCGGCCGCGCAGCATCCAGCCACGGTCGCTGCTGCCGCGGCGCAGCAAGAGGCGGCGGCCTATCCACTCGCAGCTGCCGCAGCATACATTCATCCAGCCGCATACCACCCAGCCGCAGGCGCAGCCGCAGGAGCTACCCATGCCGTCACGTATCCGCATTTGGCACGCACTGGAGCGGCAGCAACGTACATGGACACCACGTTTCATCATGCTGCACAGTAGCTTCGAAACGCCTAGTTGGTAATGGAGGTATTAACGCAACATGATCAATAGTAGTTCGGAATAAGAGCGAACACAAGAACGACAACGGTATACTTCTCTTCACGCCTGGTCCTCGGTATACACTCACGCTCATTTAAGTTGATGTTCAGAATCAAGGAAGAGTCACATCTTCTTACATGTTCATAATTTAAGACGAAGCTCCTGTCAGGGAAAAATTACATCTTCTTACATCATCAGCACCGTTTTTACAACCGCAGGAAATGTATCATCCCGCCGATGGCCTAGTATCGTCATTTGGGAAGATGTCGTATGATGATGCATGATAAGATATGACGGTGTGTATCCTCTATGTATGTGTTTACAACAATCATTTTGATATAGTAAAACTAGAAGTTGCAATAAAAATATATCCTATACCTATTCTTGTTCCTGATCCACTACTAGTCTAAGACTCTCCTTCATCTACATCAGGTGAAGACAGTGACTTGAGGTAGTAAGAACTTTCGTTTGTAGTAGTTCTGATGAATTATCACAAGACGTTTGGTGCAGGTCGTGCCACGCACCTATGTAGCTGCAACCACGACTCTTGCTTCCATCGTTCTCCCTTGTGGAGATGTCAACAGTCGTGTACTAAGACTGTTGAATCCTTGTACCAACTGTAGATGACAGATTATTAATCTGTAAGCAGAATCCTATGATATTAATCTTTGTGTCTTATTAGAGAACCGCGTCGTCGAGTGGTTCGCTAATCGTCCTATAATTTGAACTTCCGCCAGCTGATGTCGTGATCTTCAAGTATGTAGTTTTATAAGACTACAACAAACTATTACTATAACTACGTCAGAAATCGTAGTCTTCACAGATAAACTTCTAGAAGACTGTTAAAATCCTGTCATGTTGTTGACCAAACCGCCCCTACTATGATCTACTCAGTCTGGAACTTTTTGAACTAGGTCAGTTGGTTCAACAAGTCTACCTAGTCTAGCACAAATTTATACTTGAAATCATGTGGAGGTTAGCCATAAAAATATCCACCTCGTCTATGCTGACCTACCCAAAAAGACGTTGGAGTGGATTACCTACTTGTCGCGGCGCGACTAAGATCATGGAAGGGTCGAGTACCCTACCTAGTAGTACGGTGCAGCTTTCGAGCAGGTCCGATGTGGTGACGACCTAAAAAAATATTCCACATGAAACTACAAATTCTTATTCTTTGAAAATATGTTAATTTTTCACTCGTCCCGTTCCTGATTGATGTGAAATTACCGAGTTTAATAGGTTAGTTAGATAACCATAACACGAGAAGTTTTTCATTTGAGTTTTTATTTTACATGAAGATGTTACTCAGGTTAGAAAGTACTGCCTCTGCCAAAAATAACCTGGTGAGGAGTCAGTTGTCAGATTCCTCGTCCCTTCTAGATACCAACATGACCACCATCAATGAATTTGATGAATTGATTGATTGATTATAAGAGTAGTCATTATCAATATCTTGTGCTTCTTGAGTGTTGCTCGCTGTGTTTCTGAATGTATGATTTGTGTTGAAAGAGAATGTTGACTATTTTTAATATTGAGGAGGAGCAAAGAAAACGAAGAGAACAACTACCCTTCTTGATGATGCATTCGACCTTGGACGCGCTAGATCATGATGCAGAGGACACATCCGCGACAAGACTACAACTACGTCCACCTTCAAGAAGAATTATGAAAAAGACAATATCCGCCAACCAAACCGTACAATTCGCCATGTGACTTATTTTGGTTTTTGAACTTTTTTGTTATATAAGGATAGTACCCATGTACTGTAGTTGTTGTCATTCCTATTGACACCAGAGTTCTTGCAACATGCTCTCATAGGATTGCGTGTACAGTTCTTCATCGTGATTCGATGAACTGTTGTTTTTCTCTTCTTGCATGAACGCATCAGGGGTCGGTCAGAGAGATTGAGGATATCATGTTCGAGCGTCAAAAACTACCTCCAGAACAGGTAAATTATGAATGAATGAAGGGTCAAGTAGTTCAAGGGTCAAGTTTTTTGAATAAGAACGAGAAGTAATCGGTTCCCCGCGCCTGTTCGACTCCTGAGTTGTTCGCCGCGTTGTGAGACATCGTTGCCATGCTCTGTCATCGGTTTTGATCACTTTGTACTCGTACTCGTTTCCTCATCTTGTCGTCCAACTATTTTCTTGTCGAAGAGAGCTTAGTATCACTACTTTCTTGTTAAAATACAATATCAAAGTGCCAGTCTTTATTCTATTTAAACCCATTATATCATCTCGTACTCATCCTGCCTAAAAAAAAAAGAGCATTAAAATCTAGAAGTACTTTGTGAGACCGGCATGGAAATAGAAAAAGTAAAACTTGTTCTCACTGGGACCGGGTGTAGTTGACGAAACAAAAACTGAAAGCCTCTCAAGAACAAACAAAACCTGAAAGCCTCTTAAGAACAAACAAAAACTGAAAGCCTTTCCTTTCCTCAAGAAAATACACCAAAAACAAACAAAATATAGCTGGAGATATCTTGAGTAGGAGCTCTCGTGACGACTAAGACTATCCACCAAACAAGGTTCACAAAATGCACGCCACAGGAGGACAAGATGCTTTCGACCGGAAGAGGTCGACGGGCCTCAAGGGGAAGGTCCAGGATATGGCCTACTCCCTTCAGATGCAGAACGAGGAAATCGGTATCGAGAAAAATCAGCTCGAAACGATAAAGAGCGAAAACTTGAGCAGTTCGAACGGGTACAACTTGTTGATGAGTTCCTTCATCCTATTCTTGTTCAAGTATTGTTCGTTGTAGTTGTACAACTCACTCAACATCAACATGTTGATAATCTCAGACAAGTTCTGGTGAGCATCATTTGAAAAACGTTAGTCACGACCATGAGATTGAGAAGTGCTATTCCTGCCATCAACTTTTTTTGATATTGGTTTGTATTACGTAGTCGTTGTTGTACAACTTTTCTTCAACATGATGGAGTTTGTTGCGAGAATGAAGAATCCTCCCGACCACAGACAAAACGTAAACATGATCTTCTAAATCTAAAAATTTCCACCACCAGGTTGCAAAACAAGCGTAAACATCTTCTAAATCTAAAAATTTCCACCACCAGGTTGCAAGGTCAATTGGGAGATATCAAGCGTTATTTTGCCGCAGACGTGCAGCGAATGGAGGAGGAGTTTCGAGTACAGGCTAACTTGCAGAAAAGTGAGAATGTCCGACTCCAACAGCAGTTGACGACTTTGAAGTTACGCATTACAGGAGATACTTAAGTAAACACATAACAGGAGATACTTATCATGATACAGGAGATACAGGAGATACAACTTATCATGATACAGCCTACAGGAGATACTTAACTAATAACACCTACTGATACAACTGATTAATAAAGACATCCTCCTTGAAAGACATAACAGGATATGATAAAGGAGATACTTATAACTGAATATAGACATCCTCTAAAGGAGAAGAAGTGTCATGCCGTATACGCTTACCTTGTCGCAGGTGAGCCAACTCCTATCCTAGTATCCTATCCTACCCTACAACTTCAACCAGTTAGGACCTCTCATCTTCTATGAGCTAGGTGATAGGCCTCTAATGAACGGAGAAAAGACGTCAGTGCATCAGCAAATCATCGCACTCCAAAGGCGCATCGAGGAGATCGAGGAAGAAATTGGTCACGACTAATCTTCGAGCGAATCATCGGGAAAAAGAGGAGAAGGAGGTAAGTACCTACAACTTTTTGTCAGTACTTTTTGGAGTTAACGAAAGAAAATCGATACTTGTCGGATTCAATGAGACAACTACAAGTGAAATCTTCATCTTCTTGAAGCTACAGGTAGCCTTGCTTCTTTCGAGACATGTTGAATAAAAACTAAATTTTCTTGAAGCTACAGGTATCCTTAGGGGGGCGGTCACGTTTCGAGACTGCTGCGCAAGTATGAGCAAGGATGGCCAGAGTAGTAGATGTAGACGTGGGCATAACATCTTCGTCTTAGATTTTGTGACTGCAGAAGTGCTAATAAAGTAGTAGGTTGTTATTTCATTGACATCATTATGACATCCAGATTTCCTTCCTAAACAAAACGAACACTATTCAACAGCTGAACAATATCAATAGATATTTCAACATCATCATTTCTATTATAGTGGACCGACGTACAACAACAGGTAGTACTTACATAATAATGAACAAGTTACAAGTAGTACCACGACAATGAATACGATTTCCACAACATCAACTGCACAGATGATACAGGAAAACAGGAACGGAATCTGGGAAATCGAAATTGTAGTGGTAAAATTATAGGCGCAAACCGAACGACCGGTACATGGATATTGTAATTCTGTATCAAAAGAATCCAACTAGTACAACTAGAAGAGGCAGAATGACGATGACCAGTAGACGAAGAATGAACAAGAAACAAGACGAAACCATAGTGCGCTGAACCATAAATGTACTTGTATATTCAAGACTAGCATTGTAGAAATTCTTTCGAAGATGATGATGTGGGGACGATAGAAAACGTCGAGTGAAGGTCCTGCTCGACTCGAAGCCTGCGGAAGTAGCAGAAGTAGTGTTCAACTTCTTATATTTTCGAAAAAAAATGTTGATCAAGAGCATGGATATTCATGATTATCAGTCGGTTTGCTTCTACAGTTCATTGAGCGAGGCTGTCAGTGCGACGAGTGCTCTGTCCTCTCCTCGGTTTCTGTTCGGTCGGAACGGTATTTAGTGTGATCTGGCTGTATTTACTGTTCTGTCCTTCTCCTGCCCTTCCTGTCTTCAAAATTTCAATTTCATTTACTAACGAGCGAAACTCTACCGCGACTGCCCCCCTCCACACCTACACCTCTCTCCCGCTACAATCTGTCCTCTGCGCACAGCGCGTTAGAAGCGTAAGAATTTGATTGGTAGTATCTATCCACTTCGACTGTTTCTTGATGTAGTTAAGCCACATTAAAAGCAGAGTTCCAGAAGTAGATAAGACAGGAAGTCGAAGTAGAGACCTATTAGGCACATTGATCTTCAGTGAATTACTACAAGGAGTAGAACTACTTCAGAGCAGAATCTCCTAGAATCCCTTAGAAGAATACTACATACGACAGTCTCCTGCTTTATTGTTAAAAATACCGGCAAGACGAAGAGAAAAAGAATGTCATCGTCACAGCCAGCTGACGACTCGTCTGGCTCTGGGTCGGGCTCGGGAAGCAGCGACGAGAAGTCAGAGCGGTCGTCGTCCTCCGTCTCGGTGACCGGTTCGTCTTCTAGCATTAAGTAGAAATTGAAATCTATTTTTCTGTTCAATCACACCCAGAACAGAAAAGAACTAGTAAGTACTTCAACTCTGGCAACCACTTAACTTGTTTTGTCAACAGAATATAAGCTACTCAAAAGGAACTCAAAGCAAGAGCCTCCTCCTCCTCCTCTAATCCTTACAATAGTAACTCGTCCAGTGACGGAGTTGTCGATGAATTTTCCGATGGGGCCGCGTCGTCTGCTTCCAGCTCTCAGAAAAAGGGTAAAAATGGGGGTCGTCCGAGTGCTGCAAGTCGTGCCGAGTCCTCTGGAGGGACGCAGCGTGCGAGCAAAAGGAGCTCACAACGTCCGAGCAAAATGGGAGCAGTTTCTCCAGAGGGCGCAAGTAGAAGTAGTCGTGCAGGAGCTCCTTTTGGAGGATCCAGCACGTCGTCGCCTTCGCGTGCTGCCGGTAAAAAGACGAAAAGCATGATCAGCCTTTCTGCAGCAGAGCTTCCGAACTTTCAACAGATGGCAGAGCGTCCTCCAACACGGGACAAGGCTGCTGAGCAGAAGCGAAGGCTTAGTCAAATGCGACCCCGTAAAAAGAAGAAAAAGCACAAAAAGGACCACGAAGCAGCATCTCCAAAGCCACCGCCATCTCCAAGTCGGACGCCTGGCGGTCGAGCGTTGCCTCCAGAGCCGAAGAAGCAACACGTGACCGTCACAAGGTCCCGACCCCCCGCGCCAGGTGTCGTCGATTTTCTCCACGTTAACTACATGCAACAGTTAAGGCCTCCCCTAAGCAACTAAATACAAACAATTTCGTCTGATAATAATTAAGTCATCTCCTCCTTTAGCAGGCTTTTTTTCGATTTTCCCCTTCTCTCTGAGGTGTGCTGCAAATCTTGACTGGCTTCTCCCTTTCTATAAGGTTGAGGCTTAGGCCCAGCGGCGCTCAAAGCACTAAATAAAACAGCCGGTTAGTTTTTACCTCTAGAGATCTAGCCCTTTCAACAATATAATGAAGATCGCCCGGAGCACATAATTCATCTTGTTCTTGTTGAGAAGATGAAGATTGAGAAGCTGAAAAGTTCCGGTATTTGGTATAGCCTGATTTTGATCATGATAAGGAAAAACCAGAAGAGAATCCTTGTGATCAAATTCAGGTTACCAAATACCGGAACCATTCAGCAGCATCGTCGTTCTGTGATTTCTTGGTCCTCTCCTTGGTTGTGGTCCTTTTTCGACAAGGGGAAAAGACGTCAAAGTCAAAGATTGAGACGCTCTCTTTTTTCGATATTTTTTATAGGTAACAAGGTCTTCTAACTCACGCAGAAGCAGTCCGTTTGCAGCAGCTAGAAAGTGAGCACATGGTGTATTGGGATGTCTTCTACCGTGGGATGGATCTAGGTGGGGAAGCTTCGACCAGTACAGGGGATAGCGGCATTCTATCGCAGAACAGCACCTTTGCGCCAATCGCTGGCAAGTTCGTCAAAGCCTTGTCACGCGTTCACACCAGTCTGCTCACGAAAGCGACAACGAAGCGAAAGAAACAGCGGCCCGACGACTCTGACGACGATCCAGAGGCCGCCGCTGCTGCAGCCGCCGCAAAGGCGAAGCTGGATTCGGACAAGGCACTCATATCTTGTGTCAGACATGGTCGCAGCGCTTGCAGCTTGATCTGCAATACTGCGAAGATCTACAACTCGAACTACGCCATGGAGAACGTCGTGGATCACTCAGGATCTAAGAACCAGGCCAACCCTCACGGCGCTAGTGCGGGGACCGCTTCGAAAATCCTCTTTGGGGGCGACGGCGTATCGGACTCCGAGAGCGAAGAGGATGATTTAGCCTACGTGGACGCAGCAGGGCCAATGGGGGACTTAAACAAGTTATCATGTAAAATGTACTAAAAGTAGTGGTCAATCTTCTGAATCTGTCTTTGAGCACCAGTTGTCGATGATATCTTCAGTACTGGTAGCATCGCTGGTTGCACCATTAGAAGCAGACCACATGTTTCATACAACTATGTATTACTTCTAGTACTAGTTGTAGATCATGTAGAAGACCACAGTCTACTCTGCCTCTTCTTGACTTTGGCAACTTCTCGTCTCACGACCTGACAACTCTAATGTATCGCGCAACCGCCCGCGCTACCACCATCAAGGAGCGTTTAACTGCTCGCCGGAGCTCGATCAATAACGAGAGCGAAGCACGCACATCGCTGACGAATCCAATCGCGAATTTCAATGCCGCGAATGCAGCAAAATTCCTTGATCTTTCGTCTGAAGCCAGTCGTGTTGTCGCCGAGTTGCTTCCGGTGATTCTAGACAGGCTCTTTTTAAGGCTGTACCTAATACATCTTTGGACGTATCCTTGGAACAACGTATGGAGGAGTATCCCAAGCGAATACTCCCCCATACTTTTCAAGGATGCACTTGAAAGATGAATTACGGACAGCTCTAATCTTTCCGACTTCAATCCCGGAAGGCGCACAGTGGGGCGCCGCCTGTGAAGAGAACTGCTCCTTCTCGAAGATTCGTCCGGGTATTACGTATATGGAATTTCTCCAGCGCATGCATGACGACGTGCTTTCGATCGACGTTTCGACACTGCCTAACGGAAAGGTTCTCGTAGAACAGCTGCAGAAGGAGCGGAAGAAACTGGAGGAAGAAAATGGGACCACTGATCAAGAGGAAGAGGCAGCTGATGGCACGGCGAATACGTCGACCGGAAAGGGGGACTTTGCAGTTGCGTCAGCAGCACGCCAGTCGTTCGCAGCGACGAGCAAAAGTACACTTCTACTGTGTCTGCTCTTCGATATATAGTAGAAGTGTACTTTTAAAGGATATATACGCAGAGTAGTTTATAGCACGCATGGTGCATGGAGTGCATGGAGTAGCTGTTGTAGGTCACGAATTCTGAATCGTTATTCCTTGTTGTTCAACTCCCCAATTATCAATTATGTTTGTGATACGAAATTTCCATGATGCGAAGTTTCCAAACATCGCCTATTTTGATTGTACAAAAGTACACTTCTACTGTGTGTGCTCTTCGATATATAGTAGAAGTGTACTTAAAGGATATATAGTTAGCGAATCCTTGCGAAGAGTACACACAGGCTACCTTGCGAGCGTAAGTCGATGTGTTACTCTATATACTCAAAGGATACATTATAGTTAGATGAGTACTAGATCTAAGACGCTGTAATATGGTTTCGGTATTTTTTGGTATAGCCTGATTTTGAACAACATATGGGAAAACAAGAAGAGAATCCTTGTGATCAAATTGAGGCTGCCAAATGCCGGAACCATTCAATTACAATTTTTGTCTCCATGATCAAGGCCAGCCAGCGCTTTTTCCTTCTCACGAATCGATCCTCTCCAAATTTCTACTTACAACAGTGCTGGCGATGATGACGGTTCCCGAAATCGAGCTGTTGTACTGGGAAATTTTAAACCCCGAAAAGATAGTGGACGCAGAAACCTTGGCATTACTGCAGCCCCGGAATCATGTGCCGTTGAAAACCACGGATGAGGCAGACCGACGCAGATGGTTGCACGACGATCCTGCGGCGAGTCGTGGTATTGATTATTCTTGTGAAGATTGAAGGTTTTCTGTTCTTGTTCTTCGTTAAGAACCTTCCATGAACCACCACCAAGGAACAAGAGGAATCTTCATATCGATTCTGTCACTCAGTCTTATTCGCAAATCTCGCATCTTCATCTCTTCCTGCAGGCGCCGGTGGAGCACCTGCGAAGAGAACTAAACTGGTGAAAGCAGCACGTATGAATTTCATTCGAAGCAGAATGGCCCTAAAAAGTGTACCACGTGTGTACTTGACGCGACATCACGTTATGCGCTTTTTGGACATGCTAAGACGAGAGCTGCGTGACGTTGAGAGGTCTAAAGTCCGCAGGAATTGGGAAGAGGCCAACAGTGTATCTATGACTTCCTTGTCGTAGTGTACTACTTAAATTTAGTTACTTAGCCTCTTCACTCGTTTTGGTTCCCTTGAGTTCGATGTAGATGATGAAGTTGATGGCTAAAATTCGAATAGCACTTTCACCTAGTACACGACTTCTTGGAAGTTGTTTACCTCCAAAAATCACAATAATCATCAATCACTGAAGATAATGACTCAGACTCTTTCCCAACAACGTTTACGTTTTGTTGAAGCACAATAGATACTTTTTATACTCGTTTATTTCCACAAAAATCACTACAATCTCAACAATCTGAATCTAAATCACTCTCCACCACGATGACCACAGTTGCTCGACAGCATGGTGCGAAACGAAGGTAACTTGTCTTTTGCTTGGCGCCATTACCTAGATCCGAAGATGCGGCTGCAGCCGATCTCCTACCCGATGTTCCAAAAACTCATGTGTCAGAAACTGACGTGCAAACCCCATGTCGTCAGGGATCTGTGGCATATGCTGGTGGACGACAGCGAGGATATGATGTCTTTGGAGGACTTTGACAATGAAGGTTTCGGGCTCCTCGGAGACTTCGCGAGACTCGTCTTTATGAAGATCAGCTTTTTCCAATTCCATCGAGGAGCATCTCGGTATCCTCATCTTCTCCCATGATTAAATACAGGAGTTGCATCTTTTTTCCATCCGGCTTCATGGGGGGACATTAGGGTAGTGAGTGCTTCATGGAGGGTCTGCTCCCATCAGGAGCATCTCGAGATAGGCATCATTCTTTTCTATCTTTTTCTCATACACGGGAAAAGGTAGCGAGGACATGAGGGGGCCGAGGTGGGTTCAACCCGCACACTCTAACGCGAATCGGAGATATCTAGACCCCGCACAGCTGTTTTACGAGTACGACCCGCATCAAAAGTTGCAGCTTTCCCGCGACTCATTGCAAGACATGTGCGAAGAGCTTGGCCTTTTTCTCGGTAGAACTAGTGGTAGCCAGGAAGAGAAGGAACAAAGAACGATTAAGGCTTCCAGGAATCCATCTTCACGTTAAGTAGGCTCAAAAGAATTCATTTCTACCACTCATTTCTTGCAGTTTCCTTCTTGGGATTCTGAAGAAATGCAGGCAAGAAATGAAACGTTTTGAGCTCAGCATCTTGGGGCACCTCTGTCTCCAGGGGAGAATATACAGACCGAAGATGACTGTCAAGATGGATTCCGGGAAGATCTAAGACGAATAAGATCCGGACGTCAGGCATTGCAGATGGCGGCGTTGCAGCAGCGAAGGCGTCTAGTGGAGGAAGACAAAGCTCCTCTAGTCGAGATCAAGTGTCGTCGGAGTTCGTCGACTACTTGTGGATATCCTTGTCGAACGCCGAACATAACGTGATCCACTTCGACGTTTTTTGCCGAATGATCGAAGGAATCGCGACACAACGGAGTAGCAAACTGGCAATCAGCTGTTTTCCAGAGGACATCAGTTTACAGTTCTGCCGCTGGGTGCGAACTGTGTACGGTAGTCCGGTTACGTGCTGGAACTACATTATGGAAATCAGTGGCGCCGCGACGACAGGAAGCGCAGCACGTGCACAGCGTGGGAAGGTGCTTCATCCAGATTATGGTCTTGTTGAACAGTGATTCATCATTATCGTTCTTTCTTCTGTTTAGATTCATCTTTTTGCTCACATTACTTAGGACGAACATGGAGAAGAACTGCTAGTGCACATCCACATCTCACTCTGATGTAACGAGCGAAATAAGAAGAAGAAGTTCTAGTGCGCGGCATCCACATCTCGCTTTCTTCTTCTCTAATGTAACGAGCGAAAGAAGAAGACGACGCGAGCGTCACGGGCACGCGCTATTGCCAATCGTGCTTTTGGAGAAAAAAATAAGAGTCCATATGCGAATATGACAACGAAACCTAAGAAAGAGGACGAGTCGCAATCTGCGGACGGCGCTGGGCACAAGGGTAAAGGGTCTTTTATGCAAGGTCGTTACCCAACGAGTATCGCCTTCGAGATGTTTAAGAAAACGCTTCAGTTCAAGATGAACTACAATGCGGCTATGGCCGCTCGCGTGGCGGACGTAATAGGCACGCGGTGTCGCGCTCGCCGTTTCTGGACGCACCTGGTCCATAAACTGCGTCTAAAGCGTCATTTCTACAGAGCGGTCTTTGGAGTGCGTGCCACAGCGACGCGGAAGGAATTATGGCAACTTCCACCAAGAAGGCACCATCCTCAAGAACGTCATCCTTGGCTCTCTTTCACTTCACAAGGGGGAAAACGAAAAGTAAAAGGCGCCAAGGATGATAAACTAACCTAAATGATATTTATAGATATAATTAATCCATATCAAGTTCAAGTCGCAGGATAATGTATATACCTACTTTACCTTCCTCACAATCTTTCCTAGTTAGGTTGGCTCCACCACACACAGACATATCGAGTACTAGGATGTTGTTGATGGTGTTGCGAAGAACTAGTACAACGAGGTAGCTCCTCTAAGAGAAGGTCGCTCATCCATAGGAGCGTCGTTACAGTCTCAGGACCATGATGACGAAGTGGACGACGATGATCAAATCGCAACGGCTGCGGACCAACTCCGTGCCCTGTATGCGAATATGCTCATGGACGGCGCAGCTGATGAAATTGTGCCAGCACTTATTATGGTGACTTATTGGTATTTTAGAGAGGAGCCATCTGTTATTTCTGTAGACTGATGAAGATACTTCTGAACTTGGCTGCAGCATCTAGGAGCTGAACAAGATTCATCTAGGACATGTTTTAAACGGAAAACAAGGGTGTAAGCACCATAAGAGGATGCATCTCAATCTCATCGAGTCGGATCATGCTGGTGTGCTCTAATCTTCCTGGCAGAGGCGCGAAGAAACAGCGTCAGGCGCCAGTGGGAGCAATGCCACCGTGGGCGTCGAGGAGTATGGCTGCAGAACAAGACTTCGACAAGAATGCAGACCGTCCGTCCAAAAAAGAAGCAGAACCGCTCTCGCACTACTTCTCTGAGTTAAGGCCACATCAATAAAAGTACTATCGATATAAAAGTACATGCTGCAGCATACATACTTGATGTAGTAGGTTAATGAAAATAATAATCTTTTCATATTACAACTCTCCTTCTCCGACGAGTTAGGTGGAGGTGGACGACTCTACCATTATTAAGTATATACATGCTCCATCATCTTCATCGTCCAAACAAGGCTTCAACAAGACACCAATAAATGAAAGTCTAATATCGATTATATATTACACGCTGTTCTTTATAGTTCTTTCTCTTTCTCTTTCCTCTTATTAATATTACACGCTGTTCTATATAGTTCTTTCTCTTTCTTCGAAGGTCTAACTCAGGCTGCAGAGTACATGTCCGAGAAGCACAGGGAGTTCCGACCGTCCTGGGTGCGGCAAAAGGAAGAGGAAAACTACAAGTTGGAGAGTAGGCACGAAAGTCGAGAGCGAAGGCGCGAGGAGCGCGAAGGCTCACCAGGAGAGGGCTCCTTTTTGGCCGAGACCACCGCGTCTACGAGGAGACGGAGTCCTAGTCACGCCAGCGTTGCTATTCTCAAAAAGGGCGAGGGCTTCCTGGAAAAGAGAGCAGAGCGTGCTCGTTCTCTTTCGAGAGGATCCGAGCATCGTAGGCATTTTTCGAGGCGTCATCGAAGTGTGAAGGATGCTGGTACGGTGGCCTCGCGCGCGCGGGCGCGAGCCACCAGAATGAGCCGTCACTCAGGTGACGAGAGCAGCGAAGTTGACGGAAGAGCGTCGCGCGGTGATGTGACGCCTGAAGGAGGCGCAACTTCTGATGGAGATCTCGGGCATTCGTCAGCCGGTGATAACCGGAGCCAAGACGGTGCACCTCCCAGTGACCTAGGCAGTGGGCGCGCGCAAGCAAATATGGGATTCAATGCAGGTGGGGCGCACCAGCGTGATTCTAGAGGAGCAGTAAAAAGGGGTTCAACAGTTGGACCTCCACGGTCGAGCAAGCCCGGTCGGTCGAGCGGTGCTGCAGGAACAGCACATCAAGGTGGACCGCGGTCGAGCGCCGCCAATAGTCTGTTCTTCATGCCAGAATATGCAAGCGGAAGTGAGGACGAGTCCTCCTCAGAGTCTGGCAGTGGAAGTGGATCTGGGAGCGGAAGTGGCAAAAGCAGCGAGGAGGGCTCTGGCAGTGGGAGTGAATCTGGGAGTGGAAGTGAAGCCGAGTCGTCTGGATCCGGTTCGGGTTCGGACAGCGGAGAGGAAGGCAGACATAGTTCTTAAGGCAGCTACCGCGGCTAGAATCCAGCTAGTAGTCCTCTATAGGGAAGATGATATCGTCCTTCAACCGTAACCGTATGCGCCCCACTTATACAAGGGGAATTATACCGACGCATGATACGCTTGAGGGATTTCCACGACCGGGATGAATAAGTAGGGAGAGGTCCTCTAACATAGAAGAAGACCACGTCGCAACAGTGCAGACCACAGCCAGGAGTCACCCAGGACAGGCGAGGACGACGAAGAAGAAGGGTCAGGAAGCGAAGACGAGGATCTCAGCAAGTTCATGGACCCTCGACACAAGAATAAGAGAGGATCTAAAGGTCAGGAGGATGATACAGCTCGTATTGCTTCCATCGAGGACGGCACTCCTGCAGGTGACGCAGCAGCAGGCGCACCTGCTGAAAACCGTCGCGTTTCCTTTGGTCGGAGCGAAGAGGAGAAAGCCTTAGATCGGGACCGCCTGAACCGATCGATGAACTTGCGCGCGATGTATACAAATGCGTACATTGGATCGTTGCATATGCGCGAACGCGAAAAAAATGCCATTGACGTTCGTGGTTTTGTGGACTTCTACCACACGACCATGCTGCTTGCGTCCTATTTGAACCAGTCCTACGCACGCAGAGTTCTCGTATACGAGCAGAAAGTTCTGGCACCCTCGTCCGAACAACAGGGACAGCACTTGGTCAAAACTGATTCCCAAGGAGCAAAGAAAAGGGCAAGCCAGCAAGCTCGAGAAGCTCCGCCGGTTTTGTTCAAGAGCAATCTGCACGCTGGTGAGCAAGTAGCCCGCATGCACGCAATCCGAAGTGAATTTGGCAGGTGGATGTCGGATCCGTTGAGAAACTTGTGGATGGAGCTGAAGGCGTTGATACGTACAGGGAGAAGCCTTCACGCGGATCCAAACTCGTGCTACATTCCTAAGGAACGCTTTCTCTTAAGGGGCAACACAATTGGGATTGTCGTGATTCATATATTTTTTACCAGTCATTTATCTAGTGCCAGTTCATTTATCTACCAGTTGTCAACACAATGAATTGATTCATTTACTTATCTACCAGTCACTTCTCAACACAATGAATTGATTCATTTATCTACCAGTAAAAACTTCTCAGGCACCTGTTCCTTCTACTCAATGAATTGATTCATTTGTCTACCAGTAAAAACTTCTCAGGCACCTGTTGTTCCTTCTACTCAGGATCGGCAGAAATGCAGGCAAAGAAATGAAGAGTTTAAAATTGAAGATCTAATTCTTAGGTGGATGAACTACAACGGCTATTGCGGGAATGCGGACTTCGTTTTCCGTTTCATGGTCAGCTATCACGACGGTCTCCGGATCCGTTTGTACAACCCCTTCTGCACCCTATTTGATGTGATGCAGATCGAGCGTTTGTGCAAAATCCACGTTGTGCAGGGCGGCGGCACGCACCTTCTGGCCATGCCTTCGCGGTTGAACCATGGTACAGCAGCTTCACCTGGAGACGGATCGATGTCGATTTCCAAGGTCGGCGCAAAGGGGGACGCCATGGGGATGGTCAACGTGGTACAGAGCAAGATCGAGTTGGCAATGCAACTTGCAGGAGCGGGACTCGGACAGGGCTGTGATGTAGCACAAAATGTCTTCTCCGGAGCTGCGGCAGGAACCACTGTTAAGGCTTACCGTAATTCATCTTCTGAAGCATCTACTCAGAGTCATTTTTCAAGGGGAGAACGGTCTCGGGATGGACTTCGAGATGGACTAGCAGGGTGAGCTCTAACACTGGCCATGGAGGCGTGGTGATGTTCCACCACGATCAGCAAGTGATGAACCAGCATGAGGACGGTCAGATTGTCGTAGGATCTTCAGGACACAACGATGTAATGCAAAATGCGCATCATTTGAGACACGTGCAAACGATGGGAAACTTGCCGATCGTCGAGATGTTCCCAGGCGCGCTGCAAATGGAGGTAGCGGTCTTTCTGTCGCAGCTGGTGCAGCAGCACAGGAGCCTAGTCATGGTGTGGCGCCACGTTTTCAACAGCAAGCATTTGGGCAGTGTGGGTTTTTTGCCGTTTTCGAGAGCCACAAGATTCGCGCATACCTACCTGAACATCCACCGAGTGTACGACACCCTGGTCTTCTTTAACTCACGAGGCACGCATTTGAGTCCGGAGCTCACTGTGAAGGCGCACCTGTTGCAACGCGACTTGGACATGAATACGGCAGCGGTTTTGAAGATGCGGAAAAAACGTGATCACGCAGCTCTCGCTAAACAAAGGGAGGAGTTCTTCGGTAGTGTGACCAACAACATTGTCGATGGAGGTGGTGGAGGTGCTGGCAAAGGAGAGCAGGAGGCTGCCAGTTCCAACCCGAAAGACCACGCTTTGCACCCGGACGAGCACCACTCCTTTGGCCACCTGCACCACCGCAAGAGCGTCAGTCACTCCTTTATGGTCCGCCACACCTTGCTCGCTGACGTGGTCAGACCGAACAAAGCCCATGGCTTGGACAGCAAGAGAGGTAATACTAAACTCTCCTCCTCGTCGTCGTCTAGTTCTGCAGACGGTGCGGATGGCGGTGGCTCTGGCGGTGGGCTATTCGTGCATAGCAACAAGTACCAAACAGGAACGTTGCAGAATCGAATTCTAGATTGGAACCAGTTTAGTCGTGAGTTCATCAACGAAAACCAGCTTGACTACAAAAGCTTCAATCCCTTTGGAGATTTGGTTCTCTCGCTCTTTGTGCGCCAGCTGTGGTTGCGGTTCGGAAAACACGGGGACCCCTTCGCAAATTTGACTCGCGAGTACTGCAACGAGCACTCTGTCATTCGCATGGAGGACTTTTTCCTAGTATGCGTTGAGCTTTTCGGCGTTGATATTCTGGATCCTGGCTACGTGGTGGAATACTTGACATCCTGTCTAGATCGCGTGGACGAGCGCGCTGATAAGTGCGTCATTGACGAGTACATTTTGGACATCGTACAGGAGAGCATGGGACTTCGTGATGAAGAGAATGCAGATCAGCATGATCCTGGCAACGATGGACAGCAAGATGTAGAGATGAATAAGAAGAAGCGGCCCTCATCTGTTGATGGTAGAAAGACTACGAGTCCTGATGACTATAATGTTCCTGGTGTAAGAACTACTTTTCATCAATCTTCAGCTGAAGAAGACGACGCGGCCGCTGCTGAGCCTGGGGGTGGCGGTCGGGGCGGAGCCTCAAAAATGTTCATGACGGAAAACACGACGAGTGCTTCTCAAGCAGGACGAGCCCCCTCCGTACGAAAGGTTCGCGAAAGTGTAGAGACCTCCACGGCAATTACACTTCCAATTCCAGCATTCACATCAATGCAAGAAGAGGATGAGGAACACGAAAATGCTGGAGCTGAAGATGATGCTCGTCTTGTTGGCGCTCCAACCATGGAAAATGTAAATGAGGAAATTGTAGAGGAACTACAAGGTGGAAATAATCAAGATCAAGTTCTTGAAAAAATAGAAGTCGGCGACACGGCAACGAAAGTTCCAGGCATCAGTATTATAGCATCAGCAAATTCTGCAAAAGACCACGAGGCAAGTGCGGAGGTCGCAGACGACGGACCATCTGCTGCTGCGGCTGTGCGACGTTCCTCCGCAAGGACAAGGGTCGTATCAGCTGCAGCACGCAGCTCAATCGCAGTTACGAGGTTGTCAAGAACAGGACCACGCGCCTCAGCCGCAGGGGCCAGGTCATCAAGAACAGGACCACGCGCACCTGAGGTGGATATTTCTGCCGCAACGTCTTCACAACCACGACAGTCACAGGTGGATTCTACTATTAATCTTGGTGAGGATGAGGAACTATCTCCTCCTTCTCCTATTGGTTCCGACGAGGACCTTGGAGATGAACCAGGTGACGACCCGAGCCGCGCAGGAGGTCCTGTTGCGCTCTTCTATGATGAGCCGGACGATGATAGTACTTCTGCGCAACAAGAAGAATCTCTACTGCAGGTACCTGCGGATACTTCTGCTGCGTCGTCGACCTTACGACGAAGCCGAGCTTCAGTCAGAGCGTCAACATCACGCCGCTCGAAGAGGGATGATGATGTTCCTCTTGGTGGATTAATTGAAGGTGGCTCAACTGCTCCACTTAACGAAGCTGATGCGCCTTCGACCTCAGCTCCACGTAAAAGTACCAGAGCTAGCAGGAGAGCTTCCACGGTGCAACCACGTGGTGGATCGCAAATGCTAGGGGATCAACAAGCGATGGAAGGTATAATTGCATCTTCTCCAGACGACGGCGAAGGATCCTCGGAAGCATTGCGTGATGAACTAGGCTTCTCATTTGATGATGTTGATCCAACTAATAATTCTGTACCTCCTGCTGTTGCTCGGCCTCCAGACTCCAACGCTGCGTCTCCAGACTCCAACGTCTCTAGTCTGATTGAAGACCCATTAGACGAGCTTGGGATCGTTGAAGATGACGATGCGCCAAGAAGAGGAGATGGCGAAAACGATCCTACTGGAGTGGTTGATGAAGACGCGCATAGTCCAGACGTGGACGAACAGATCTTCGGGGCAGCTGGTGGTGCTCCATCAGGTGGAGGTAACGAACTTGGCGCTCCTCCTGTGGCGCTCCCACACCTGAGAAGCAGCAAGAGAATAAGTCAGTCCACAAGAGTTTCGGCAGCAAATGCAGTTGTGAGTCTTGATCCTGGAGTCGTTGATGAATTGGGAATAGATGATGAGGACTTGTTAAGAGGACCCTCAGCAGATATAGAGGAGGATGCAGGAGCTGCAGAAACACACCAGGAGACAACTGGACAAGCTGCTGCTTCAGTGGAAGGTGCACCACGACGATCTAGTGTGAAGAATCAGATTTCTGTTAGTAGTAGAGCGTCACTTTGCAGGCGAGCTTCCGGCACGGCTCTTGCCAGCAACGACGATACAACTGCTAAGGCAGTCCCCGAGGGAGGAATAGTCGTGGAGGACGGCGCAGCGGCCTCTCGTCTTCTAGGTGAAGAAAGTGCAGAAGCTCGACCTTCTAAACAAGATCATGATGAGATTGAAGCACCAGGTGGACCAGCAGTGCAGGGCGTAGCTCCGCAAAGCAAAGTAAACGGGCGGTCGCCATCAGTTAGATTTAGCGATGCGGCTAAGAAAGAGCAGGAGGTAAAGGAGGAAGATGACGACGAGGGAGAAGAGGAGGAGCCTCGCGTAGTGCTCAGCGCAGCAGACCGCGAAGAGCTTCGTGATAGAGCCAAATTGTCTAGACTTGTGCTGAAGAAAGCCCTGCTACGGTGGCTTTTGCGAAATTTCGATCCCTTCTATTATTGTCCCGCGGATCTGAACCGGCGTAGAACGGCAGTCGAAGCCAAGCTAAAGCCGCAGAGCATACTCGAGGTAGTGGACAAAAAACAGGCTGCAGCTGCGCCTCCAGGAGGAGTCCGTGCTTCGGCGGCCACGAAGCAGGGCTTGCGGCCAGGGGGCAGCATCATGGCCGACGCATCAGGAGCAGGCCGACGCAGCACTAGACTAGCAGCAGAACGAACATCGACCGTCAAGGCTGCTTTACTAGAGCAAGAAGGCAAAGCAGGAGCTGCGACCCAAATAAAAGCCGAGGGCGAGGAAGAAGACCCGGACGACGAGGTTGAGGCGGGCGGAGAGGACGCTGAAGATGCTGAAGATGTTACCGGAGCGACTGGTACTGCGGGTGTCAAAAAAGCGGGTGTCAAATTTGCTGTGAGGATGGTTTCGGACTCGGAGCTCAAGGAATTCGTACCAGGAGAGAGCGAGACTGGTGTGCGTCGTCGAGGGTCCACAGAGGACTCGAAGGTGAGCGAATTAGGAGCTTGTGATCGCAAAGCGCAATTGCGGGAGTCTATGCGCGAGCAACGGCGTGAGAAATCGAACTTCTTGAAAGTGCAGGCGAATGCCCAGGTAAACAGTGTTCGACAGAGTAACACCTCTCAGGGACAGGCATTTTGGACCGGGGAGCGCGTCGTACTGGTAGATCGCGGAATTCCACGTTCGAGGGGAAGTGTCATGGTCGCTAGCAGATTCTCCACGCAAAAATTTGCGCCGAGTAGAAATTCGCTCGCCAAGCGTCACAGTCGTTCGTCGCAGAACGACCAAGAACTCCTCGAACAGGTCCGCGAAGCAACAAAGGATGAAGACGAGGCTCGAGCACAGGAGGATGAAGAGGATGGTCACGAAAGAACACAGCCACCAAGAAAGCCAAGTGCTTTGAAACAACCTGGAATATTTTCTTCGTCAGCAGGAGGCAATGCACAAATAAAGCGTGTAAGTGTAGATGATGCACGACCAGTGGTTGCGGCAGTAGGTGCCGCCATACCTGTAGACGAGGACAACTCAGTCGATCCGAGGATGGACACATGGCAGCTATCGAAAGACGAGGGATTTTCATACGAAGGACTCAACGAGGCACCAGTGGTCGCCGCAGCAGGTGCCGCCATTGTTCCCATAGATCATGAAGACAACGCAGTCGATCCTAGGATGGCCACGTGGCAGCCTTCAAAGGACGAGGGATTTTCATACGAAGGACTTAACGAGCAGCACGACTACGAGGAACACGAGGCCGCTCCACCAGTAGTAACGGAAAGAGCACCAACCTCGGATGTGGACGTAGTTGTTCGAGCTTCTAGAGGCGAAGGCGCTGCTGCAGGTGACCACAAAGTAGGTCAGAGTGGCGGTGAAGTCGGCCACCACGTACAACAAGAGGATCCTCAACATGAAGATCACGATCTCTCTGATGCTCATGCCGATGTTGAAGATGCGCTTGGATCTGGAGGGGGACCTCTTGAAGACGAAGATGCTCCAGCACCTCATGAAGATAGCAATGAAGTTGAAGACCACGGCGATGACGACGATGCCTTAGATCTGCCACCTGGATCTCTATTCTATAGCGAACCAGCGACGTCACCTTCTGAAGGTGACGTCGAGCAGCAGGATGAAGATGACGATGAGTTTGATTTCGCCATTCCGCTGAGCACACTGCAGCTTCAGTCGAGCCCTCGTGACGTTGACAATCTTGAAGAAGTCCATGACCAGGAAGATGATTTCTATGATGCTCCAGTCAACATCGATACGGCAACAGAAGTGGAAGACGATGTGGGCGGAGAGGAGGGAGAAGGTCGTGAACATGAGCGTCGTGATCAAAATCCATCACTAAAAAGAGCAGTTACAACAGGTGGAAATAGCAGCTCGTCTTCATCGACGAGGATCATAGAAGCGCCAATTTATAGGCCCCGGCCACGAGAAGAGGTAAAGCAGAGAGGACCAGCACCAGGACTGCTTTTCTATCCTGATGGTGAGCGACGTGGTAGCACGAACAGGAACTCTGGCGGTGCTGATCTTCTCCATGATCAGAGTGGAGGTGCCGAACAATCGACGCATTCGCAAGGACCTCCAAGGCACAAGCGCGGCTTTGCCTCCATGGGTAGTCAGGACTTTGACGCACTCCTCAAGGAGATGCAAGATGAATCAGCGGAGAAAAAGAAATCACCAATGGTGACATTCTGTTAAGGCTTACTAGCGAATGAAGCCCAACTGTTTACCTGGTCGTGCTGGAAGTACAAGTACTAGGTATAGTTTTCTAGCGAATGAAGCCCAACTGTTGACCTGGTGCTGGAAGTACAAGTACTATAGTTTTTCAACTCCTACTTGTTCTGACCTGCTCTGTCTTCTAACACCTGAGCGGGGGGAAAGTAAAAGCCAGCGGCGGGCTAGGTGGAAAGACGTCTGCCGTGCCAGGTGGTGCTTTTCAAATGAGACGTCCGGCGCCAGCAAGGGTGCCCATTGGTGGAGGCGCGTTCGCAAAGGGTGGTTTGAATACCCACAGCCCACAGCAGAGGGTGCGTCAGCAGCAGCAGATGGCGCCAAGGGCGCTGAAAGACTTGGCCACGGATATTCGTGCGGCCCTAGGGTTGGAGGAAGACGAGGAAGAGGCAGCGGCAGCCAAGGTCGGATCAGTTTCTTTCGCATCGGCTCGTGGTTCGGGGAGCGGCAGTTCGCGTTCGGGTGGCCCTACGGGAGGGTTGGGGAAACCAAGAGGAAGCTTATGGTCAGCGTTTATTCATCTTCCTCAGTACCTCTTCGGTGCCCTTTTCTTTGCCCCCATGATAGAAGAACACAAGGGTCGAGACTATAAGGGGTCGAGATTAAGGGGAAAAAGGGGTCGCGATTAAGGGAAGAAAGGCTCACTGCTTTAACAAGCGTGTCAGGAGCCCAGATCTTAAATGGTGACGATTTCGGCGCCTACTTCGGGGACCTGTTTAAAACAGGCGAAGCGGAGGAGGATATCGCAAAACAGTTTGGTCTGGAAGTTAAGCCTTGATATTCCGCAAATCCATCTTCAGGAGCAAATCCATCTTCAGAAGCATCCTGAAAGAAACCTTTTGATTATTATAAGTATGAAAATCTTCCAGGACGATGCAAATTAGGAGGATGGATCATCTAGGGAAGAACTATGTCTAAGGAATGCCGCGGACGTCGCAGTGGGCGGTCCCCGGGCGTCGACAGTATGGCATTCTCCTTCTCCGACTCGAGCGACTCGAGTTCGGATGGAGGGTCTAGTGACTCTGATGACCCTGACGGTATTAAGAAGGGACGACGAGGAAAGACAGGCGCTGTTGGTGATAGCACTGGAGAGGACAGCGCAAAATCTGCGGAAGACGAGATGGCACGCAAAGAGGCTGAGGCCGCAGCCAAAAATTAAGACTTACACTTATCCATCTTCTGAGGCATCCTGAAGAGGGGGATTTCCAAGGGAAAAGCGCGCCCAGGCTGCGTCTCAAGATGAATAAGGGTGAGCTCTAAAAAAAGCTAGAAAAACAGAGGAAAAAGGAAGAGCGGGAGAGAAAGCGAAAGCAGGCTTTGCGAGAACGACAGAAGAGACTAAGGCAGAAGCAGCGAGAGCAGCGAAAAAAGCAGGCGGAACGTGAACGCGAGCAATTGCGTGAGGCCAATAAGCGAGATCCTTTATTCGATCGCATTTTCGGTTCCTATCTCGCTAACGCACGCCTCATGCAAGAAAAGCTGCTGTCTGCGAATCAAGTCCTCCTTCCCGAACTAGAGGACGACGAGATCGAGTTCATTATCCAGGACAATTTCCCGGACCTCGTCCACGACCAGTGTGCCCAAGACTTCTGCAGTTTCATCAGTCGTGAGACCAAGAAACTCGATAAAATCGGCAATCTTGGTCATCTTGCGCATGCACGCTATTTCGCGCAACCAAGTTATCTCGCGTCAAGTCTCATGCAAAAGATTGAGGGTACACACGATGGAACATACCGACCGTTCCTAGGAGAAATCTTTCATAACACTCTACTTTCTATTCATTTTGATTCTTCTAATATCTAAAATTTGTAACACTCAGGACGGTAGATCAAAAAATAACTTCGTGACGTCACCAGGTAGCGTTTCTTCGACCCAAGCGGCATTGGACAACGTGAATAGTGCTGGCGCGCGCGGATCGGCTAAGAGAGTGAGCCGTGCAACCATATCTTCTGGCACGTCTAGCAAGTCTGGGACGTCTGGTGCTACAGTTAAGGCTTCCCCAAATTCATCTTAAGAAGCATTAGCATCTTTGAAACGTTGTTTTCAAGGGGAAAACGCTCTCAGGATGAACTTCGAAATGAATAAAGGTATTACGGTATGAGCGGAAAAACTTTTAAAGTGCACTGTCAGTTTTTAAAGTGCACTCGCACTCAAAAAAGTAGCTACTTCTCTACTTAAATCTTAGCCAATTGCAGTGCGCAACTCTTTCCTTTCATATAAGGAGGCGTTGTGCTAGCTGCGCAAACGCAGACGGGACCCAACTGCGTTGAGCAGTATTTGACGCTTTTCCATCGGCATTGTACCGTTGGCACGATTCCTAGACGCGAGATGCGACAGGTAGCCCGCGTGATGCAGGCAAGAATGGGATACTCTCCAGCCTATTGCTGCACGCATTTGCTAGGGGAGGACGTGGACAGACCCGGTTTCTACCAGAAGAAGTCCAACTTAAGGCCGCTTCGCTTAATCTGATCCATCTTATAAAAACTCTAGAATAATTTATAGTGAGGCTTTTAATAACGATTGATTAATCCACTTTCATCTAACCTATCTCCATTATAGAACGGATGTAGGATGTGGATGGACTTGGATGGATCGGATGGACCCCCCTAAGTCTTCCGATCCTACTTGAAATGGTGGGAAAATCCATCCGATCCATCCAATCCCGGATCTGGCACCCCTATAAGTTATTCTATTACTCAGAGGAGTCATCCTATTCCTAGGCGAGAAGAGTAGAGGCTCCGAAAAGCGAAAAACAAGCTTTTTATAGGACATGCGTCGCAGGATGGATTAGGTTTAGGGCGAGCTCTAAAAATCAAAGGAGCTACAGGCGATGGAACCCGAGAGGAGGACGACAAGAAGAGCAAAGAAGACCTGTCCTTAAGCCTAATACATCTTTGGACGCTGCATCCTTGATGGAATTTATGGGCGAGGAGTACCAACCTAAGGAAAGAGGACTCCCCCATTATGCTTTTCATCAAGGATGCAGCACTTGAAAGATGAATTACGGACAGCTCTAATGTTGAGTCAGTCAAGCGTAAATTCTGCAGTGCTACTGCGCGCAGCGGGTGGCGCGCGTACTGTCAACTGCATTCTCACGCGTGCAAAGCACATGCGCTTCGTAAAAGCTCCTATACCAGGAACCTTGGACAATCCTGGCACGATGCACATGCTCAGAAATAGGTGGCACCATCCAGCCGAAACGTGGGCTATGCAGGAGTGCGACTGGTACGCAGAGCTGCAGAGGCGGCACCAGTACCAACTCTACCATCAGGACCAGCTAGAGAGATACAACGAGCGGGTGAAGATAATAGAGCAACTACAACTAGAGTTAAGATGACTTCGAAAATTTTCTAAGATTTTTGATCTTCAAAACAAGCATCTTCCTGAACCTCCGTCTAAGGGAAGAACGGGAGGTTCAGGTGGTCTTCAAAACAAGCATCTTCCTGGACCTCCGTCTACTAAGAGGGGAACTGCGGGTTCAGGATGACTCTCGAGAGAGGATGACTTTCGAGGATAAGGTCCTCTAATACAGGATCAGGCTGACGACCAAGCTGCAACGGGAGACGGAGCAGGTGAAACTCCTGACCTCCTAGCAGGCATGACCGGAAACGACCTGCCACCGCGTCCCAAAGCAGTAGTACTTCCAGCTAGAGCCACCACCATGAAGTGGGAGGACCTGGTTGGGGAAGTGTTCTGCAGTTTGCCTCTTGGCGACCAAGTGACTAACCCGTTGAGCACCTTTGAGGTGAATCCTCATCATCTGACCTTTTTCAACCACTGGTTTCCAGACATGCGACCGGATAACTACTCCAATGAAGACTTGCTAGTTCACTTTGTTCGCCATCTGGTTGTGAGGCAAGGTGTGAAGAAACTGTTTGCCGGATCCATAGCACCGGTTAACGTGCCAGGCAAGAAGATGAGGAAGCACGGCCACACGGCGACTTCATTAGCGGGTGTCCACGTTATGAGTATATGTATAGGAAATCCATCTCCAAAGTCATCTGGACTAAGAAAATTTAAGAAGGAAAAGGAACAACCCAGATGATTTGTGAGATGAATTCCCGAAGATACCTCTAACCACGGAGGCGGCGCCAATACGGAGACAACCAGCGGTGGCGCCGCAGGATCAGGCGCCCCAACGTCTCAGAGCGCTCAAGGTGGTTCATCAACGCTCTCGGGAGTGCTTGCCCTGTGGACAGACTTGCATAGCAGCGCGCAGCGAATCGAAGCACTGCGCAGAAAGTCTACAGAGATCCGGAAGGAGGAAGTTGCACGAGCGCGCTCTCTGACGAAAGCGGCGTTTGAAAAGAAAAAACTTGCGTTAACAAAGATTATGGGTTGGTTAAAGGTGCTTTTCTTACCGCTTTTTATGCCTCTCCTAAGGGAGAAAGGCACAACAAGCGGGGTAAGCGAGCACCGAAAACCTATCTCTAAAAAGAAAGCTGCTAAAGCAGGAGGAGCACACCAGGAGGCTTTCACCTATTCGAAGAAAGACGTTACCGACCACGTTGCGGCAAATCTGCCTCACATTCTGGCATCTGCGGAGAAAAAGATAGATCGCATGTACAAGTTGATCTACTACGGCAGCGACGCTGTGATCACCCAAGAAGCAGAAGAGAAGGACGCAATACAACGGGCACGCGAAGAAGCCAGAAGAGCGGAGAAGGCGGCCAGAAGGGCGACTAGAAGTACTCGACGGATGAGCGCTGCTGCGACGAGTGGAGATGCTGTCCCTGAAGAGGAAGAAGATGCTACCACCACCGAAGACGAGGCGGAGGCTCTAGAACACGATTTTGACTTACGGCTACAATAAATGAGCATCTTGCTTCACAGGCATGAAGATCCTGAGGCCGTTTTTCAAGGGGCGGAAAGCAGGCCCAAGATGCTGCTGAAGATGGATTTCGCCTAGAATCTAATTGACGATCCAGCGGCCGAGGAAGAGAGCTGGCGAAGAACCGAGGAAGAGATGCGGCAACTGCGAAAAGAAACGAGTTTTGATTAAGGCTCGAGGATACAATTCTTTTCGTTCGCCAAGGGTCATTTTATTTCTACTTCGGTTTCCTTCCTTTATTTACTAAGTAGGATAATTCTAAAAATTCCTAGTATTCCTTCCTTCTAGGATTGATTCTAAAGAACGAAGTGAGAGTGAAGATAGTGATAAGGCAAGATGAAATGCAATGAGCATTATGTTTTGAGGAGCTCCTCTAACTTGAGGCGCGCGATGAGTTTCAGATCACCTACAAAACTTTCCGAACGGTGTTGGCGGCTTACGGCTTGCGAACGGACTTTGTGCGGCTCTTCTGCACGCTGGCGTATATTGAGCGACATCGGAGAGTGCCAACGACGGAGGATTTAGGCCTCGAACACGATGTACGTGAATTCCTCAGACCAGAACACAGAGGGGAATTGCCAGTGTATGTGAGGAGGGGAAGGAAGTACTTATAAATAGATACATCTACATGATCAAATGCTCTATGTGAATTCTAAGGCCGTTTGTTCTTGAATTCTGGTATTGAAATAAAGAAGCCAGTTATTGAAATAAAGAAGGATCGTTTCTTGAATTCTAAGGCCAATGAGATTGCTAGTTCCGGTACTGGTTGTAGTTCTTTTGTCATCCTAGACCTAGATCTACTACAGGAATAATGTTCTTGTACTTGTTCTAGTAATGTTGAGTCTACGTTTTTACTCCTGAATGTAAGAGATGGAGATAGTACTTCTAGAAGTAGATGAATCAAAAAAGAGATAGTATCACACGACATCTCGTCCTCAGGCTCGACGCTGAATTCCTAGAGGCTTACATGGAGCACGACGACGTGGATGCTGATGAGTTCGTGATAACGCGTTTTGCACTAGATTTCGTCGTAAGTCTGTACAAACGGAAAGATGCCGTTTGCATTGAATTGGAGAAGAATGCTAGCGATTTTGTGAAAGCCAAGAAGAGGCTAGTCGAAATGGGACCCTCTGCGCAAAAGCTTGATCCAGAGGAGGAGAAGCGCGCTGGCGCCGGTGGCAATAAGGAAGTGCACACAAGGTCGCATGGAATTTTGATCATGCTCTTCGACATGATCAACCATCAGCCGTTGCAGTGGCAACGTTTGAGACAAATGGTAGCGGTCGGAGGGGATGCTGGTACTGCTACTGCTATAAACCAGGTTACTTCTACTTCTTACATTATTACTTCTTACTTTTTACTTTACTTTTTACTTCTTACTTCTACTTCTTAGGTTAGACTCTATAATTATTTCTGGCGAAGATTGACCACTACATGCTTGAGCTTCTTGATGTTATTCAACTCGTAGATCATGTGGTTCTTGTAGATTCTGCTTCTTCATGATCGAAATTCTACTTGTTCAACTTCATCTTGAACTTCGTCACAACTTTTGTGTGTCGTCGTCCAGGTGTCACGCATCAACGTTTCCGCGAATACGCGAAGCTTATGGGCTGGAGCGGCCCTACTGCGGATCTGTCCAACACCGTAGTAACCTTAGGATCACGACCCTGGAAACCTTTTGTTTCGGTGGATGATCTCCGCGTCTGCTCTCGCGTGCTCTCCTCAGGTGCGACCATGGTGAAGACCGGCTCCAGGGTGCAGGGTTTCAAAGGTAACCACGTTGAAAAACGCGTGACAACTCACGCCGCGAGGACATCGCAGGAAATACATGCTAGGGGTGCTATGCCTGGTGGGGGAAGGGAGTTCGCGTGAGGAGGTGCAAGCATAATTTTATCGATTGAAGAGTTCGAAGAAAATTATCATGCTCTTCTAACTAGAAGGTACACGAAGGCTAATAAGACCTCTGTCTTTACTACTAGCAAAAAGTAGAGCGCACAGAGGTACCATGACATGACATGACATGACATAACAACTGCATCAACCCCGTACTAGGTTACAGAAGATTCAAGAGTCAGATGTAGTTATGTTAGAGAAAGTGCTCAGATGAAAAGGGAGCCAGTAAGTCGTTCCCTTACAGATAATGTCACAGAAAATAACCATTTCTTTGCATACAACTGGAACTGAAAGGAAAAACCATAATCACCATGAATGTCCTACATCATCTTCAAATTATTCATGAACCTATGCTACAACAACTAGTGGGCGCACGAAGCCTAACTTCTACTTCTTACATATTAAGTTTCCTAGAAAAAAGAGAATCAAAAATTCAGAAAGAATTCATCTGGTGTCATACGAATTCATTTCGAGGATCACATTCAATACTATTCATAAAATATAAATCGTAAAAAGCCGCATAATCTTACACGCAGCGCTAAGCTACGAATGCAATTTAAGACTCGAAAAGCTCAGTGTACAAACAGACTATATTAAGATCTTCGAGGTCGTTACTAGATACGTTGACGACACGCGCGCCTGCCTTGCATTACGACGTAATGGTGGACGTCTGACTCGTAAGTCAAATCCGATCCGACACCTAACATCATAATGGAAGGCTTTCCTTACTATATAGACAACTAAACTCATAATGAAAAATCTGTAAACGCATGAAAAAGTTTCAAGATAAGCATACTACAACGATGAACTGCTAGAAGAGCAACAAAAACTACGTGATAACATGCAAAAGAGTAGAAGATTTAAGACAAACATACCGAATCATGTATCCTTCATATTTGTTGGATGGCTACTATTACATTTATATTATGCTGTTGACAATGTATCGATTTGTCTTGCGACATGATTGCACAGTAAGAAGATGAATATGTATCAAAAACGACTACCGCTCTTGCTGTCGCTCTACTCGTGGTTGAGTGACAAAAGACTGTTTTTGCTTGTCTACAACGATCGCTGTTCAGACTGGTGTAAGCGACTCGCCTTTGCCTCCGATGTTGAGCTCGCCGAAACACGATCTAGATGATCAAGCCAGAAATCTCTTAATCTTAAACCTAGAAATGTGAACAAGAACATTCCCGTAAAAATGGCCTCCTGTCTCGTTCGTAGTAGCCTCTTGTTCTGCAAAATCTTTGTTATATATAAGTTTAAATAAGTGAAGATGTAGCTAGTCGAGTGAGAAAGCAAAGATGATCTTGAGGCGGAGAGAGGCCTCAGCGGCCGTTATCTCCGCATCGTCCCATCGCGGATTAGCCCGACCTGCGGGTGCAGCCCGCGGCCTGGGGCGACATACGAGCAGCTTCTCCATTCCCACAACCCTCATGCAGAGCCGTGACGCTGTCTTCTGTCAACATGTACATTCTAGGACATCACGTTGCAGCTTTGCAACCGGAACATCCTCATCCTCGTCTGCTCCGCGGGAAATCGAGGACATGAAGATATCTCGAACGCAACTACTAGAAGACCGAGACCAGCTTTCGGCCTATGACCTTTGTGCAGCTTTGACGATTCACAAGGACGATCCCGAAATTGTTTGTGCTTTACTGCGTCCATGTTTGGAATCCGCGCCTTTTTTGGGTACCGACATCGTCACGCAACTGGCAATGACCGCAAGTTCTTGCCTGGAAGTTACTAGTGGACAAGAGTTCTTCGATGCAGTTACTTCTAGTGGAACCATGGTCGTGGCTTCTAAGATGAACAAAAACAAGTCCCCATCTTCATGTGGTGATGTTTTCGCTTCTGCAAATCAGGGAACTATAACAGGAGGCTTGCTAGATCCAGCGCGAAATGGAGGACAGCGACAGGTGCAAGAACAGGGACTAGAAGAACGAGGTAAGCCAGCGAAAGCGATACTCGACAAGAACCTCAAGCCGAAACTGTTGCGAGATTTGGTGGACACTATGCTTGAACGTTGGACATTGGAGGATGAATTATTGCCGCACGAGGTGGGAGATTTTCTGTGGAGTATGCGTCGGATAGAAAAACTTCTACATGCACCAGAGGATAACTCGTTCTTTGTGCATGAAGATATTTATAGTGAGCAGACGATTTCAGATGCTGGCTCCTCAAGATTACTGGTTGTACTGCCAGTATCAGATTCTTCGGAAGTTTTGCGTATTGCAAAAACCTGGATGGCTCACCCCGATGTCCCTGATCCACAAGCGTGCAGGCTTTTGCTTTGTCTATTGGAGGCACGAACGAGGGGTTCTGCAGGTTCACGGTCTGCAAGTCCTCATGATGAGAAGAAAGACGAAGAGCAAAAGGTGTGGCACGATTCCTTGAGGGACGTTTTTGTATCGCGACGGCTCCTAAAGACCACTAGACCGGCAGATGCCAGTGCTGAAGGTGATATCAATGTATGGCTCTGGTATTTTTGGTATAGCCTGAATTTGGTCCTAAGGGTTCTCTTCTTGTTTTCCCTTATGATCAAATTCAGGCTATACCAAAAATACCGGAACCATTCAATCAACGAGGATGTACATCTGCTCACAGAAAGAGATTTCATTGGAGCCTTGACAGCATTGTCGAGTTCAGGGTATCCATTTTCGTCAAGTGAGATAGAACAGTGTCTTGATCGAATGAGTCAAGGATCAAGAACATCGTGGAGCTGGGACCAGACGAGACCAAAAGATATCTGCGCTTTGCTGAAATGGGCACAGAGATCGCACGAGTACTATTTGGGGTTTGGGCCTGGTCATGAACAAGGTATGGGTAACGGGAATAGTGTTCTAGGCCTTGATTCGAAGCTGAACACTCTTGCGGGTGAGCTCTTGACGCAGTTGCAGGTCAAAGCGGCTGCAGTCGAAGCTAAAAACGTCCTCGAGGCCTTGAGCTTTTGCGCTTCTGCGAACTCTAGACTGCAGAATGTTCATGTACATGATATGGACAGTAGAAGTGAAGATCATGTTGCAGGCGATGGAATTAACGGAGGTGAAGCAGGTGAAACACGATTGGCAACCGCAGAGCGAAGCCTTCTCAAGCAGCACATCGTCGAGATCACTCCCTGGCTAGCCTGCGAGTTGAGACGCTCGGTTCAGGATTTGACGTGCGAAGAGCATCTTTGTGTGTTGCAGGACCTGATAAAACTGAGGGAACACCTTGAAGAACCTGAGATCTTTTTGGACCTCATGGGTCAGTTTGTCGGTAACGTCGAAAAATTTGCTGAAACACAGCTAAAAGTTCTAAACCATCGACCACGTTCATCAGATTTATGGGTGTAGCTAGGGAATTCATTTTCATCCCCCCAAGTCATCTGGAAGAAGAAAACAAGAAGAAAAAGCGAGCCAGATGATTCCTGAGATGAATTTCCTATACCTCTAACAGATTCATGCTCACCTAGTTTAATTCCAGAGAGCAGTAAAACGAGGACGACGCCAGGAAAGGTTTCGATGTTTTCCGCTACTCTGGCAGAATATTCACGAATCGGCCTCGTGCGTGAAGTCCCTGCATTGTATCACGCCTGTTGCAAGTATCTAGCGAATTACCGTTTAGCGATGTGGCCTGGAGACGTCGCGGTTTGCTCTAGTGTCCTGGCCCAAGCGGACAGATTCCCTTCGTGGTGGTTCTGCGGAGCCGCGCTGGCAGTTATGAAGCACCACGCCAAACACTACTCGGCTGAGGATATCCAGCGCATGCTCCAAGCCTATGCAAAACACGGACGAGGGGAACGCAGAGAACGGAAATATCTTCCGACGAGAGGACTTGATGCGAGTAAGAACTACCCTGTTAGTTGTGTCGAAGATGATTATGGAGCTGCAGGTGTTGAAACCTTATCAACAAGTGATGCTGCTACATCATCGTCCTCTGGCCAATTCTCAGGACTTGTAGATAGATCGGACCCAGATAGACGCGACTTCGATTCCGCCACCATGAAATCCTTAGTGAAAAAGACCATCGGTCGTATCCTATACGAGAGATACTATAGCGGAGACCGTAAGATGTTCCAACTGACTGCGTTGGGCCAAAGTGTGGCTTTTGACTCGTCTACAGATCTTCTGACGCCTGCTACAGAGACGGACCAGTCCAGCACAGAGGAATCTAGTACTTCCATCAGGAAAGGAATATCTAAAGATCCGCAGCACCAAGGTCCTCATCGTCAAATGTTGCATTTTGACACTAGGCTCAGCATTGTACCGTTGGCACGAAAATCAGTCCGCACACTGTTATCTTTCAACAGTGAGGCGTTTGTCAAAAAGGCAACGGCTACAACAGCCAAATTTGGTGGAGATGCTCTTCACAGTTACAGAAGAACAAACTCCGATGTTGAGGATTCAAGCACGACCTCTGGTCCTCCTGGTGGCAGACGCAGTCGTCGCCGCATATTACCGCATGAGGAAGCATCGCCGAACTCAAACTTGCGCGCACTGCTCAGCTCACAGAAGCATTTGGAACGCAGACTGCGAATGCTTCCGAAAAGCCTCCGAGGAAGCCGACCGTTCTCGCTACTTGCTCATTCGTACAAGGGTGGGCCGAAAGCAACCAGAGTTAGGCGCGAACTCCAACGCGTCCAATGGTTGGGCAAACATAAACCACAAATGCTGACTCAACATCGGATTACACGTGCGGTTCGCCTGCTGAAAACGAAAACCGGGAGAAAGAAAAACCGAAAATCTTCTAAGTCCTCTTCAGGAGGTGGAGGTCTACTATCTTCAGGAGGTTCGGATAATCCAGCAGTTGAGAATCGTAAAGCCTTGAGAGAAATGGTCACGACTTTGGCTAAGCAAGTCGAACGCATAATTGTACAAGTGCAACAGGAGGACGACAGAGCAACAGATAATTCATGCTCATCACAGTTACGGGACCAAGTCCAAAGGCTGCCAATATTTCCATACTTGTTAGCTCTTACTCGACTCGGATGGCGTGAAGAAAGCACGTATGTGGCGCTTTTTCGGCAACTGGAACCTCACATTTGGAAAGAAAATGCTGATGATGTTGATGGAACGAGTGAACAAGCTGAAAGTGCAAGACAACTCACTAGTAGAAGTTGCAACTACTCTTCGGCAACGCAGCGCGTGTTTGTGCACTTTTTGCACGTCTTAGTTGCAGCGAAGTTGCGAAAGGTCGATACTGCGAGGGAAGTGGAGGAAAGCTTGGCCAAAAAAGCGGCGCTTCTAGGTGGTCGGTACTATCATGATTACCTGCTCCACGATGGTCTAGGTGTCAACACAGTAACTACGGAGGACCAAGCGCTAAAGAACACAGACCTATTGGTTGCTCTATGCGCTACCATGAATTTAGAAAGGCTCATGGGCTATCGCACGACCAGCGACTCGTCGATGGATGCTTTTTATCGGGAGTTGCGTGAAAAAGTAGTTTCGGTCTTCCAAAGGCAACACGTTGAACAAAAAGCCTCCGCGACTTCTAGTGCAACGACAAGGACGTCGAGAACGACACTGAGGCACCTAAAGAGTCTTTTTTTCTTAGCGCCAGGTGCATTAGGCACAGCTTTCCTACCGATGCGCGATCGAGCCAGCATGCTAAGTGCAATAAGTCGACAAGGAAGCCTGCTGGAACCACACGACCTCTTGGATATACTGGCGGTAGCGGTGATGGAATATTTAGTACCTCCTTCAAATTCTACTTTAAGGTCAACATTTAGTGTCCATCTTTCTCGGCATCTCGTTCTCGGTACAACCGTTCTCCCTTGTTGTATTCTCATGAAATATACAAGGTATTAAAAGGAGGGGCCAAAAAGACTACTTCTCATGAATATTACAAGGTTGTACTTCTGCTCTAACTACTTTCGATAATAGCTATTCATGGAGCCTGGCGAATGACGTGAGCCTTTTGCGGCTACTGCGAGCAACGGATTTGGTACTCTCTGACTATAGTGTTGACAACTTACTGCGTCTGGCTGCAATCTATAGACATTTGCAGAAGCGCGACGAAGGTTCTGGTCAAACTTTTGGGATACATCCTGAACCTGAGCAAACTACATCAAAAACCATAAGTAGATCGATGGGTGAAGAAGAGGAAGAGGAGAGCAAGGCCCTGCTTATCAAGGATGTGAAGGGGAACACCATCGACAATTTATTCCTACCTAAATTCGAGAAGCACCTGACATCCACCTTGCGCCAAAAGCTGGAACGTACGAAAAAAATAGGTCGTTTTTACATCGACGTCCTAAATGACCTGGGTATTTGGCAGCGTCTGCCAGCGAAAGTACAGTGGCGACTCTGTGGGGCTTCGTCTGCTGGAAATTTGACGTGGAAGAAAATTTTTCCCGCAACACCTCAGACCGATCAAGTTCAAGAAAGTGTTGATTCTTCATCGACGAACAAACACGATCAACGGGAGGTACTAGACGACAGACGTCATAATACAGCAACATCAAGAGCAGGCCATCCTCCAAACACTTCTCGTGGTGCCGACCCTTGGATGGCTAAGATGATTCGTACAAATTTAAAGCCTCAACTCAGACCCACAGAGCGGCAGATCGACAAGCAATTCGACAAGGGGAAACAGAAACTGCGCAAACTAGGCGAGGACGATCACTGCTTTTTGAACATGAAAAAGCAACGACAAAGGGCTAAGGTTATCCAGTCGCTTGTGGTAGCAAAGAAAAGGTTATGGTTAGCGCTCCTCTGGAGGTACTAGATTACTGGTTGGCCTCGCAAGTAGACGATAATAGCTACACAAGAGGTGCCATGACATGACATGACAAAAGTCGCTGTTTTTGATTTCCTCTATTCTTGCATGCAGCTTCACGATATTGTTCAAAGGAGATCATCTGATGATTGTGCTCCTTTGTTATGCTCCTCTTTGTTAATGCTCCTTATAGGACTTTGTCCTCCTGCTTTTTCCAATGCCATTATAGAATTATGCGAGCATAATCTCTATCTCCCCTTCCCTTTCCCATTCCCACCCCTTCATTTCCACGCCACGGATTGCTCTCCGACGACGACCCTGTGGGCGCAGGTAGTATGGAGCGTGAAGGCGGAGTTTGGATGGATCCAGTAAGACGCGAATGGCGTCATAGATGGCGGAAAGAGTTCCAGAGGGAAGGCGCTAGCGAAGAAGCGAGGCTTGGCCGAACGGCTATGCAGGATGTCGTACAGAGAATGAGGAACTTTGCAGGGTAAAAAGAACAGGGAAACTTCAGATGTCGTACAGACAATGAGGAACTCTGCTCGGTAAAAACAACAGGAAAACTTGTTCGGCTAGAATTAATGAATTATAAGTTGTTGTCACTTGCACTTGGATGCATAGCAAAAACATTTTGATTTCGGTAGTTCTTTCGCAACGCGTGTATGATGTTGATGACAACTACACTGAATGATGATGGACGATTTTTATCGCGCTTTTGCTGCTGCTCCTACGCCTATGTGATGGCACAAAGAACTCAAACGGCCATGCATTAGCTCACGCGGACAACGTAGTAGATTTTCGACACGGTGGCGAGAGTTTCGGAGAACAACCAGACCCCGGGAAAGATTATCGAATGAAAAAGTTGGCATGAAACGGCGAAAGGTCAGTATGTAATGCACGTGGAAAAACGACGAGAAAAAGGTAGATGACAAGATGTATAAATTAATATGTACTAGCGAAAGAAACCCGCTATATACTCTGCAAACAAACACTGATTCATCGGGAAAACATCACAACTTTCTATGCAACTGGATCGATTGGAGAACAATATTTAATTGGCACCCGCTTCGAAAGGAAGAAAGAGAAAGAAGTTAAGTACACGGCGTTCCCCTAAAGAGAGGGCTGCTCTAACGACCTGCCTAGTTGTTCAAAAAATTCATAAAAGAATGGCTGCAACCAGTTCTTCTTCAAGCACGATGCCTTCGGGTGTCGTGCCACTAGAGCCTCAGGTCTCGGACTCGCTGGACGTAACAGTGCTCGCTTTCGCCCAATGGATATCAGAAATGAGGAGCAGGACAAACTCCAACTTACAGCAAATACTAGCGGAAATGGGGATAATTCGAAATGGTAGAAGAAGGTGGATGTAGTTGTACCCATGATTGACTCTTGGTAGAAGGTGGCTGTACCCATGATTGACTCTTGGTAGAAGGTGGTTGTACCCATGATTGACTCCAGTAGAGGTTGAGGTAGACGCACTAGAGGTAGAGGCTGCAGTTCTAGTTCTACAACTACTTCTACATCTACTCTCGGAAGCGTCGAACGATATCGCGTCGTATGATTTGACTCCACAAAAGAAAACCTAACAAGGTTTAAAACCTCTTCTTTGATCCCTAACTACAGGAATAACTTCGAATAGTTCCGAGTTGTCCGACTTCAAGCGGCATTGCAGTCAAGTGCAACAGCAACAACAGTTAAGGGCTGAAGCATTTCATTTCTACGTGCTATTCTCACTTAGCATGGCCGTCATCTAAGATAAACGTCGAAATGCTTTAAGCTGCTCTAAGACAGAGTCAGTTGAGTGACCTTAGGCAAAAGCTTCAAGAAGCCTACAACGAGATGTCGGAGATGAAGAAGGCAAAAGCACAAAGCGACCAGGAGATGGCTGCAGATTATCAGACACTAGGTATTTACGAGATGAAGATTATCACAACGAGCTTCAGGCTTTTTATTTTGCTCACCAAAGAACCACCTGTAGTTGAGCTCACCCACGCAGGACAAGGCTCACCCACGACTTATTCGAAAACTCAAAATAAGCGAGTTACTGACTGAAATAAGAGAGTCTTGATTACATTCCTCTTCTTTCAGTATCTCCCTTATTTTCCCTAGTTACTCGCTGACTTCAGCTTATCGAATACAATAATCTGCCCCTCCCACGACTACAGCCGAGCAATTGAATATAAAGTCTGTGGAGCTCGACACAATTAAGAAAACCTATGCGCAAACGACGCAGCAGCTGCAGCAACAGATACTCGAACTACAGACGGAAGTTAATGAGGTACTCACATCTGGTACTACGTCGATGTTGCTGCTCAAACATCTCTTGACCGTATGATCGGTGCCGATCTTCAAGAAATTTGATTTTCGAGTTTGATGCTAGGTAGAGGCACATAAGTAGGATGTTCATGCTGAAGTTTTTCTCTTTTTCCAGAATTTGTTATTTACAGGTCCGCTTACAAAGAGAAGATACCCATCGAATGGCTGCAAGTTGTAACGAAAATTTGGTCCGAGAAACAGGGGAAATAGCTCAGACGGCTAGGTACTTCAGGCTACACGAACACGTACACGTTCGCCAGGAACACGAACACGTTCGCCAGGCATTTGATGTGGTCCATCAAGAAAACGTGGTCCATCAAGATGATGCGCTACTTCAACATCAACTCTAGTACTGTATAGAGTGAAACCTTTTAACCTTAACAACTCTTGTAGCTGTACTTCCTTACTAAGCTATCTCTTCTTTCGAAGATCTTCATGTCTTTATGCTACCACGACCAGGTCAACAGCCACCGAATTCGAGCGCGTAAAGCAAGACCACGATCATGCGATAGCGAATTTGGCAGAAAACATGAACAGGTGGAACGACACAATACGCGATTTGAGTAAGGAGTTTCACGAGTTTCAGAAACTCATGACGAATCAACAGGCGAGATTGCAGATGGGATTGGATTCGGTAGTTACTTTTACTTCACAGTATTGTTGATGTGCATGTGGTCTATAACTATATCTTGTTGCTTCCCTAACACGAAACAGCGACAGCAGACAAGAACTGTGGTTGCTAATTTCATTACTTACAAACTCGGTACTTAGGCTCTCCGGTATTACTTTCGTACTGAATGGCCTCAGCACAAGTAGAGTCGAAAGGCTACATAAGAGGTTCCATTACATGACACAAGGAAAATGTTGAAGAATTTAACTGCAAGCCGTTCCTATCTTCTTCCCGTACCCGTGACCGTTAGCAACTAGTTGTACTTTGTGAGCGACATACGACGACCACTACTTTTTTTACCTACTACTACGTAGGTGTCTTATTGCATCCACCATCATCAGGTTCAGCACCAACAGCAAACGATACCGGCACAGCAGGGTGTAGTGGAACAAACTCGACCTTCTCAGCTTGTTGTTGCACCACCACAGGCACAACAACGAATGACGATGACAACAATGAGTGCAGGAGTGCCTCAACAAATGGGGTCACAAGTTAGACCCAGTTGGAACATGCCCCAGTATGGATTACGAGCACAATAGGCGACCTTTGTGCTTCGGAAACCAATACGTCCAATCTTCAGGAGACTTGAATTCCATCAAGAACATTCTTTTTCTTAAGTACTCGTAGCTCCTGTTGTAGAGTTGTATCCACTCTGAGAGAGAGTCTACTGTCATCTCTCCGTGAATAAGCTTGAGAAACCGCATCTTATCATTTTTCTTACCACAGGCTTAGGCTGGCTCGACCACTCGTACTACAGGTGGAATGATTGACATCCGCAATTTCATCAAGCCAACAACAACATTTTTCTTAGCATTACTAGCAATCTTCTCTTGCTCTTCCAGGTTTTAGTTTACAAGTTCGGAAAAGGTATGGGCTATGTAATGTATCCAACAGTGGTTGATGCATACAGACGATGTAAAATGGTATAGGAAAACGCATACAAAATGTAAGAATTGATTGTACTCTTCCAATCAAACAACTAGCACGCAAAGACGCGCTGACTAACAGCCAGCGGACGTAGCTGCTCATAGTGAGAATATAACCACTAAAAAATAGCCATTGAAATGTCCACTACTGCTCATTGTTAACAAGAAGGCACCTGAATATCATCAACGAACGTCCTGGGTGGACATTTTCCCGATATACGTTTTGACGAAATTAAAAATTTTCATTGACTCTGTCTCGGTCCCCTAAGCAGAAAGGACTGCTATTATATTTCCTTAACACATCATCAGCATATCATCATGACCGAAGAACACGTCTGTTTCTGATTCTACTTTTCTTTGCGGAGTCCGTATTCTAAAAAGTCGTCAAACCATGCATGTACTCGTGTTTCTGTTTCGCTTATCAAAATTCAACATTTTTCGCATCCACTACGACGACTCCAACTACCTTTGCATAGCCAGATGTACCTCGGCGATTTGCATAGCCAGATGTACCTTGTTGAAAGAGAACTAGAGCCCAGCACGCGGCCCTTCACATACAAATGCACCAGTACGTATAAAGGTCAGAAAATTTATTTTCAAAGCAACTTAGAGCAGACCGCAGATGAGTCAGTCGTGTGGCTCCTCGCGTAATGAATGGTTCCGGTATTTGGTAACCTGAATTTGATCATAAGGGAAAACAAGAAGAGAACCCTTAGGATCAAACTCAGGCTACCAAATGCCAGAACCATACCCGTAAGATGAGAGACGCCCCTTAGCCGTTCAGCAGAAGCATAGGATGGGGTGTCGTGTTCGCGACACGTAGGAGACTTCTGTTTACTCGTACGCGACACGTTAAATAGAAGAGATAAAACATATCATCTGTCACAACATCTCGAATATTCTCGGTTTGAAGATCCGGTTGGTTTAGAGACCTGTCGTGCGGTCCGCCTGTCGGTTTGTCTATCGCGTCATCGGTAGACTTCTGTCCGTCATCGGTTTGAGTCATTTAACAATGACCTCGCTCCCTCGCCCTCGTCTCTCGCTAACCACTTGCACTTCTCTCCCTCTAATCTTTCTCTCTCTTTCTCTAATTTCGTCCCTAGGATCCCGTTTACGTATTATAAGTTTTCACATTCTTGCTCACATATCATCCTGATACACTTAATATCATTAGAAGAAGAAGTAGTGCAGAGCGTCGAACTACAAGTACAACAAGAAGAGAAGATGAGCAAGACGTCGTGGATTATCCTGCAGAAGTACGACCTGTAGTTCTTCGTTGTGGGATTTCCGGATCTTACTTCTTGTGCGTTCTGCATGCGCTCTGCATCTTCAGGGGGAAAATCGTCCAGTTTCTAGAAGACCGCAAAAATGGGTAACGAAGGCTCGAAAGAGGGAGACGACGGCCAGGGCCGTGGTGGTGGTGGTCCTGGTGGTGGTGGTGGAGGTGGTCCTAGTGGTGGTGGTCCTAGTGGTGGTGGTGGTGGTCCTAGTGGTGGCGGTGGCGGTGGCGGCGGCGCCCCACCAGGTGTGCAGGCAGGTACATCCAAAAATAGATGTAAACTTTTCTCTTTTCGTCTGCTGCAGTTGGTGCTGCTCTGGAATGATAGAATAGTCTAAGACGGAACCTACATTTTTCTCAGTCTATGTCAGCGGTGTTTTGATGGTCAAGCAGAAGCAACTTCCAGCAACCCCTAACAACTGAATCAGGTGGCGGCCTCACAAATCGCGATATGCTGCCTCAAGATGCAAGCGCGAAGGCCCAGCAGGGAGTAGCAGACCAAGAGAGGGACCAAGGAATAGCTCTAAGTGCTACTTTCAATTAAGGCTCCACGATAATCTCCACAGGTTATTAACATCTCCACAGGTCCTTTCAGCTCCTACTACAACTCATTATGTATGATTAATCTATCTCCACAGCCCACAGGTTCATCAGGTTTGTCATCAACAACATTTTTTGTATCTACTGTCTCTGTTTCCTCTGGTGTCCCTCTGAAGTTTCCTCTGTTTCGTCTGTGCTCTCCCTCTTGAGAAAGCCGAACTAGTGTCCGCTCCCTCTAATGTCAGACAGGTGGCAACCCATACCTCCTTACGGAAGAAACGGCGGAACTTCAACGAGCTGAGGCTAGAATAAAAAATGCCATTACGGACTTAGATGGGGCTATTGACACGATCGAGAAGGTACTTGTTGTATTTCCTATGGTTTGAAATTTACTAAACCACACACTTCGCATCTTCAGACCCATGCTCATTCCGCTCGAGTTCAACGTCCTCCTCTTGCTCAAGATGATCCAGGTTCGCTAGTAACGACGTCCATTTTTACTTACATTCTTTATGATATATTTTCCATGCTGGTTTGAAATAAACTAAACACAAAGATGAAGAGTCTTAAATGTAGTCCTAGCTTCTACCAACTCTACTTCTACCAAGTTCTAGAACAATGATCTCGATACTCCAAGTATCCGATTAACAGGAATCGCTCCGATTATTCGATGCTACGACAGCTGGCTCGATACACTCGGCTGGTGTGAGTGAGCGTGCGAAACTCGAAAACTTGATGACGAAGCGAGAAGCCTTGCTACTCCAAAAGCGTCAACTGGTGGACGAACGGCATAACATCAGAAGTTTGATTGTTATGACAAATGAACATTTTAGTACCTGTAGAAGATGTTGTAATTGTAGTTGTAGTTGTAGTTGTGCTTACAAAAACAAGGAATACAGTTGACATTGATCTTCTTGATGATGATGGATCATGATAATTCAGTTCGTAAATAATGCATGGGTGTTGACCACAAGAACTTCATCTCAGAAGATAGAATTCGTCTTAGATGTAGTTGCATTTTCCCCGTTGTGAGTTGTACTTTTTAATACAACTAGTGGTAAGTACAAGTAGAAGTCTAAGGTATCTTCAGGTCGTTTTCATAGCTCTTCTAGTTTCTGCACCAACTTAGATTCAGGCTCTACTGTCTCTCCTCGTGTTCTTGGATGTTGGTATTCATTGTGTGCGAGACTCTACAGTTGAACTCCGGAACCTGATCAATATCACGTTCTGCTCTAATCCCGCTCACGATTTTGAAGCGCTAGATACTGCGATGAACGCTGCAAGGAATCAGCTTGCTGCAAAGCAAGGGAAGGGCATGGCCGGCACAAGTCCATTTGACGACCAGTTCGACTTTGAATCAAATTTGCCATCAGGGAGTGCTTTTTCTTACGACCTGGAATCTTCAGGAATCTTATTAATGTTGTTAGAACTTTCTTCGGATTGTAGTGACACTACAATTCGAATCCATCTTTTCCCTCATCTGCTTCCGTTTTTCTAAGTACTTAAAAAGAGCTCACAGATGGGCTACTAGCAGATGGATTCAGTGAAGCCTTAATATTGAGTAGAAGCGGTGGTCCAGACACAGTAGTCCTCGCACCATCATGGTTTTGATGACGACCACATGATAATCTTGAGTAAGTAGAAGCGGTGGTCGTCCCAACACAGTTGTAGTCCTCACAAATTTTTATCTGCGAGTACAGTAAAGTTGAGAGTGGACTGGAGAACAAGTTTCTCCTTGTCTACTTCATGATCTAATCTGCGGGTTCTGGTAATATGCGGCGAGCAGGCCCCTTAACGCCTAACGAAGCGCAAGTTGCGCGGCTGCTGCCGAAGCCAGGCCAACAACGGACAATTCAAGACGTACATGCCTTAAATCGTGCCAAAATCAACTACTACAAGGGGCAGCTGCGAGACAACAGCGATCTACTGCACAGCAACTCACTAGGTGGTCAAGTCAGTCTTGCAGATTTCTTTTATGGCTTCACAACTGTAGTTGTATCATGGATGTAATTGAAATTGTATCTGTGGTCTTCTTCAAACATTTCTCTTATTACAGAACACTGCATGACAATGACAATGACACGCAAGTGGCAAACATCAAATGGCAAACATCAAGCTGCTTGAAGATCACAACGATAACTCGATTATCCTTGCATGCATGTAAAAATCTTGCGCCGATGTCGGAGAACTAATTAGAATTATTCATACAACATCTTTCTAATACTTAGAGGCCCCCGACCCAGTGGAAATTGAGGAGGCTGAAGCTTTAGAAAAGGAGGCAGAGCTGAAACAGCGAGCAGACCATCTGTTATGGTCAGCTTTTATCCACGATCGTTCTCGGCATTTTGGTCGTACCCTTATTTTCCGATGAATCGAGGTGACGAGGTGAATAGAAACTGACTCTAAATCTGCAGTCCGTCATTCGCGAAAAAAACGAACTATTAAAGCATTTAGTGAAGGAACGCGGAAGTGAGGCTGCTGAGGCAATCTCTGGGGGTTCAGGTACTTACAGTGCTGTACCTGCTGTGATTTGATGATTACAACTGGCCCATTAAGACGTTTATTTTTATTTGATGGGTAGTACTGCTACTGGGATACTAGTCATACAAAGTAGAGTACTAGCAAAACAATTCCTCCTGACATATTTGATGACTCTGAATTCGTACAAGTTGAAGTTTTTACTTACCAAAAGATGTTGAAGTCCTTGCAATTTGCTTTTTCTAACTGCAGTGCACCAGTTTTTCTACTTTGTGGTCTTACTAGTTCTTACAGCACAATAATCCAAATGATCGATATAATCATCTTCTCCTCCTATATCAACTTCAACAGGTGGAGGAGTCGCGGGAAGCCAGCGGCTGAGTCAGGAAACGTTGCATGACATCGCGGAGCACAGCGTGGAGAAGATGATCCAAGAAGGGTGGAAAGATAGGGTCGATAAAGAGACCGAACGAGAATTCAAGGATCTGAAGGATCAACTGCAGCAGGTTAGTTACGGCTTCTCCTGACTGAGAAGTACATCTTCAGGTTCAGATAGTACATCTTGAAGCCGACTTGTTTGTGTAAGAAGATTTGCTTCAACAATATTAAACTTGTTGACCAGGGCCGCAAGGGTTACTACCAGAAAGGTGGGTTAGACCTGGTGAAGTACATGACCATGTTGACCATGGCAGGCCATGACCCCCTAGGGGCCCTTCGGCTTGGCACTACTGCTCTACATGATGAAGGTAGTTACAGCTGTTCCATAGGGCAGCAAGATGCGTAGTTTCAAGATGGATTATAAGGGTCGTGAACTCTAAGTTAGGGAACAGCATAGGGACGAACGCTTTCGATCCATGCTTCAAGAACTGCAGGACTTGAGGTTTTACTGTTAATTTTTTTTTGCGAAGGAGCCCAACCTTAAAAACGGACCTACATACACGGTGCAACCCTACTTACCCTGTGCTATAGTGGAGATCATATTTCGCAATATTTATACGTACTTACTTACCAATCATTGGTAGTCAATACTCACACATCAACGGGAACAACTTTCAAATACTAAGTACTACTTACTTACCAATTATATTTATACGTCTCTGTCGCCATCTTGTCCCCCTTTCTTAGAAATGCATCATCTAGAGGGGGTCCAATTGTTTCATCGTTCACCAGATCGGACCCCTCTCTGCAAGTGTACTACGACGCGCCAACATTGCCGATTGACGTCGCCCTGGACCGCAGAGACCGGTTCGGAGGAGTCATCGAGGGTGGTGATATTCTTAACCGTGGTTACCTGCAGGCGGACTACTTGAACGAAGACACGATTAAAGTTACGGCTTCTTCATGGGTTCCTTCAGGGGAATGAAGAT